CCCCTCCCTGCCCCTCGCCGCCTTCTCCGCTCCCCACCTCCCCCCTCTCCCTGCCCCCCCACTCTCCTCCACTTGCCCTTGGCTTCCCACCTCCTGCCCCACCTTTCCCCCCTCCGTGTGCTCAGCTTCTCCCCTCCCTGCCTCTCCCTCCTCCCCGCCCTGCCCCTCATTTTCCGCCCCCCCCACGCCCGGTTTCTCCCCTCCTGCACCCTCCCTTTCTTTCTCCGTGCCTCTCCTTTGCTCCCTCCCTGCCCCCGCCTGCCCATGCCCCCGTGTCTTTGGTTTCCTCCCCCCCCTGCCCCACTGTTTCTTCCCTCCCTGGATCACTTGACCCCCTCGCCCCTCCCTTTGTTCTCCCCGCACCCAATTTGCTTCTCCCCCTCCCTGCCCTTGATTTCCGCACCCCTGCCCTGTTTCCTACCATCCATGCCCCTCGTTTCCCTCTTTGTACGTTCACCCTCTTCCCTCCCTGCCCCTCCCTTCCTCCCACCCTGCCCTTTGCTTTCCCCTCGTTACGCTCCCTTCTCCCCATCCCTGCTGCCCTCTTACCACCATCAGCCCCGTCCCCACCACCAGCCCCCCTCCCACCCTTCTCCCCCCCCCCCTCCCCCCTCTCCCCCCTCTCCCCCTCTCTCTCCCTCTCTCTCTCTCTCTCTCTTTCTCTCGCACACACACACACACACACACTCCCCTCCCCCACCCCCCCACCCACATCCTCCCGTTCTGCCCCTCCCTGCCCCTGTTCCACCCCCTCGCACGCCCCTCACCTCTCACCTCCGTTCAACTGGATTCCCCCCCTCTGGTGCATCCCTTGCATCGCTCGCCCCTCTGCTCACCCTCTGCCCGCCCCTTTTCCTTGCCCTCAGCTGGCCCAGCCCCTGCCCGTTGCTGCCCCTCCCCTTGCCCCCTCAACTCCCCTGCCCCCCGTACACCCCACTCCCGTCCAACCGCCCCCACCCTCCCCCGGCTGCCCGTTTCCGCTCTCCACCCCCGCGACCGTGTGCGGCTTCCAACCGCCCAACGGTGGTGCGCACGGGGCGTTTCTTCGCGCGGGCAAGCCTCCCCGGGGGCCCCCCACCCCGCTGACTCGTTGTTCGGGGCAAAAAAAACGGAAATAAAAAAGTCGGACGCGCTAAAATCGTCCTTTGTTTTTCCCGCTTGCCCCTCCCCGGCACGTGCCGAGCAAGGGGCATAAATGGGTACAACACGAGGACTTCCCGGGAGGTCACCCAGCCCAGTACTGCTCTCGCCCACCGGCGCTTAGCTTCGGAGTTCTGATGGGATCCGGCGTAGTAGCCGAGGTATGATCGTACCACGACAATCCCGTGCCCCGACCGGTACACACCCCTTGCCCGGGTCCCCCCTTCATAGTCACACCCCCTGCCCCCTCATGCCATCCGCTCCCCCCGCCCCTACCCTCCGCGTGCCCGCTCCCTCGCCGCCTCTTTTGACCCTCCCTGCCCCCCTCGCCGTTACCCACCGCTCGCCATTCGCTCCTCCCCGCCCGTGCCCTCCCCTCGTTTACCTTCGCCTCCCCCCTCCCCTCCTCTGCTGCACGCCTCTTCCTTCCCCTCGCTAACCCACTCCACTCCCTGCCCCTCCTCAATCCGCACCCTGCCCCTCGTTTCTCGCCCCCCTACGCTTGGTTTCTCCCCTCCCTGCCCCTCGCCGCCTTTCTCCGCTCCCCACCTCCCCCCTCTCCCTGCCCCCCCACTCTCCTCCACTTGCCCTTGGCTTCCCACCTCCCTGCCCCACCTTTCCCCCCTCCGTGTGCTCAGCTTCTCCCCTCCCTGCCTCTCCCTCCTCCCCGCCCTGCCCCTCATTTTCCGCCCCCCCACGCCCGGTTTCTCCCCTCCCTGCACCTCCCTTTCTTTCTCCGTGCCTCTCCTTTGCTCCCTCCCTGCCCCCGCCTGCCCATGCCCCTGTCTTTGGTTTCTCCCCTCCCTGCCCCACGTTTCTTCCCTCCCTGAGATCACCTTGTACCCCCTCTGCCCCTCCCTTGTTCTCCCCGCACCCATTGCTTCTCCCCTCCCTGCCCTTGATTTCCCGCACCCCTGCCCTTGTTTCCTACCATCCATGCCCCTCGTTTCCCCTCTTTGTACGTTCACCCTCTTCCCTCCCTGCCCCTCCCTTCCTCCCCCCCTGCCCTTTGCTTTCCCCTCGTTACGCTCCCTTCTCCCCATCCCTGCTGCCCTCTTACCACCATCAGCCCGTCCCCACCACCAGCCCCCCTCCCACCCTTCTCCCCCCCCCCCCTCTCCCTCTCTCTCTCTCTCTCTCTCTCTCTTTCTCTCGCACACACACACACACACACACTCCCCTCCCCCACCCCCCACCCACATCCTCCCGTTCTGCCCCTCCCTGCCCCTGTTCCACCCCCTCGCACGCCCCTCACCTCTCACCTCCGTTCAACTGGATTCCCCCCCTCTGGTGCATCCCTTGCATCGCTCGCCCCTCTGCTCACCCTCTGCCCGCCCCTTTTCCTTGCCCTCAGCTGGCCCAGCCCCTGCCCGTTGCTGCCCCTCCCCTTGCCCCCTCAACTCCCCTGCCCCCCGTACACCCCACTCCCGTCCAACCGCCCCCACCCTCCCCCGGCTGCCCGTTTCCGCTCTCCACCCCCGCGACCGTGTGCGGCTTCCAACCGCCCAACGGTGGTGCGCACGGGGCGTTTCTTCGCGCGGGCAAGCCTCCCCGGGGGCCCCCCACCCCGCTGACTCGTTGTTCGGGCAAAAAAAACGGAAATAAAAAAGTCGGACGCGCTAAAATCGTCCTTTGTTTTTCCCGCTTGCCCCTCCCCGGCACGTGCCGAGCAAGGGGCATAAATGGGTACAACACGAGGACTTCCCGGGAGGTCACCCAGCCCAGTACTGCTCTCGCCCACCGGCGCTTAGCTTCGGAGTTCTGATGGGATCCGGCGTAGTAGCCGAGGTATGATCGTACCACGACAATCCCGTGCCCCGACCGGTACACACCCCTTGCCCGGGTCCCCCCTTCATAGTCACACCCCCTGCCCCCTCATGCCATCCGCTCCCCCCGCCCCTACCCTCCGCGTGCCCGCTCCCTCGCCGCCTCTTTTGACCCTCCCTGCCCCCCTCGCCGTTACCCACCGCTCGCCATTCGCTCCTCCCCGCCCGTGCCCTCCCCTCGTTTACCTTCGCCTCCCCCCTCCCCTCCTCTGCTGCACGCCTCTTCCTTCCCCTCGCTAACCCACTCCACTCCCTGCCCCTCCTCAATCCGCACCCTGCCCCTCGTTTCTCGCCCCCCTACGCTTGGTTTCTCCCCTCCCTGCCCCTCGCCGCCTTTCTCCGCTCCCCACCTCCCCCCTCTCCCTGCCCCCCCACTCTCCTCCACTTGCCCTTGGCTTCCCACCTCCCTGCCCCACCTTTCCCCCCTCCGTGTGCTCAGCTTCTCCCCTCCCTGCCTCTCCCTCCTCCCCGCCCTGCCCCTCATTTTCCGCCCCCCCACGCCCGGTTTCTCCCCTCCCTGCACCTCCCTTTCTTTCTCCGTGCCTCTCCTTTGCTCCCTCCCTGCCCCCGCCTGCCCATGCCCCTGTCTTTGGTTTCTCCCCTCCCTGCCCCACGTTTCTTCCCTCCCTGAGATCACCTTGTACCCCCTCTGCCCCTCCCTTGTTCTCCCCGCACCCATTGCTTCTCCCCTCCCTGCCCTTGATTTCCCGCACCCCTGCCCTTGTTTCCTACCATCCATGCCCCTCGTTTCCCCTCTTTGTACGTTCACCCTCTTCCCTCCCTGCCCCTCCCTTCCTCCCCCCCTGCCCTTTGCTTTCCCCTCGTTACGCTCCCTTCTCCCCATCCCTGCTGCCCTCTTACCACCATCAGCCCGTCCCCACCACCAGCCCCCCTCCCACCCTTCTCCCCCCCCCCCTCTCCCTCTCTCTCTCTCTCTCTCTCTCTTTCTCTCGCACACACACACACACACACACTCCCCTCCCCCACCCCCCCACCCACATCCTCCCGTTCTGCCCCTCCCTGCCCCTGTTCCACCCCCTCGCACGCCCCTCACCTCTCACCTCCGTTCAACTGGATTCCCCCCCTCTGGTGCATCCCTTGCATCGCTCGCCCCTCTGCTCACCCTCTGCCCGCCCCTTTTCCTTGCCCTCAGCTGGCCCAGCCCCTGCCCGTTGCTGCCCCTCCCCTTGCCCCCTCAACTCCCCTGCCCCCCGTACACCCCACTCCCGTCCAACCGCCCCCACCCTCCCCCGGCTGCCCGTTTCCGCTCTCCACCCCCGCGACCGTGTGCGGCTTCCAACCGCCCAACGGTGGTGCGCACGGGGCGTTTCTTCGCGCGGGCAAGCCTCCCCGGGGGCCCCCCACCCCGCTGACTCGTTGTTCGGGCAAAAAAACGGAAATAAAAAAGTCGGACGCGCTAAAATCGTCCTTTGTTTTTCCCGCTTGCCCCTCCCCGGCACGTGCCGAGCAAGGGGCATAAATGGGTACAACACGAGGACTTCCCGGGAGGTCACCCAGCCCAGTACTGCTCTCGCCCACCGGCGCTTAGCTTCGGAGTTCTGATGGGATCCGGCGTAGTAGCCGAGGTATGATCGTACCACGACAATCCCGTGCCCCGACCGGTACACACCCCTTGCCCGGGTCCCCCCTTCATAGTCACACCCCCTGCCCCCTCATGCCATCCGCTCCCCCCGCCCCTACCCTCCGCGTGCCCGCTCCCTCGCCGCCTCTTTTGACCCTCCCTGCCCCCCTCGCCGTTACCCACCGCTCGCCATTCGCTCCTCCCCGCCCGTGCCCTCCCCTCGTTTACCTTCGCCTCCCCCCTCCCCTCCTCTGCTGCACGCCTCTTCCTTCCCCTCGCTAACCCACTCCACTCCCTGCCCCTCCTCAATCCGCACCCTGCCCCTCGTTTCTCGCCCCCCTACGCTTGGTTTCTCCCCTCCCTGCCCCTCGCCGCCTTTCTCCGCTCCCCACCTCCCCCCTCTCCCTGCCCCCCCACTCTCCTCCACTTGCCCTTGGCTTCCCACCTCCCTGCCCCACCTTTCCCCCCTCCGTGTGCTCAGCTTCTCCCCTCCCTGCCTCTCCCTCCTCCCCGCCCTGCCCCTCATTTTCCGCCCCCCCACGCCCGGTTTCTCCCCTCCCTGCACCTCCCTTTCTTTCTCCGTGCCTCTCCTTTGCTCCCTCCCTGCCCCCGCCTGCCCATGCCCCTGTCTTTGGTTTCTCCCCTCCCTGCCCCACGTTTCTTCCCTCCCTGAGATCACCTTGTACCCCCTCTGCCCCTCCCTTGTTCTCCCCGCACCCATTGCTTCTCCCCTCCCTGCCCTTGATTTCCCGCACCCCTGCCCTTGTTTCCTACCATCCATGCCCCTCGTTTCCCCTCTTTGTACGTTCACCCTCTTCCCTCCCTGCCCCTCCCTTCCTCCCCCCCTGCCCTTTGCTTTCCCCTCGTTACGCTCCCTTCTCCCCATCCCTGCTGCCCTCTTACCACCATCAGCCCGTCCCCACCACCAGCCCCCCTCCCACCCTTCTCCCCCCCCCCCTCTCCCTCTCTCTCTCTCTCTCTCTCTCTTTCTCTCGCACACACACACACACACACACTCCCCTCCCCCACCCCCCACCCACATCCTCCCGTTCTGCCCCTCCCTGCCCCTGTTCCACCCCCTCGCACGCCCCTCACCTCTCACCTCCGTTCAACTGGATTCCCCCCCTCTGGTGCATCCCTTGCATCGCTCGCCCCTCTGCTCACCCTCTGCCCGCCCCTTTTCCTTGCCCTCAGCTGGCCCAGCCCCTGCCCGTTGCTGCCCCTCCCCTTGCCCCCTCAACTCCCCTGCCCCCCGTACACCCCACTCCCGTCCAACCGCCCCCACCCTCCCCCGGCTGCCCGTTTCCGCTCTCCACCCCCGCGACCGTGTGCGGCTTCCAACCGCCCAACGGTGGTGCGCACGGGGCGTTTCTTCGCGCGGGCAAGCCTCCCCGGGGGCCCCCCACCCCGCTGACTCGTTGTTCGGGCAAAAAAACGGAAATAAAAAAGTCGGACGCGCTAAAATCGTCCTTTGTTTTTCCCGCTTGCCCCTCCCCGGCACGTGCCGAGCAAGGGGCATAAATGGGTACAACACGAGGACTTCCCGGGAGGTCACCCAGCCCAGTACTGCTCTCGCCCACCGGCGCTTAGCTTCGGAGTTCTGATGGGATCCGGCGTAGTAGCCGAGGTATGATCGTACCACGACAATCCCGTGCCCCGACCGGTACACACCCCTTGCCCGGGTCCCCCCTTCATAGTCACACCCCCTGCCCCCTCATGCCATCCGCTCCCCCCGCCCCTACCCTCCGCGTGCCCGCTCCCTCGCCGCCTCTTTTGACCCTCCCTGCCCCCCTCGCCGTTACCCACCGCTCGCCATTCGCTCCTCCCCGCCCGTGCCCTCCCCTCGTTTACCTTCGCCTCCCCCCTCCCCTCCTCTGCTGCACGCCTCTTCCTTCCCCTCGCTAACCCACTCCACTCCCTGCCCCTCCTCAATCCGCACCCTGCCCCTCGTTTCTCGCCCCCCTACGCTTGGTTTCTCCCCTCCCTGCCCCTCGCCGCCTTTCTCCGCTCCCCACCTCCCCCCTCTCCCTGCCCCCCCACTCTCCTCCACTTGCCCTTGGCTTCCCACCTCCCTGCCCCACCTTTCCCCCCTCCGTGTGCTCAGCTTCTCCCCTCCCTGCCTCTCCCTCCTCCCCGCCCTGCCCCTCATTTTCCGCCCCCCCACGCCCGGTTTCTCCCCTCCCTGCACCTCCCTTTCTTTCTCCGTGCCTCTCCTTTGCTCCCTCCCTGCCCCCGCCTGCCCATGCCCCTGTCTTTGGTTTCTCCCCTCCCTGCCCCACGTTTCTTCCCTCCCTGAGATCACCTTGTACCCCCTCTGCCCCTCCCTTGTTCTCCCCGCACCCATTGCTTCTCCCCTCCCTGCCCTTGATTTCCCGCACCCCTGCCCTTGTTTCCTACCATCCATGCCCCTCGTTTCCCCTCTTTGTACGTTCACCCTCTTCCCTCCCTGCCCCTCCCTTCCTCCCCCCCTGCCCTTTGCTTTCCCCTCGTTACGCTCCCTTCTCCCCATCCCTGCTGCCCTCTTACCACCATCAGCCCGTCCCCACCACCAGCCCCCCTCCCACCCTTCTCCCCCCCCCCCCCTCTCCCTCTCTCTCTCTCTCTCTCTCTCTCTTTCTCTCGCACACACACACACACACACACTCCCCTCCCCCACCCCCCACCCACATCCTCCCGTTCTGCCCCTCCCTGCCCCTGTTCCACCCCCTCGCACGCCCCTCACCTCTCACCTCCGTTCAACTGGATTCCCCCCCTCTGGTGCATCCCTTGCATCGCTCGCCCCTCTGCTCACCCTCTGCCCGCCCCTTTTCCTTGCCCTCAGCTGGCCCAGCCCCTGCCCGTTGCTGCCCCTCCCCTTGCCCCCTCAACTCCCCTGCCCCCCGTACACCCCACTCCCGTCCAACCGCCCCCACCCTCCCCCGGCTGCCCGTTTCCGCTCTCCACCCCCGCGACCGTGTGCGGCTTCCAACCGCCCAACGGTGGTGCGCACGGGGCGTTTCTTCGCGCGGGCAAGCCTCCCCGGGGGCCCCCCACCCCGCTGACTCGTTGTTCGGGCAAAAAAAACGGAAATAAAAAAGTCGGACGCGCTAAAATCGTCCTTTGTTTTTCCCGCTTGCCCCTCCCCGGCACGTGCCGAGCAAGGGGCATAAATGGGTACAACACGAGGACTTCCCGGGAGGTCACCCAGCCCAGTACTGCTCTCGCCCACCGGCGCTTAGCTTCGGAGTTCTGATGGGATCCGGCGTAGTAGCCGAGGTATGATCGTACCACGACAATCCCGTGCCCCGACCGGTACACACCCCTTGCCCGGGTCCCCCCTTCATAGTCACACCCCCTGCCCCCTCATGCCATCCGCTCCCCCCGCCCCTACCCTCCGCGTGCCCGCTCCCTCGCCGCCTCTTTTGACCCTCCCTGCCCCCCTCGCCGTTACCCACCGCTCGCCATTCGCTCCTCCCCGCCCGTGCCCTCCCCTCGTTTACCTTCGCCTCCCCCCTCCCCTCCTCTGCTGCACGCCTCTTCCTTCCCCTCGCTAACCCACTCCACTCCCTGCCCCTCCTCAATCCGCACCCTGCCCCTCGTTTCTCGCCCCCCTACGCTTGGTTTCTCCCCTCCCTGCCCCTCGCCGCCTTTCTCCGCTCCCCACCTCCCCCCTCTCCCTGCCCCCCCACTCTCCTCCACTTGCCCTTGGCTTCCCACCTCCCTGCCCCACCTTTCCCCCCTCCGTGTGCTCAGCTTCTCCCCTCCCTGCCTCTCCCTCCTCCCCGCCCTGCCCCTCATTTTCCGCCCCCCCACGCCCGGTTTCTCCCCTCCCTGCACCTCCCTTTCTTTCTCCGTGCCTCTCCTTTGCTCCCTCCCTGCCCCCGCCTGCCCATGCCCCTGTCTTTGGTTTCTCCCCTCCCTGCCCCACGTTTCTTCCCTCCCTGAGATCACCTTGTACCCCCTCTGCCCCTCCCTTGTTCTCCCCGCACCCATTGCTTCTCCCCTCCCTGCCCTTGATTTCCCGCACCCCTGCCCTTGTTTCCTACCATCCATGCCCCTCGTTTCCCCTCTTTGTACGTTCACCCTCTTCCCTCCCTGCCCCTCCCTTCCTCCCCCCCTGCCCTTTGCTTTCCCCTCGTTACGCTCCCTTCTCCCCATCCCTGCTGCCCTCTTACCACCATCAGCCCGTCCCCACCACCAGCCCCCCTCCCACCCTTCTCCCCCCCCCCCTCTCCCTCTCTCTCTCTCTCTCTCTCTCTTTCTCTCGCACACACACACACACACACACTCCCCTCCCCCACCCCCCACCCACATCCTCCCGTTCTGCCCCTCCCTGCCCCTGTTCCACCCCCTCGCACGCCCCTCACCTCTCACCTCCGTTCAACTGGATTCCCCCCCTCTGGTGCATCCCTTGCATCGCTCGCCCCTCTGCTCACCCTCTGCCCGCCCCTTTTCCTTGCCCTCAGCTGGCCCAGCCCCTGCCCGTTGCTGCCCCTCCCCTTGCCCCCTCAACTCCCCTGCCCCCCGTACACCCCACTCCCGTCCAACCGCCCCCACCCTCCCCCGGCTGCCCGTTTCCGCTCTCCACCCCCGCGACCGTGTGCGGCTTCCAACCGCCCAACGGTGGTGCGCACGGGGCGTTTCTTCGCGCGGGCAAGCCTCCCCGGGGGCCCCCCACCCCGCTGACTCGTTGTTCGGGCAAAAAAACGGAAATAAAAAAGTCGGACGCGCTAAAATCGTCCTTTGTTTTTCCCGCTTGCCCCTCCCCGGCACGTGCCGAGCAAGGGGCATAAATGGGTACAACACGAGGACTTCCCGGGAGGTCACCCAGCCCAGTACTGCTCTCGCCCACCGGCGCTTAGCTTCGGAGTTCTGATGGGATCCGGCGTAGTAGCCGAGGTATGATCGTACCACGACAATCCCGTGCCCCGACCGGTACACACCCCTTGCCCGGGTCCCCCCTTCATAGTCACACCCCCTGCCCCCTCATGCCATCCGCTCCCCCCGCCCCTACCCTCCGCGTGCCCGCTCCCTCGCCGCCTCTTTTGACCCTCCCTGCCCCCCTCGCCGTTACCCACCGCTCGCCATTCGCTCCTCCCCGCCCGTGCCCTCCCCTCGTTTACCTTCGCCTCCCCCCTCCCCTCCTCTGCTGCACGCCTCTTCCTTCCCCTCGCTAACCCACTCCACTCCCTGCCCCTCCTCAATCCGCACCCTGCCCCTCGTTTCTCGCCCCCCTACGCTTGGTTTCTCCCCTCCCTGCCCCTCGCCGCCTTTCTCCGCTCCCCACCTCCCCCCTCTCCCTGCCCCCCCACTCTCCTCCACTTGCCCTTGGCTTCCCACCTCCCTGCCCCACCTTTCCCCCCTCCGTGTGCTCAGCTTCTCCCCTCCCTGCCTCTCCCTCCTCCCCGCCCTGCCCCTCATTTTCCGCCCCCCCACGCCCGGTTTCTCCCCTCCCTGCACCTCCCTTTCTTTCTCCGTGCCTCTCCTTTGCTCCCTCCCTGCCCCCGCCTGCCCATGCCCCTGTCTTTGGTTTCTCCCCTCCCTGCCCCACGTTTCTTCCCTCCCTGAGATCACCTTGTACCCCCTCTGCCCCTCCCTTGTTCTCCCCGCACCCATTGCTTCTCCCCTCCCTGCCCTTGATTTCCCGCACCCCTGCCCTTGTTTCCTACCATCCATGCCCCTCGTTTCCCCTCTTTGTACGTTCACCCTCTTCCCTCCCTGCCCCTCCCTTCCTCCCCCCCTGCCCTTTGCTTTCCCCTCGTTACGCTCCCTTCTCCCCATCCCTGCTGCCCTCTTACCACCATCAGCCCGTCCCCACCACCAGCCCCCCTCCCACCCTTCTCCCCCCCCCCCTCTCCCTCTCTCTCTCTCTCTCTCTCTCTCTTTCTCTCGCACACACACACACACACACACTCCCCTCCCCCACCCCCCACCCACATCCTCCCGTTCTGCCCCTCCCTGCCCCTGTTCCACCCCCTCGCACGCCCCTCACCTCTCACCTCCGTTCAACTGGATTCCCCCCCTCTGGTGCATCCCTTGCATCGCTCGCCCCTCTGCTCACCCTCTGCCCGCCCCTTTTCCTTGCCCTCAGCTGGCCCAGCCCCTGCCCGTTGCTGCCCCTCCCCTTGCCCCCTCAACTCCCCTGCCCCCCGTACACCCCACTCCCGTCCAACCGCCCCCACCCTCCCCCGGCTGCCCGTTTCCGCTCTCCACCCCCGCGACCGTGTGCGGCTTCCAACCGCCCAACGGTGGTGCGCACGGGGCGTTTCTTCGCGCGGGCAAGCCTCCCCGGGGGCCCCCCACCCCGCTGACTCGTTGTTCGGGCAAAAAAACGGAAATAAAAAAGTCGGACGCGCTAAAATCGTCCTTTGTTTTTCCCGCTTGCCCCTCCCCGGCACGTGCCGAGCAAGGGGCATAAATGGGTACAACACGAGGACTTCCCGGGAGGTCACCCAGCCCAGTACTGCTCTCGCCCACCGGCGCTTAGCTTCGGAGTTCTGATGGGATCCGGCGTAGTAGCCGAGGTATGATCGTACCACGACAATCCCGTGCCCCGACCGGTACACACCCCTTGCCCGGGTCCCCCCTTCATAGTCACACCCCCTGCCCCCTCATGCCATCCGCTCCCCCCGCCCCTACCCTCCGCGTGCCCGCTCCCTCGCCGCCTCTTTTGACCCTCCCTGCCCCCCTCGCCGTTACCCACCGCTCGCCATTCGCTCCTCCCCGCCCGTGCCCTCCCCTCGTTTACCTTCGCCTCCCCCCTCCCCTCCTCTGCTGCACGCCTCTTCCTTCCCCTCGCTAACCCACTCCACTCCCTGCCCCTCCTCAATCCGCACCCTGCCCCTCGTTTCTCGCCCCCCTACGCTTGGTTTCTCCCCTCCCTGCCCCTCGCCGCCTTTCTCCGCTCCCCACCTCCCCCCTCTCCCTGCCCCCCCACTCTCCTCCACTTGCCCTTGGCTTCCCACCTCCCTGCCCCACCTTTCCCCCCTCCGTGTGCTCAGCTTCTCCCCTCCCTGCCTCTCCCTCCTCCCCGCCCTGCCCCTCATTTTCCGCCCCCCCACGCCCGGTTTCTCCCCTCCCTGCACCTCCCTTTCTTTCTCCGTGCCTCTCCTTTGCTCCCTCCCTGCCCCCGCCTGCCCATGCCCCTGTCTTTGGTTTCTCCCCTCCCTGCCCCACGTTTCTTCCCTCCCTGAGATCACCTTGTACCCCCTCTGCCCCTCCCTTGTTCTCCCCGCACCCATTGCTTCTCCCCTCCCTGCCCTTGATTTCCCGCACCCCTGCCCTTGTTTCCTACCATCCATGCCCCTCGTTTCCCCTCTTTGTACGTTCACCCTCTTCCCTCCCTGCCCCTCCCTTCCTCCCCCCCTGCCCTTTGCTTTCCCCTCGTTACGCTCCCTTCTCCCCATCCCTGCTGCCCTCTTACCACCATCAGCCCGTCCCCACCACCAGCCCCCCTCCCACCCTTCTCCCCCCCCCCCCTCTCCCTCTCTCTCTCTCTCTCTCTCTCTTTCTCTCGCACACACACACACACACACACTCCCCTCCCCCACCCCCCACCCACATCCTCCCGTTCTGCCCCTCCCTGCCCCTGTTCCACCCCCTCGCACGCCCCTCACCTCTCACCTCCGTTCAACTGGATTCCCCCCCTCTGGTGCATCCCTTGCATCGCTCGCCCCTCTGCTCACCCTCTGCCCGCCCCTTTTCCTTGCCCTCAGCTGGCCCAGCCCCTGCCCGTTGCTGCCCCTCCCCTTGCCCCCTCAACTCCCCTGCCCCCCGTACACCCCACTCCCGTCCAACCGCCCCCACCCTCCCCCGGCTGCCCGTTTCCGCTCTCCACCCCCGCGACCGTGTGCGGCTTCCAACCGCCCAACGGTGGTGCGCACGGGGCGTTTCTTCGCGCGGGCAAGCCTCCCCGGGGGCCCCCCACCCCGCTGACTCGTTGTTCGGGCAAAAAAAACGGAAATAAAAAAGTCGGACGCGCTAAAATCGTCCTTTGTTTTTCCCGCTTGCCCCTCCCCGGCACGTGCCGAGCAAGGGGCATAAATGGGTACAACACGAGGACTTCCCGGGAGGTCACCCAGCCCAGTACTGCTCTCGCCCACCGGCGCTTAGCTTCGGAGTTCTGATGGGATCCGGCGTAGTAGCCGAGGTATGATCGTACCACGACAATCCCGTGCCCCGACCGGTACACACCCCTTGCCCGGGTCCCCCCTTCATAGTCACACCCCCTGCCCCCTCATGCCATCCGCTCCCCCCGCCCCTACCCTCCGCGTGCCCGCTCCCTCGCCGCCTCTTTTGACCCTCCCTGCCCCCCTCGCCGTTACCCACCGCTCGCCATTCGCTCCTCCCCGCCCGTGCCCTCCCCTCGTTTACCTTCGCCTCCCCCCTCCCCTCCTCTGCTGCACGCCTCTTCCTTCCCCTCGCTAACCCACTCCACTCCCTGCCCCTCCTCAATCCGCACCCTGCCCCTCGTTTCTCGCCCCCCTACGCTTGGTTTCTCCCCTCCCTGCCCCTCGCCGCCTTTCTCCGCTCCCCACCTCCCCCCTCTCCCTGCCCCCCCACTCTCCTCCACTTGCCCTTGGCTTCCCACCTCCCTGCCCCACCTTTCCCCCCTCCGTGTGCTCAGCTTCTCCCCTCCCTGCCTCTCCCTCCTCCCCGCCCTGCCCCTCATTTTCCGCCCCCCCACGCCCGGTTTCTCCCCTCCCTGCACCTCCCTTTCTTTCTCCGTGCCTCTCCTTTGCTCCCTCCCTGCCCCCGCCTGCCCATGCCCCTGTCTTTGGTTTCTCCCCTCCCTGCCCCACGTTTCTTCCCTCCCTGAGATCACCTTGTACCCCCTCTGCCCCTCCCTTGTTCTCCCCGCACCCATTGCTTCTCCCCTCCCTGCCCTTGATTTCCCGCACCCCTGCCCTTGTTTCCTACCATCCATGCCCCTCGTTTCCCCTCTTTGTACGTTCACCCTCTTCCCTCCCTGCCCCTCCCTTCCTCCCCCCCTGCCCTTTGCTTTCCCCTCGTTACGCTCCCTTCTCCCCATCCCTGCTGCCCTCTTACCACCATCAGCCCGTCCCCACCACCAGCCCCCCTCCCACCCTTCTCCCCCCCCCCCCTCTCCCTCTCTCTCTCTCTCTCTCTCTCTCTTTCTCTCGCACACACACACACACACACACTCCCCTCCCCCACCCCCCACCCACATCCTCCCGTTCTGCCCCTCCCTGCCCCTGTTCCACCCCCTCGCACGCCCCTCACCTCTCACCTCCGTTCAACTGGATTCCCCCCCTCTGGTGCATCCCTTGCATCGCTCGCCCCTCTGCTCACCCTCTGCCCGCCCCTTTTCCTTGCCCTCAGCTGGCCCAGCCCCTGCCCGTTGCTGCCCCTCCCCTTGCCCCCTCAACTCCCCTGCCCCCCGTACACCCCACTCCCGTCCAACCGCCCCCACCCTCCCCCGGCTGCCCGTTTCCGCTCTCCACCCCCGCGACCGTGTGCGGCTTCCAACCGCCCAACGGTGGTGCGCACGGGGCGTTTCTTCGCGCGGGCAAGCCTCCCCGGGGGCCCCCCACCCCGCTGACTCGTTGTTCGGGCAAAAAAAACGGAAATAAAAAAGTCGGACGCGCTAAAATCGTCCTTTGTTTTTCCCGCTTGCCCCTCCCCGGCACGTGCCGAGCAAGGGGCATAAATGGGTACAACACGAGGACTTCCCGGGAGGTCACCCAGCCCAGTACTGCTCTCGCCCACCGGCGCTTAGCTTCGGAGTTCTGATGGGATCCGGCGTAGTAGCCGAGGTATGATCGTACCACGACAATCCCGTGCCCCGACCGGTACACACCCCTTGCCCGGGTCCCCCCTTCATAGTCACACCCCCTGCCCCCTCATGCCATCCGCTCCCCCCGCCCCTACCCTCCGCGTGCCCGCTCCCTCGCCGCCTCTTTTGACCCTCCCTGCCCCCCTCGCCGTTACCCACCGCTCGCCATTCGCTCCTCCCCGCCCGTGCCCTCCCCTCGTTTACCTTCGCCTCCCCCCTCCCCTCCTCTGCTGCACGCCTCTTCCTTCCCCTCGCTAACCCACTCCACTCCCTGCCCCTCCTCAATCCGCACCCTGCCCCTCGTTTCTCGCCCCCCTACGCTTGGTTTCTCCCCTCCCTGCCCCTCGCCGCCTTTCTCCGCTCCCCACCTCCCCCCTCTCCCTGCCCCCCCACTCTCCTCCACTTGCCCTTGGCTTCCCACCTCCCTGCCCCACCTTTCCCCCCTCCGTGTGCTCAGCTTCTCCCCTCCCTGCCTCTCCCTCCTCCCCGCCCTGCCCCTCATTTTCCGCCCCCCCACGCCCGGTTTCTCCCCTCCCTGCACCTCCCTTTCTTTCTCCGTGCCTCTCCTTTGCTCCCTCCCTGCCCCCGCCTGCCCATGCCCCTGTCTTTGGTTTCTCCCCTCCCTGCCCCACGTTTCTTCCCTCCCTGAGATCACCTTGTACCCCCTCTGCCCCTCCCTTGTTCTCCCCGCACCCATTGCTTCTCCCCTCCCTGCCCTTGATTTCCCGCACCCCTGCCCTTGTTTCCTACCATCCATGCCCCTCGTTTCCCCTCTTTGTACGTTCACCCTCTTCCCTCCCTGCCCCTCCCTTCCTCCCCCCCTGCCCTTTGCTTTCCCCTCGTTACGCTCCCTTCTCCCCATCCCTGCTGCCCTCTTACCACCATCAGCCCGTCCCCACCACCAGCCCCCCTCCCACCCTTCTCCCCCCCCCCCCTCTCCCTCTCTCTCTCTCTCTCTCTCTCTTTCTCTCGCACACACACACACACACACACTCCCCTCCCCCACCCCCCACCCACATCCTCCCGTTCTGCCCCTCCCTGCCCCTGTTCCACCCCCTCGCACGCCCCTCACCTCTCACCTCCGTTCAACTGGATTCCCCCCCTCTGGTGCATCCCTTGCATCGCTCGCCCCTCTGCTCACCCTCTGCCCGCCCCTTTTCCTTGCCCTCAGCTGGCCCAGCCCCTGCCCGTTGCTGCCCCTCCCCTTGCCCCCTCAACTCCCCTGCCCCCCGTACACCCCACTCCCGTCCAACCGCCCCCACCCTCCCCCGGCTGCCCGTTTCCGCTCTCCACCCCCGCGACCGTGTGCGGCTTCCAACCGCCCAACGGTGGTGCGCACGGGGCGTTTCTTCGCGCGGGCAAGCCTCCCCGGGGGCCCCCCACCCCGCTGACTCGTTGTTCGGGCAAAAAAAACGGAAATAAAAAAGTCGGACGCGCTAAAATCGTCCTTTGTTTTTCCCGCTTGCCCCTCCCCGGCACGTGCCGAGCAAGGGGCATAAATGGGTACAACACGAGGACTTCCCGGGAGGTCACCCAGCCCAGTACTGCTCTCGCCCACCGGCGCTTAGCTTCGGAGTTCTGATGGGATCCGGCGTAGTAGCCGAGGTATGATCGTACCACGACAATCCCGTGCCCCGACCGGTACACACCCCTTGCCCGGGTCCCCCCTTCATAGTCACACCCCCTGCCCCCTCATGCCATCCGCTCCCCCCGCCCCTACCCTCCGCGTGCCCGCTCCCTCGCCGCCTCTTTTGACCCTCCCTGCCCCCCTCGCCGTTACCCACCGCTCGCCATTCGCTCCTCCCCGCCCGTGCCCTCCCCTCGTTTACCTTCGCCTCCCCCCTCCCCTCCTCTGCTGCACGCCTCTTCCTTCCCCTCGCTAACCCACTCCACTCCCTGCCCCTCCTCAATCCGCACCCTGCCCCTCGTTTCTCGCCCCCCTACGCTTGGTTTCTCCCCTCCCTGCCCCTCGCCGCCTTTCTCCGCTCCCCACCTCCCCCCTCTCCCTGCCCCCCCACTCTCCTCCACTTGCCCTTGGCTTCCCACCTCCCTGCCCCACCTTTCCCCCCTCCGTGTGCTCAGCTTCTCCCCTCCCTGCCTCTCCCTCCTCCCCGCCCTGCCCCTCATTTTCCGCCCCCCCACGCCCGGTTTCTCCCCTCCCTGCACCTCCCTTTCTTTCTCCGTGCCTCTCCTTTGCTCCCTCCCTGCCCCCGCCTGCCCATGCCCCTGTCTTTGGTTTCTCCCCTCCCTGCCCCACGTTTCTTCCCTCCCTGAGATCACCTTGTACCCCCTCTGCCCCTCCCTTGTTCTCCCCGCACCCATTGCTTCTCCCCTCCCTGCCCTTGATTTCCCGCACCCCTGCCCTTGTTTCCTACCATCCATGCCCCTCGTTTCCCCTCTTTGTACGTTCACCCTCTTCCCTCCCTGCCCCTCCCTTCCTCCCCCCCTGCCCTTTGCTTTCCCCTCGTTACGCTCCCTTCTCCCCATCCCTGCTGCCCTCTTACCACCATCAGCCCGTCCCCACCACCAGCCCCCCTCCCACCCTTCTCCCCCCCCCCCCTCTCCCTCTCTCTCTCTCTCTCTCTCTCTCTTTCTCTCGCACACACACACACACACACACTCCCCTCCCCCACCCCCCACCCACATCCTCCCGTTCTGCCCCTCCCTGCCCCTGTTCCACCCCCTCGCACGCCCCTCACCTCTCACCTCCGTTCAACTGGATTCCCCCCCTCTGGTGCATCCCTTGCATCGCTCGCCCCTCTGCTCACCCTCTGCCCGCCCCTTTTCCTTGCCCTCAGCTGGCCCAGCCCCTGCCCGTTGCTGCCCCTCCCCTTGCCCCCTCAACTCCCCTGCCCCCCGTACACCCCACTCCCGTCCAACCGCCCCCACCCTCCCCCGGCTGCCCGTTTCCGCTCTCCACCCCCGCGACCGTGTGCGGCTTCCAACCGCCCAACGGTGGTGCGCACGGGGCGTTTCTTCGCGCGGGCAAGCCTCCCCGGGGGCCCCCCACCCCGCTGACTCGTTGTTCGGGCAAAAAAAACGGAAATAAAAAAGTCGGACGCGCTAAAATCGTCCTTTGTTTTTCCCGCTTGCCCCTCCCCGGCACGTGCCGAGCAAGGGGCATAAATGGGTACAACACGAGGACTTCCCGGGAGGTCACCCAGCCCAGTACTGCTCTCGCCCACCGGCGCTTAGCTTCGGAGTTCTGATGGGATCCGGCGTAGTAGCCGAGGTATGATCGTACCACGACAATCCCGTGCCCCGACCGGTACACACCCCTTGCCCGGGTCCCCCCTTCATAGTCACACCCCCTGCCCCCTCATGCCATCCGCTCCCCCCGCCCCTACCCTCCGCGTGCCCGCTCCCTCGCCGCCTCTTTTGACCCTCCCTGCCCCCCTCGCCGTTACCCACCGCTCGCCATTCGCTCCTCCCCGCCCGTGCCCTCCCCTCGTTTACCTTCGCCTCCCCCCTCCCCTCCTCTGCTGCACGCCTCTTCCTTCCCCTCGCTAACCCACTCCACTCCCTGCCCCTCCTCAATCCGCACCCTGCCCCTCGTTTCTCGCCCCCCTACGCTTGGTTTCTCCCCTCCCTGCCCCTCGCCGCCTTTCTCCGCTCCCCACCTCCCCCCTCTCCCTGCCCCCCCACTCTCCTCCACTTGCCCTTGGCTTCCCACCTCCCTGCCCCACCTTTCCCCCCTCCGTGTGCTCAGCTTCTCCCCTCCCTGCCTCTCCCTCCTCCCCGCCCTGCCCCTCATTTTCCGCCCCCCCACGCCCGGTTTCTCCCCTCCCTGCACCTCCCTTTCTTTCTCCGTGCCTCTCCTTTGCTCCCTCCCTGCCCCCGCCTGCCCATGCCCCTGTCTTTGGTTTCTCCCCTCCCTGCCCCACGTTTCTTCCCTCCCTGAGATCACCTTGTACCCCCTCTGCCCCTCCCTTGTTCTCCCCGCACCCATTGCTTCTCCCCTCCCTGCCCTTGATTTCCCGCACCCCTGCCCTTGTTTCCTACCATCCATGCCCCTCGTTTCCCCTCTTTGTACGTTCACCCTCTTCCCTCCCTGCCCCTCCCTTCCTCCCCCCCTGCCCTTTGCTTTCCCCTCGTTACGCTCCCTTCTCCCCATCCCTGCTGCCCTCTTACCACCATCAGCCCGTCCCCACCACCAGCCCCCCTCCCACCCTTCTCCCCCCCCCCCTCTCCCTCTCTCTCTCTCTCTCTCTCTCTTTCTCTCGCACACACACACACACACACACTCCCCTCCCCCACCCCCCACCCACATCCTCCCGTTCTGCCCCTCCCTGCCCCTGTTCCACCCCCTCGCACGCCCCTCACCTCTCACCTCCGTTCAACTGGATTCCCCCCCTCTGGTGCATCCCTTGCATCGCTCGCCCCTCTGCTCACCCTCTGCCCGCCCCTTTTCCTTGCCCTCAGCTGGCCCAGCCCCTGCCCGTTGCTGCCCCTCCCCTTGCCCCCTCAACTCCCCTGCCCCCCGTACACCCCACTCCCGTCCAACCGCCCCCACCCTCCCCCGGCTGCCCGTTTCCGCTCTCCACCCCCGCGACCGTGTGCGGCTTCCAACCGCCCAACGGTGGTGCGCACGGGGCGTTTCTTCGCGCGGGCAAGCCTCCCCGGGGGCCCCCCACCCCGCTGACTCGTTGTTCGGGCAAAAAAAACGGAAATAAAAAAGTCGGACGCGCTAAAATCGTCCTTTGTTTTTCCCGCTTGCCCCTCCCCGGCACGTGCCGAGCAAGGGGCATAAATGGGTACAACACGAGGACTTCCCGGGAGGTCACCCAGCCCAGTACTGCTCTCGCCCACCGGCGCTTAGCTTCGGAGTTCTGATGGGATCCGGCGTAGTAGCCGAGGTATGATCGTACCACGACAATCCCGTGCCCCGACCGGTACACACCCCTTGCCCGGGTCCCCCCTTCATAGTCACACCCCCTGCCCCCTCATGCCATCCGCTCCCCCCGCCCCTACCCTCCGCGTGCCCGCTCCCTCGCCGCCTCTTTTGACCCTCCCTGCCCCCCTCGCCGTTACCCACCGCTCGCCATTCGCTCCTCCCCGCCCGTGCCCTCCCCTCGTTTACCTTCGCCTCCCCCCTCCCCTCCTCTGCTGCACGCCTCTTCCTTCCCCTCGCTAACCCACTCCACTCCCTGCCCCTCCTCAATCCGCACCCTGCCCCTCGTTTCTCGCCCCCCTACGCTTGGTTTCTCCCCTCCCTGCCCCTCGCCGCCTTTCTCCGCTCCCCACCTCCCCCCTCTCCCTGCCCCCCCACTCTCCTCCACTTGCCCTTGGCTTCCCACCTCCCTGCCCCACCTTTCCCCCCTCCGTGTGCTCAGCTTCTCCCCTCCCTGCCTCTCCCTCCTCCCCGCCCTGCCCCTCATTTTCCGCCCCCCCACGCCCGGTTTCTCCCCTCCCTGCACCTCCCTTTCTTTCTCCGTGCCTCTCCTTTGCTCCCTCCCTGCCCCCGCCTGCCCATGCCCCTGTCTTTGGTTTCTCCCCTCCCTGCCCCACGTTTCTTCCCTCCCTGAGATCACCTTGTACCCCCTCTGCCCCTCCCTTGTTCTCCCCGCACCCATTGCTTCTCCCCTCCCTGCCCTTGATTTCCCGCACCCCTGCCCTTGTTTCCTACCATCCATGCCCCTCGTTTCCCCTCTTTGTACGTTCACCCTCTTCCCTCCCTGCCCCTCCCTTCCTCCCCCCCTGCCCTTTGCTTTCCCCTCGTTACGCTCCCTTCTCCCCATCCCTGCTGCCCTCTTACCACCATCAGCCCGTCCCCACCACCAGCCCCCCTCCCACCCTTCTCCCCCCCCCCCCCTCTCCCTCTCTCTCTCTCTCTCTCTCTCTCTTTCTCTCGCACACACACACACACACACACTCCCCTCCCCCACCCCCCACCCACATCCTCCCGTTCTGCCCCTCCCTGCCCCTGTTCCACCCCCTCGCACGCCCCTCACCTCTCACCTCCGTTCAACTGGATTCCCCCCCTCTGGTGCATCCCTTGCATCGCTCGCCCCTCTGCTCACCCTCTGCCCGCCCCTTTTCCTTGCCCTCAGCTGGCCCAGCCCCTGCCCGTTGCTGCCCCTCCCCTTGCCCCCTCAACTCCCCTGCCCCCCGTACACCCCACTCCCGTCCAACCGCCCCCACCCTCCCCCGGCTGCCCGTTTCCGCTCTCCACCCCCGCGACCGTGTGCGGCTTCCAACCGCCCAACGGTGGTGCGCACGGGGCGTTTCTTCGCGCGGGCAAGCCTCCCCGGGGGCCCCCCACCCCGCTGACTCGTTGTTCGGGCAAAAAAACGGAAATAAAAAAGTCGGACGCGCTAAAATCGTCCTTTGTTTTTCCCGCTTGCCCCTCCCCGGCACGTGCCGAGCAAGGGGCATAAATGGGTACAACACGAGGACTTCCCGGGAGGTCACCCAGCCCAGTACTGCTCTCGCCCACCGGCGCTTAGCTTCGGAGTTCTGATGGGATCCGGCGTAGTAGCCGAGGTATGATCGTACCACGACAATCCCGTGCCCCGACCGGTACACACCCCTTGCCCGGGTCCCCCCTTCATAGTCACACCCCCTGCCCCCTCATGCCATCCGCTCCCCCCGCCCCTACCCTCCGCGTGCCCGCTCCCTCGCCGCCTCTTTTGACCCTCCCTGCCCCCCTCGCCGTTACCCACCGCTCGCCATTCGCTCCTCCCCGCCCGTGCCCTCCCCTCGTTTACCTTCGCCTCCCCCCTCCCCTCCTCTGCTGCACGCCTCTTCCTTCCCCTCGCTAACCCACTCCACTCCCTGCCCCTCCTCAATCCGCACCCTGCCCCTCGTTTCTCGCCCCCCTACGCTTGGTTTCTCCCCTCCCTGCCCCTCGCCGCCTTTCTCCGCTCCCCACCTCCCCCCTCTCCCTGCCCCCCCACTCTCCTCCACTTGCCCTTGGCTTCCCACCTCCCTGCCCCACCTTTCCCCCCTCCGTGTGCTCAGCTTCTCCCCTCCCTGCCTCTCCCTCCTCCCCGCCCTGCCCCTCATTTTCCGCCCCCCCACGCCCGGTTTCTCCCCTCCCTGCACCTCCCTTTCTTTCTCCGTGCCTCTCCTTTGCTCCCTCCCTGCCCCCGCCTGCCCATGCCCCTGTCTTTGGTTTCTCCCCTCCCTGCCCCACGTTTCTTCCCTCCCTGAGATCACCTTGTACCCCCTCTGCCCCTCCCTTGTTCTCCCCGCACCCATTGCTTCTCCCCTCCCTGCCCTTGATTTCCCGCACCCCTGCCCTTGTTTCCTACCATCCATGCCCCTCGTTTCCCCTCTTTGTACGTTCACCCTCTTCCCTCCCTGCCCCTCCCTTCCTCCCCCCCTGCCCTTTGCTTTCCCCTCGTTACGCTCCCTTCTCCCCATCCCTGCTGCCCTCTTACCACCATCAGCCCGTCCCCACCACCAGCCCCCCTCCCACCCTTCTCCCCCCCCCCCCTCTCCCTCTCTCTCTCTCTCTCTCTCTCTCTTTCTCTCGCACACACACACACACACACACTCCCCTCCCCCACCCCCCACCCACATCCTCCCGTTCTGCCCCTCCCTGCCCCTGTTCCACCCCCTCGCACGCCCCTCACCTCTCACCTCCGTTCAACTGGATTCCCCCCCTCTGGTGCATCCCTTGCATCGCTCGCCCCTCTGCTCACCCTCTGCCCGCCCCTTTTCCTTGCCCTCAGCTGGCCCAGCCCCTGCCCGTTGCTGCCCCTCCCCTTGCCCCCTCAACTCCCCTGCCCCCCGTACACCCCACTCCCGTCCAACCGCCCCCACCCTCCCCCGGCTGCCCGTTTCCGCTCTCCACCCCCGCGACCGTGTGCGGCTTCCAACCGCCCAACGGTGGTGCGCACGGGGCGTTTCTTCGCGCGGGCAAGCCTCCCCGGGGGCCCCCCACCCCGCTGACTCGTTGTTCGGGCAAAAAAAACGGAAATAAAAAAGTCGGACGCGCTAAAATCGTCCTTTGTTTTTCCCGCTTGCCCCTCCCCGGCACGTGCCGAGCAAGGGGCATAAATGGGTACAACACGAGGACTTCCCGGGAGGTCACCCAGCCCAGTACTGCTCTCGCCCACCGGCGCTTAGCTTCGGAGTTCTGATGGGATCCGGCGTAGTAGCCGAGGTATGATCGTACCACGACAATCCCGTGCCCCGACCGGTACACACCCCTTGCCCGGGTCCCCCCTTCATAGTCACACCCCCTGCCCCCTCATGCCATCCGCTCCCCCCGCCCCTACCCTCCGCGTGCCCGCTCCCTCGCCGCCTCTTTTGACCCTCCCTGCCCCCCTCGCCGTTACCCACCGCTCGCCATTCGCTCCTCCCCGCCCGTGCCCTCCCCTCGTTTACCTTCGCCTCCCCCCTCCCCTCCTCTGCTGCACGCCTCTTCCTTCCCCTCGCTAACCCACTCCACTCCCTGCCCCTCCTCAATCCGCACCCTGCCCCTCGTTTCTCGCCCCCCTACGCTTGGTTTCTCCCCTCCCTGCCCCTCGCCGCCTTTCTCCGCTCCCCACCTCCCCCCTCTCCCTGCCCCCCCACTCTCCTCCACTTGCCCTTGGCTTCCCACCTCCCTGCCCCACCTTTCCCCCCTCCGTGTGCTCAGCTTCTCCCCTCCCTGCCTCTCCCTCCTCCCCGCCCTGCCCCTCATTTTCCGCCCCCCCACGCCCGGTTTCTCCCCTCCCTGCACCTCCCTTTCTTTCTCCGTGCCTCTCCTTTGCTCCCTCCCTGCCCCCGCCTGCCCATGCCCCTGTCTTTGGTTTCTCCCCTCCCTGCCCCACGTTTCTTCCCTCCCTGAGATCACCTTGTACCCCCTCTGCCCCTCCCTTGTTCTCCCCGCACCCATTGCTTCTCCCCTCCCTGCCCTTGATTTCCCGCACCCCTGCCCTTGTTTCCTACCATCCATGCCCCTCGTTTCCCCTCTTTGTACGTTCACCCTCTTCCCTCCCTGCCCCTCCCTTCCTCCCCCCCTGCCCTTTGCTTTCCCCTCGTTACGCTCCCTTCTCCCCATCCCTGCTGCCCTCTTACCACCATCAGCCCGTCCCCACCACCAGCCCCCCTCCCACCCTTCTCCCCCCCCCCCTCTCCCTCTCTCTCTCTCTCTCTCTCTCTTTCTCTCGCACACACACACACACACACACTCCCCTCCCCCACCCCCCACCCACATCCTCCCGTTCTGCCCCTCCCTGCCCCTGTTCCACCCCCTCGCACGCCCCTCACCTCTCACCTCCGTTCAACTGGATTCCCCCCCTCTGGTGCATCCCTTGCATCGCTCGCCCCTCTGCTCACCCTCTGCCCGCCCCTTTTCCTTGCCCTCAGCTGGCCCAGCCCCTGCCCGTTGCTGCCCCTCCCCTTGCCCCCTCAACTCCCCTGCCCCCCGTACACCCCACTCCCGTCCAACCGCCCCCACCCTCCCCCGGCTGCCCGTTTCCGCTCTCCACCCCCGCGACCGTGTGCGGCTTCCAACCGCCCAACGGTGGTGCGCACGGGGCGTTTCTTCGCGCGGGCAAGCCTCCCCGGGGGCCCCCCACCCCGCTGACTCGTTGTTCGGGCAAAAAAAACGGAAATAAAAAAGTCGGACGCGCTAAAATCGTCCTTTGTTTTTCCCGCTTGCCCCTCCCCGGCACGTGCCGAGCAAGGGGCATAAATGGGTACAACACGAGGACTTCCCGGGAGGTCACCCAGCCCAGTACTGCTCTCGCCCACCGGCGCTTAGCTTCGGAGTTCTGATGGGATCCGGCGTAGTAGCCGAGGTATGATCGTACCACGACAATCCCGTGCCCCGACCGGTACACACCCCTTGCCCGGGTCCCCCCTTCATAGTCACACCCCCTGCCCCCTCATGCCATCCGCTCCCCCCGCCCCTACCCTCCGCGTGCCCGCTCCCTCGCCGCCTCTTTTGACCCTCCCTGCCCCCCTCGCCGTTACCCACCGCTCGCCATTCGCTCCTCCCCGCCCGTGCCCTCCCCTCGTTTACCTTCGCCTCCCCCCTCCCCTCCTCTGCTGCACGCCTCTTCCTTCCCCTCGCTAACCCACTCCACTCCCTGCCCCTCCTCAATCCGCACCCTGCCCCTCGTTTCTCGCCCCCCTATGCTTGGTTTCTCCCCCCCTGCCCTTTGCTTTCCCCTCGTTACGCTCCCTTCTCCCCATCCCTGCTGCCCTCTTACCACCATCAGCCCGTCCCCACCACCAGCCCCCCTCCCACCCTTCTCCCCCCCCCCCTCTCCCTCTCTCTCTCTCTCTCTCTATCTCTCTCACTCTCTCTCTCTCTCTCTCTCTTTCTCTCGCACACACACACACACACACACTCCCCTCCCCCACCCCCCACCCACATCCTCCCGTTCTGCCCCTCCCTGCCCCTGTTCCACCCCCTCGCACGCCCCTCACCTCTCACCTCCGTTCAACTGGATTCCCCCCCTCTGGTGCATCCCTTGCATCGCTCGCCCCTCTGCTCACCCTCTGCCCGCCCCTTTTCCTTGCCCTCAGCTGGCCCAGCCCCTGCCCGTTGCTGCCCCTCCCCTTGCCCCCTCAACTCCCCTGCCCCCCGTACACCCCACTCCCGTCCAACCGCCCCCACCCTCCCCCGGCTGCCCGTTTCCGCTCTCCACCCCCGCGACCGTGTGCGGCTTCCAACCGCCCAACGGTGGTGCGCACGGGGCGTTTCTTCGCGCGGGCAAGCCTCCCCGGGGGCCCCCCACCCCGCTGACTCGTTGTTCGGGCAAAAAAACGGAAATAAAAAAGTCGGACGCGCTAAAATCGTCCTTTGTTTTTCCCGCTTGCCCCTCCCCGGCACGTGCCGAGCAAGGGGCATAAATGGGTACAACACGAGGACTTCCCGGGAGGTCACCCAGCCCAGTACTGCTCTCGCCCACCGGCGCTTAGCTTCGGAGTTCTGATGGGATCCGGCGTAGTAGCCGAGGTATGATCGTACCACGACAATCCCGTGCCCCGACCGGTACACACCCCTTGCCCGGGTCCCCCCTTCATAGTCACACCCCCTGCCCCCTCATGCCATCCGCTCCCCCCGCCCCTACCCTCCGCGTGCCCGCTCCCTCGCCGCCTCTTTTGACCCTCCCTGCCCCCCTCGCCGTTACCCACCGCTCGCCATTCGCTCCTCCCCGCCCGTGCCCTCCCCTCGTTTACCTTCGCCTCCCCCCTCCCCTCCTCTGCTGCACGCCTCTTCCTTCCCCTCGCTAACCCACTCCACTCCCTGCCCCTCCTCAATCCGCACCCTGCCCCTCGTTTCTCGCCCCCCTACGCTTGGTTTCTCCCCTCCCTGCCCCTCGCCGCCTTTCTCCGCTCCCCACCTCCCCCCTCTCCCTGCCCCCCCACTCTCCTCCACTTGCCCTTGGCTTCCCACCTCCCTGCCCCACCTTTCCCCCCTCCGTGTGCTCAGCTTCTCCCCTCCCTGCCTCTCCCTCCTCCCCGCCCTGCCCCTCATTTTCCGCCCCCCCACGCCCGGTTTCTCCCCTCCCTGCACCTCCCTTTCTTTCTCCGTGCCTCTCCTTTGCTCCCTCCCTGCCCCCGCCTGCCCATGCCCCTGTCTTTGGTTTCTCCCCTCCCTGCCCCACGTTTCTTCCCTCCCTGAGATCACCTTGTACCCCCTCTGCCCCTCCCTTGTTCTCCCCGCACCCATTGCTTCTCCCCTCCCTGCCCTTGATTTCCCGCACCCCTGCCCTTGTTTCCTACCATCCATGCCCCTCGTTTCCCCTCTTTGTACGTTCACCCTCTTCCCTCCCTGCCCCTCCCTTCCTCCCCCCCTGCCCTTTGCTTTCCCCTCGTTACGCTCCCTTCTCCCCATCCCTGCTGCCCTCTTACCACCATCAGCCCGTCCCCACCACCAGCCCCCCTCCCACCCTTCTCCCCCCCCCCCTCTCCCTCTCTCTCTCTCTCTCTCTCTCTTTCTCTCGCACACACACACACACACACACTCCCCTCCCCCACCCCCCACCCACATCCTCCCGTTCTGCCCCTCCCTGCCCCTGTTCCACCCCCTCGCACGCCCCTCACCTCTCACCTCCGTTCAACTGGATTCCCCCCCTCTGGTGCATCCCTTGCATCGCTCGCCCCTCTGCTCACCCTCTGCCCGCCCCTTTTCCTTGCCCTCAGCTGGCCCAGCCCCTGCCCGTTGCTGCCCCTCCCCTTGCCCCCTCAACTCCCCTGCCCCCCGTACACCCCACTCCCGTCCAACCGCCCCCACCCTCCCCCGGCTGCCCGTTTCCGCTCTCCACCCCCGCGACCGTGTGCGGCTTCCAACCGCCCAACGGTGGTGCGCACGGGGCGTTTCTTCGCGCGGGCAAGCCTCCCCGGGGGCCCCCCACCCCGCTGACTCGTTGTTCGGGGCAAAAAAAACGGAAATAAAAAAGTCGGACGCGCTAAAATCGTCCTTTGTTTTTCCCGCTTGCCCCTCCCCGGCACGTGCCGAGCAAGGGGCATAAATGGGTACAACACGAGGACTTCCCGGGAGGTCACCCAGCCCAGTACTGCTCTCGCCCACCGGCGCTTAGCTTCGGAGTTCTGATGGGATCCGGCGTAGTAGCCGAGGTATGATCGTACCACGACAATCCCGTGCCCCGACCGGTACACACCCCTTGCCCGGGTCCCCCCTTCATAGTCACACCCCCTGCCCCCTCATGCCATCCGCTCCCCCCGCCCCTACCCTCCGCGTGCCCGCTCCCTCGCCGCCTCTTTTGACCCTCCCTGCCCCCCTCGCCGTTACCCACCGCTCGCCATTCGCTCCTCCCCGCCCGTGCCCTCCCCTCGTTTACCTTCGCCTCCCCCCTCCCCTCCTCTGCTGCACGCCTCTTCCTTCCCCTCGCTAACCCACTCCACTCCCTGCCCCTCCTCAATCCGCACCCTGCCCCTCGTTTCTCGCCCCCCTACGCTTGGTTTCTCCCCTCCCTGCCCCTCGCCGCCTTTCTCCGCTCCCCACCTCCCCCCTCTCCCTGCCCCCCCACTCTCCTCCACTTGCCCTTGGCTTCCCACCTCCCTGCCCCACCTTTCCCCCCTCCGTGTGCTCAGCTTCTCCCCTCCCTGCCTCTCCCTCCTCCCCGCCCTGCCCCTCATTTTCCGCCCCCCCACGCCCGGTTTCTCCCCTCCCTGCACCTCCCTTTCTTTCTCCGTGCCTCTCCTTTGCTCCCTCCCTGCCCCCGCCTGCCCATGCCCCTGTCTTTGGTTTCTCCCCTCCCTGCCCCACGTTTCTTCCCTCCCTGAGATCACCTTGTACCCCCTCTGCCCCTCCCTTGTTCTCCCCGCACCCATTGCTTCTCCCCTCCCTGCCCTTGATTTCCCGCACCCCTGCCCTTGTTTCCTACCATCCATGCCCCTCGTTTCCCCTCTTTGTACGTTCACCCTCTTCCCTCCCTGCCCCTCCCTTCCTCCCCCCCTGCCCTTTGCTTTCCCCTCGTTACGCTCCCTTCTCCCCATCCCTGCTGCCCTCTTACCACCATCAGCCCGTCCCCACCACCAGCCCCCCTCCCACCCTTCTCCCCCCCCCCCTCTCCCTCTCTCTCTCTCTCTCTCTCTCTTTCTCTCGCACACACACACACACACACACTCCCCTCCCCCACCCCCCACCCACATCCTCCCGTTCTGCCCCTCCCTGCCCCTGTTCCACCCCCTCGCACGCCCCTCACCTCTCACCTCCGTTCAACTGGATTCCCCCCCTCTGGTGCATCCCTTGCATCGCTCGCCCCTCTGCTCACCCTCTGCCCGCCCCTTTTCCTTGCCCTCAGCTGGCCCAGCCCCTGCCCGTTGCTGCCCCTCCCCTTGCCCCCTCAACTCCCCTGCCCCCCGTACACCCCACTCCCGTCCAACCGCCCCCACCCTCCCCCGGCTGCCCGTTTCCGCTCTCCACCCCCGCGACCGTGTGCGGCTTCCAACCGCCCAACGGTGGTGCGCACGGGGCGTTTCTTCGCGCGGGCAAGCCTCCCCGGGGGCCCCCCACCCCGCTGACTCGTTGTTCGGGCAAAAAAAACGGAAATAAAAAAGTCGGACGCGCTAAAATCGTCCTTTGTTTTTCCCGCTTGCCCCTCCCCGGCACGTGCCGAGCAAGGGGCATAAATGGGTACAACACGAGGACTTCCCGGGAGGTCACCCAGCCCAGTACTGCTCTCGCCCACCGGCGCTTAGCTTCGGAGTTCTGATGGGATCCGGCGTAGTAGCCGAGGTATGATCGTACCACGACAATCCCGTGCCCCGACCGGTACACACCCCTTGCCCGGGTCCCCCCTTCATAGTCACACCCCCTGCCCCCTCATGCCATCCGCTCCCCCCGCCCCTACCCTCCGCGTGCCCGCTCCCTCGCCGCCTCTTTTGACCCTCCCTGCCCCCCTCGCCGTTACCCACCGCTCGCCATTCGCTCCTCCCCGCCCGTGCCCTCCCCTCGTTTACCTTCGCCTCCCCCCTCCCCTCCTCTGCTGCACGCCTCTTCCTTCCCCTCGCTAACCCACTCCACTCCCTGCCCCTCCTCAATCCGCACCCTGCCCCTCGTTTCTCGCCCCCCTACGCTTGGTTTCTCCCCTCCCTGCCCCTCGCCGCCTTTCTCCGCTCCCCACCTCCCCCCTCTCCCTGCCCCCCCACTCTCCTCCACTTGCCCTTGGCTTCCCACCTCCCTGCCCCACCTTTCCCCCCTCCGTGTGCTCAGCTTCTCCCCTCCCTGCCTCTCCCTCCTCCCCGCCCTGCCCCTCATTTTCCGCCCCCCCACGCCCGGTTTCTCCCCTCCCTGCACCTCCCTTTCTTTCTCCGTGCCTCTCCTTTGCTCCCTCCCTGCCCCCGCCTGCCCATGCCCCTGTCTTTGGTTTCTCCCCTCCCTGCCCCACGTTTCTTCCCTCCCTGAGATCACCTTGTACCCCCTCTGCCCCTCCCTTGTTCTCCCCGCACCCATTGCTTCTCCCCTCCCTGCCCTTGATTTCCCGCACCCCTGCCCTTGTTTCCTACCATCCATGCCCCTCGTTTCCCCTCTTTGTACGTTCACCCTCTTCCCTCCCTGCCCCTCCCTTCCTCCCCCCCTGCCCTTTGCTTTCCCCTCGTTACGCTCCCTTCTCCCCATCCCTGCTGCCCTCTTACCACCATCAGCCCGTCCCCACCACCAGCCCCCCTCCCACCCTTCTCCCCCCCCCCCCTCTCCCTCTCTCTCTCTCTCTCTCTCTCTTTCTCTCGCACACACACACACACACACACTCCCCTCCCCCACCCCCCACCCACATCCTCCCGTTCTGCCCCTCCCTGCCCCTGTTCCACCCCCTCGCACGCCCCTCACCTCTCACCTCCGTTCAACTGGATTCCCCCCCTCTGGTGCATCCCTTGCATCGCTCGCCCCTCTGCTCACCCTCTGCCCGCCCCTTTTCCTTGCCCTCAGCTGGCCCAGCCCCTGCCCGTTGCTGCCCCTCCCCTTGCCCCCTCAACTCCCCTGCCCCCCGTACACCCCACTCCCGTCCAACCGCCCCCACCCTCCCCCGGCTGCCCGTTTCCGCTCTCCACCCCCGCGACCGTGTGCGGCTTCCAACCGCCCAACGGTGGTGCGCACGGGGCGTTTCTTCGCGCGGGCAAGCCTCCCCGGGGGCCCCCCACCCCGCTGACTCGTTGTTCGGGGCAAAAAAAACGGAAATAAAAAAGTCGGACGCGCTAAAATCGTCCTTTGTTTTTCCCGCTTGCCCCTCCCCGGCACGTGCCGAGCAAGGGGCATAAATGGGTACAACACGAGGACTTCCCGGGAGGTCACCCAGCCCAGTACTGCTCTCGCCCACCGGCGCTTAGCTTCGGAGTTCTGATGGGATCCGGCGTAGTAGCCGAGGTATGATCGTACCACGACAATCCCGTGCCCCGACCGGTACACACCCCTTGCCCGGGTCCCCCCTTCATAGTCACACCCCCTGCCCCCTCATGCCATCCGCTCCCCCCGCCCCTACCCTCCGCGTGCCCGCTCCCTCGCCGCCTCTTTTGACCCTCCCTGCCCCCCTCGCCGTTACCCACCGCTCGCCATTCGCTCCTCCCCGCCCGTGCCCTCCCCTCGTTTACCTTCGCCTCCCCCCTCCCCTCCTCTGCTGCACGCCTCTTCCTTCCCCTCGCTAACCCACTCCACTCCCTGCCCCTCCTCAATCCGCACCCTGCCCCTCGTTTCTCGCCCCCCTACGCTTGGTTTCTCCCCTCCCTGCCCCTCGCCGCCTTTCTCCGCTCCCCACCTCCCCCCTCTCCCTGCCCCCCCACTCTCCTCCACTTGCCCTTGGCTTCCCACCTCCCTGCCCCACCTTTCCCCCCTCCGTGTGCTCAGCTTCTCCCCTCCCTGCCTCTCCCTCCTCCCCGCCCTGCCCCTCATTTTCCGCCCCCCCACGCCCGGTTTCTCCCCTCCCTGCACCTCCCTTTCTTTCTCCGTGCCTCTCCTTTGCTCCCTCCCTGCCCCCGCCTGCCCATGCCCCTGTCTTTGGTTTCTCCCCTCCCTGCCCCACGTTTCTTCCCTCCCTGAGATCACCTTGTACCCCCTCTGCCCCTCCCTTGTTCTCCCCGCACCCATTGCTTCTCCCCTCCCTGCCCTTGATTTCCCGCACCCCTGCCCTTGTTTCCTACCATCCATGCCCCTCGTTTCCCCTCTTTGTACGTTCACCCTCTTCCCTCCCTGCCCCTCCCTTCCTCCCCCCCTGCCCTTTGCTTTCCCCTCGTTACGCTCCCTTCTCCCCATCCCTGCTGCCCTCTTACCACCATCAGCCCGTCCCCACCACCAGCCCCCCTCCCACCCTTCTCCCCCCCCCCCTCTCCCTCTCTCTCTCTCTCTCTCTCTCTCTTTCTCTCGCACACACACACACACACACACTCCCCTCCCCCACCCCCCACCCACATCCTCCCGTTCTGCCCCTCCCTGCCCCTGTTCCACCCCCTCGCACGCCCCTCACCTCTCACCTCCGTTCAACTGGATTCCCCCCCTCTGGTGCATCCCTTGCATCGCTCGCCCCTCTGCTCACCCTCTGCCCGCCCCTTTTCCTTGCCCTCAGCTGGCCCAGCCCCTGCCCGTTGCTGCCCCTCCCCTTGCCCCCTCAACTCCCCTGCCCCCCGTACACCCCACTCCCGTCCAACCGCCCCCACCCTCCCCCGGCTGCCCGTTTCCGCTCTCCACCCCCGCGACCGTGTGCGGCTTCCAACCGCCCAACGGTGGTGCGCACGGGGCGTTTCTTCGCGCGGGCAAGCCTCCCCGGGGGCCCCCCACCCCGCTGACTCGTTGTTCGGGCAAAAAAAACGGAAATAAAAAAGTCGGACGCGCTAAAATCGTCCTTTGTTTTTCCCGCTTGCCCCTCCCCGGCACGTGCCGAGCAAGGGGCATAAATGGGTACAACACGAGGACTTCCCGGGAGGTCACCCAGCCCAGTACTGCTCTCGCCCACCGGCGCTTAGCTTCGGAGTTCTGATGGGATCCGGCGTAGTAGCCGAGGTATGATCGTACCACGACAATCCCGTGCCCCGACCGGTACACACCCCTTGCCCGGGTCCCCCCTTCATAGTCACACCCCCTGCCCCCTCATGCCATCCGCTCCCCCCGCCCCTACCCTCCGCGTGCCCGCTCCCTCGCCGCCTCTTTTGACCCTCCCTGCCCCCCTCGCCGTTACCCACCGCTCGCCATTCGCTCCTCCCCGCCCGTGCCCTCCCCTCGTTTACCTTCGCCTCCCCCCTCCCCTCCTCTGCTGCACGCCTCTTCCTTCCCCTCGCTAACCCACTCCACTCCCTGCCCCTCCTCAATCCGCACCCTGCCCCTCGTTTCTCGCCCCCCTATGCTTGGTTTCTCCCCCCCTGCCCTTTGCTTTCCCCTCGTTACGCTCCCTTCTCCCCATCCCTGCTGCCCTCTTACCACCATCAGCCCGTCCCCACCACCAGCCCCCCTCCCACCCTTCTCCCCCCCCCCTCTCCCTCTCTCTCTCTCTCTCTATCTCTCTCCTCTCTCTCTCTCTCTCTCTTTCTCTCGCACACACACACACACACACACTCCCCTCCCCCACCCCCCACCCACATCCTCCCGTTCTGCCCCTCCCTGCCCCTGTTCCACCCCCTCGCACGCCCCTCACCTCTCACCTCCGTTCAACTGGATTCCCCCCCTCTGGTGCATCCCTTGCATCGCTCGCCCCTCTGCTCACCCTCTGCCCGCCCCTTTTCCTTGCCCTCAGCTGGCCCAGCCCCTGCCCGTTGCTGCCCCTCCCCTTGCCCCCTCAACTCCCCTGCCCCCCGTACACCCCACTCCCGTCCAACCGCCCCCACCCTCCCCCGGCTGCCCGTTTCCGCTCTCCACCCCCGCGACCGTGTGCGGCTTCCAACCGCCCAACGGTGGTGCGCACGGGGCGTTTCTTCGCGCGGGCAAGCCTCCCCGGGGGCCCCCCACCCCGCTGACTCGTTGTTCGGGGCAAAAAAAACGGAAATAAAAAAGTCGGACGCGCTAAAATCGTCCTTTGTTTTTCCCGCTTGCCCCTCCCCGGCACGTGCCGAGCAAGGGGCATAAATGGGTACAACACGAGGACTTCCCGGGAGGTCACCCAGCCCAGTACTGCTCTCGCCCACCGGCGCTTAGCTTCGGAGTTCTGATGGGATCCGGCGTAGTAGCCGAGGTATGATCGTACCACGACAATCCCGTGCCCCGACCGGTACACACCCCTTGCCCGGGTCCCCCCTTCATAGTCACACCCCCTGCCCCCTCATGCCATCCGCTCCCCCCGCCCCTACCCTCCGCGTGCCCGCTCCCTCGCCGCCTCTTTTGACCCTCCCTGCCCCCCTCGCCGTTACCCACCGCTCGCCATTCGCTCCTCCCCGCCCGTGCCCTCCCCTCGTTTACCTTCGCCTCCCCCCTCCCCTCCTCTGCTGCACGCCTCTTCCTTCCCCTCGCTAACCCACTCCACTCCCTGCCCCTCCTCAATCCGCACCCTGCCCCTCGTTTCTCGCCCCCCTATGCTTGGTTTCTCCCCCCCTGCCCTTTGCTTTCCCCTCGTTACGCTCCCTTCTCCCCATCCCTGCTGCCCTCTTACCACCATCAGCCCGTCCCCACCACCAGCCCCCCTCCCACCCTTCTCCCCCCCCCCCTCTCCCTCTCTCTCTCTCTCTCTCTATCTCTCTCACTCTCTCTCTCTCTCTCTCTCTTTCTCTCGCACACACACACACACACACACACTCCCCTCCCCCACCCCCCACCCACATCCTCCCGTTCTGCCCCTCCCTGCCCCTGTTCCACCCCCTCGCACGCCCCTCACCTCTCACCTCCGTTCAACTGGATTCCCCCCCTCTGGTGCATCCCTTGCATCGCTCGCCCCTCTGCTCACCCTCTGCCCGCCCCTTTTCCTTGCCCTCAGCTGGCCCAGCCCCTGCCCGTTGCTGCCCCTCCCCTTGCCCCCTCAACTCCCCTGCCCCCCGTACACCCCACTCCCGTCCAACCGCCCCCACCCTCCCCCGGCTGCCCGTTTCCGCTCTCCACCCCCGCGACCGTGTGCGGCTTCCAACCGCCCAACGGTGGTGCGCACGGGGCGTTTCTTCGCGCGGGCAAGCCTCCCCGGGGGCCCCCCACCCCGCTGACTCGTTGTTCGGGCAAAAAAACGGAAATAAAAAAGTCGGACGCGCTAAAATCGTCCTTTGTTTTTCCCGCTTGCCCCTCCCCGGCACGTGCCGAGCAAGGGGCATAAATGGGTACAACACGAGGACTTCCCGGGAGGTCACCCAGCCCAGTACTGCTCTCGCCCACCGGCGCTTAGCTTCGGAGTTCTGATGGGATCCGGCGTAGTAGCCGAGGTATGATCGTACCACGACAATCCCGTGCCCCGACCGGTACACACCCCTTGCCCGGGTCCCCCCTTCATAGTCACACCCCCTGCCCCCTCATGCCATCCGCTCCCCCCGCCCCTACCCTCCGCGTGCCCGCTCCCCTCGCCGCCTCTTTTGACCCTCCCTGCCCCCCTCGCCGTTACCCACCGCTCGCCATTCGCTCCTCCCCGCCCGTGCCCTCCCCTCGTTTACCTTCGCCTCCCCCCTCCCCTCCTCTGCTGCACGCCTCTTCCTTCCCCTCGCTAACCCACTCCACTCCCTGCCCCTCCTCAATCCGCACCCTGCCCCTCGTTTCTCGCCCCCCTATGCTTGGTTTCTCCCCCCCTGCCCTTTGCTTTCCCCTCGTTACGCTCCCTTCTCCCCATCCCTGCTGCCCTCTTACCACCATCAGCCCGTCCCCACCACCAGCCCCCCTCCCACCCTTCTCCCCCCCCCCCTCTCCCTCTCTCTCTCTCTCTCTCTATCTCTCTCACTCTCTCTCTCTCTCTCTCTCTTTCTCTCGCACACACACACACACACACACTCCCCTCCCCCACCCCCCACCCACATCCTCCCGTTCTGCCCCTCCCTGCCCCTGTTCCACCCCCTCGCACGCCCCTCACCTCTCACCTCCGTTCAACTGGATTCCCCCCCTCTGGTGCATCCCTTGCATCGCTCGCCCCTCTGCTCACCCTCTGCCCGCCCCTTTTCCTTGCCCTCAGCTGGCCCAGCCCCTGCCCGTTGCTGCCCCTCCCCTTGCCCCCTCAACTCCCCTGCCCCCCGTACACCCCACTCCCGTCCAACCGCCCCCACCCTCCCCCGGCTGCCCGTTTCCGCTCTCCACCCCCGCGACCGTGTGCGGCTTCCAACCGCCCAACGGTGGTGCGCACGGGGCGTTTCTTCGCGCGGGCAAGCCTCCCCGGGGGCCCCCCACCCCGCTGACTCGTTGTTCGGGCAAAAAAAACGGAAATAAAAAAGTCGGACGCGCTAAAATCGTCCTTTGTTTTTCCCGCTTGCCCCTCCCCGGCACGTGCCGAGCAAGGGGCATAAATGGGTACAACACGAGGACTTCCCGGGAGGTCACCCAGCCCAGTACTGCTCTCGCCCACCGGCGCTTAGCTTCGGAGTTCTGATGGGATCCGGCGTAGTAGCCGAGGTATGATCGTACCACGACAATCCCGTGCCCCGACCGGTACACACCCCTTGCCCGGGTCCCCCCTTCATAGTCACACCCCCTGCCCCCTCATGCCATCCGCTCCCCCCGCCCCTACCCTCCGCGTGCCCGCTCCCTCGCCGCCTCTTTTGACCCTCCCTGCCCCCCTCGCCGTTACCCACCGCTCGCCATTCGCTCCTCCCCGCCCGTGCCCTCCCCTCGTTTACCTTCGCCTCCCCCCTCCCTCCTCTGCTGCACGCCTCTTCCTTCCCCTCGCTAACCCACTCCACTCCCTGCCCCTCCTCAATCCGCACCCTGCCCCTCGTTTCTCGCCCCCCTACGCTTGGTTTCTCCCCTCCCTGCCCCTCGCCGCCTTTCTCCGCTCCCCACCTCCCCCCTCTCCCTGCCCCCCCACTCTCCTCCACTTGCCCTTGGCTTCCCACCTCCCTGCCCCACCTTTCCCCCCTCCGTGTGCTCAGCTTCTCCCCTCCCTGCCTCTCCCTCCTCCCCGCCCTGCCCCTCATTTTCCGCCCCCCCACGCCCGGTTTCTCCCCTCCCTGCACCTCCCTTTCTTTCTCCGTGCCTCTCCTTTGCTCCCTCCCTGCCCCCGCCTGCCCATGCCCCTGTCTTTGGTTTCTCCCCTCCCTGCCCCACGTTTCTTCCCTCCCTGAGATCACCTTGTACCCCCTCTGCCCCTCCCTTGTTCTCCCCGCACCCATTGCTTCTCCCCTCCCTGCCCTTGATTTCCCGCACCCCTGCCCTTGTTTCCTACCATCCATGCCCCTCGTTTCCCCTCTTTGTACGTTCACCCTCTTCCCTCCCTGCCCCTCCCTTCCTCCCCCCTGCCCTTTGCTTTCCCCTCGTTACGCTCCCTTCTCCCCATCCCTGCTGCCCTCTTACCACCATCAGCCCGTCCCCACCACCAGCCCCCCTCCCACCCTTCTCCCCCCCCCCCCTCTCCCTCTCTCTCTCTCTCTCTCTCTCTCTTTCTCTCGCACACACACACACACACACACTCCCCTCCCCCACCCCCCACCCACATCCTCCCGTTCTGCCCCTCCCTGCCCCTGTTCCACCCCCTCGCACGCCCCTCACCTCTCACCTCCGTTCAACTGGATTCCCCCCCTCTGGTGCATCCCTTGCATCGCTCGCCCCTCTGCTCACCCTCTGCCCGCCCCTTTTCCTTGCCCTCAGCTGGCCCAGCCCCTGCCCGTTGCTGCCCCTCCCCTTGCCCCCTCAACTCCCCTGCCCCCCGTACACCCCACTCCCGTCCAACCGCCCCCACCCTCCCCCGGCTGCCCGTTTCCGCTCTCCACCCCCGCGACCGTGTGCGGCTTCCAACCGCCCAACGGTGGTGCGCACGGGGCGTTTCTTCGCGCGGGCAAGCCTCCCCGGGGGCCCCCCACCCCGCTGACTCGTTGTTCGGGGCAAAAAAAACGGAAATAAAAAAGTCGGACGCGCTAAAATCGTCCTTTGTTTTTCCCGCTTGCCCCTCCCCGGCACGTGCCGAGCAAGGGGCATAAATGGGTACAACACGAGGACTTCCCGGGAGGTCACCCAGCCCAGTACTGCTCTCGCCCACCGGCGCTTAGCTTCGGAGTTCTGATGGGATCCGGCGTAGTAGCCGAGGTATGATCGTACCACGACAATCCCGTGCCCCGACCGGTACACACCCCTTGCCCGGGTCCCCCCTTCATAGTCACACCCCCTGCCCCCTCATGCCATCCGCTCCCCCCGCCCCTACCCTCCGCGTGCCCGCTCCCTCGCCGCCTCTTTTGACCCTCCCTGCCCCCCTCGCCGTTACCCACCGCTCGCCATTCGCTCCTCCCCGCCCGTGCCCTCCCCTCGTTTACCTTCGCCTCCCCCCTCCCCTCCTCTGCTGCACGCCTCTTCCTTCCCCTCGCTAACCCACTCCACTCCCTGCCCCTCCTCAATCCGCACCCTGCCCCTCGTTTCTCGCCCCCCTACGCTTGGTTTCTCCCCTCCCTGCCCCTCGCCGCCTTTCTCCGCTCCCCACCTCCCCCCTCTCCCTGCCCCCCCACTCTCCTCCACTTGCCCTTGGCTTCCCACCTCCCTGCCCCACCTTTCCCCCCTCCGTGTGCTCAGCTTCTCCCCTCCCTGCCTCTCCCTCCTCCCCGCCCTGCCCCTCATTTTCCGCCCCCCCACGCCCGGTTTCTCCCCTCCCTGCACCTCCCTTTCTTTCTCCGTGCCTCTCCTTTGCTCCCTCCCTGCCCCCGCCTGCCCATGCCCCTGTCTTTGGTTTCTCCCCTCCCTGCCCCACGTTTCTTCCCTCCCTGAGATCACCTTGTACCCCCTCTGCCCCTCCCTTGTTCTCCCCGCACCCATTGCTTCTCCCCTCCCTGCCCTTGATTTCCCGCACCCCTGCCCTTGTTTCCTACCATCCATGCCCCTCGTTTCCCCTCTTTGTACGTTCACCCTCTTCCCTCCCTGCCCCTCCCTTCCTCCCCCCCTGCCCTTTGCTTTCCCCTCGTTACGCTCCCTTCTCCCCATCCCTGCTGCCCTCTTACCACCATCAGCCCGTCCCCACCACCAGCCCCCCTCCCACCCTTCTCCCCCCCCCCCCTCTCCCTCTCTCTCTCTCTCTCTCTCTCTTTCTCTCGCACACACACACACACACACACTCCCCTCCCCCACCCCCCACCCACATCCTCCCGTTCTGCCCCTCCCTGCCCCTGTTCCACCCCCTCGCACGCCCCTCACCTCTCACCTCCGTTCAACTGGATTCCCCCCCTCTGGTGCATCCCTTGCATCGCTCGCCCCTCTGCTCACCCTCTGCCCGCCCCTTTTCCTTGCCCTCAGCTGGCCCAGCCCCTGCCCGTTGCTGCCCCTCCCCTTGCCCCCTCAACTCCCCTGCCCCCCGTACACCCCACTCCCGTCCAACCGCCCCCACCCTCCCCCGGCTGCCCGTTTCCGCTCTCCACCCCCGCGACCGTGTGCGGCTTCCAACCGCCCAACGGTGGTGCGCACGGGGCGTTTCTTCGCGCGGGCAAGCCTCCCCGGGGGCCCCCCACCCCGCTGACTCGTTGTTCGGGCAAAAAAAACGGAAATAAAAAAGTCGGACGCGCTAAAATCGTCCTTTGTTTTTCCCGCTTGCCCCTCCCCGGCACGTGCCGAGCAAGGGGCATAAATGGGTACAACACGAGGACTTCCCGGGAGGTCACCCAGCCCAGTACTGCTCTCGCCCACCGGCGCTTAGCTTCGGAGTTCTGATGGGATCCGGCGTAGTAGCCGAGGTATGATCGTACCACGACAATCCCGTGCCCCGACCGGTACACACCCCTTGCCCGGGTCCCCCCTTCATAGTCACACCCCCTGCCCCCTCATGCCATCCGCTCCCCCCGCCCCTACCCTCCGCGTGCCCGCTCCCTCGCCGCCTCTTTTGACCCTCCCTGCCCCCCTCGCCGTTACCCACCGCTCGCCATTCGCTCCTCCCCGCCCGTGCCCTCCCCTCGTTTACCTTCGCCTCCCCCCTCCCCTCCTCTGCTGCACGCCTCTTCCTTCCCCTCGCTAACCCACTCCACTCCCTGCCCCTCCTCAATCCGCACCCTGCCCCTCGTTTCTCGCCCCCCTACGCTTGGTTTCTCCCCTCCCTGCCCCTCGCCGCCTTTCTCCGCTCCCCACCTCCCCCCTCTCCCTGCCCCCCCACTCTCCTCCACTTGCCCTTGGCTTCCCACCTCCCTGCCCCACCTTTCCCCCCTCCGTGTGCTCAGCTTCTCCCCTCCCTGCCTCTCCCTCCTCCCCGCCCTGCCCCTCATTTTCCGCCCCCCCACGCCCGGTTTCTCCCCTCCCTGCACCTCCCTTTCTTTCTCCGTGCCTCTCCTTTGCTCCCTCCCTGCCCCCGCCTGCCCATGCCCCTGTCTTTGGTTTCTCCCCTCCCTGCCCCACGTTTCTTCCCTCCCTGAGATCACCTTGTACCCCTCTGCCCCTCCCTTGTTCTCCCCGCACCCATTGCTTCTCCCCTCCCTGCCCTTGATTTCCCGCACCCCTGCCCTTGTTTCCTACCATCCATGCCCCTCGTTTCCCCTCTTTGTACGTTCACCCTCTTCCCTCCCTGCCCCTCCCTTCCTCCCCCCCTGCCCTTTGCTTTCCCCTCGTTACGCTCCCTTCTCCCCATCCCTGCTGCCCTCTTACCACCATCAGCCCGTCCCCACCACCAGCCCCCCTCCCACCCTTCTCCCCCCCCCCCCTCTCCCTCTCTCTCTCTCTCTCTCTCTCTTTCTCTCGCACACACACACACACACACACTCCCCTCCCCCACCCCCCACCCACATCCTCCCGTTCTGCCCCTCCCTGCCCCTGTTCCACCCCCTCGCACGCCCCTCACCTCTCACCTCCGTTCAACTGGATTCCCCCCCTCTGGTGCATCCCTTGCATCGCTCGCCCCTCTGCTCACCCTCTGCCCGCCCCTTTTCCTTGCCCTCAGCTGGCCCAGCCCCTGCCCGTTGCTGCCCCTCCCCTTGCCCCCTCAACTCCCCTGCCCCCCGTACACCCCACTCCCGTCCAACCGCCCCCACCCTCCCCCGGCTGCCCGTTTCCGCTCTCCACCCCCGCGACCGTGTGCGGCTTCCAACCGCCCAACGGTGGTGCGCACGGGGCGTTTCTTCGCGCGGGCAAGCCTCCCCGGGGGCCCCCCACCCCGCTGACTCGTTGTTCGGGCAAAAAAACGGAAATAAAAAAGTCGGACGCGCTAAAATCGTCCTTTGTTTTTCCCGCTTGCCCCTCCCCGGCACGTGCCGAGCAAGGGGCATAAATGGGTACAACACGAGGACTTCCCGGGAGGTCACCCAGCCCAGTACTGCTCTCGCCCACCGGCGCTTAGCTTCGGAGTTCTGATGGGATCCGGCGTAGTAGCCGAGGTATGATCGTACCACGACAATCCCGTGCCCCGACCGGTACACACCCCTTGCCCGGGTCCCCCCTTCATAGTCACACCCCCTGCCCCCTCATGCCATCCGCTCCCCCCGCCCCTACCCTCCGCGTGCCCGCTCCCTCGCCGCCTCTTTTGACCCTCCCTGCCCCCCTCGCCGTTACCCACCGCTCGCCATTCGCTCCTCCCCGCCCGTGCCCTCCCCTCGTTTACCTTCGCCTCCCCCCTCCCCTCCTCTGCTGCACGCCTCTTCCTTCCCCTCGCTAACCCACTCCACTCCCTGCCCCTCCTCAATCCGCACCCTGCCCCTCGTTTCTCGCCCCCCTATGCTTGGTTTCTCCCCCCCTGCCCTTTGCTTTCCCCTCGTTACGCTCCCTTCTCCCCATCCCTGCTGCCCTCTTACCACCATCAGCCCGTCCCCACCACCAGCCCCCCTCCCACCCTTCTCCCCCCCCCTCTCCCTCTCTCTCTCTCTCTCTCTATCTCTCTCACTCTCTCTCTCTCTCTCTCTCTTTCTCTCGCACACACACACACACACACACTCCCCTCCCCCACCCCCCACCCACATCCTCCCGTTCTGCCCCTCCCTGCCCCTGTTCCACCCCCTCGCACGCCCCTCACCTCTCACCTCCGTTCAACTGGATTCCCCCCCTCTGGTGCATCCCTTGCATCGCTCGCCCCTCTGCTCACCCTCTGCCCGCCCCTTTTCCTTGCCCTCAGCTGGCCCAGCCCCTGCCCGTTGCTGCCCCTCCCCTTGCCCCCTCAACTCCCCTGCCCCCCGTACACCCCACTCCCGTCCAACCGCCCCCACCCTCCCCCGGCTGCCCGTTTCCGCTCTCCACCCCCGCGACCGTGTGCGGCTTCCAACCGCCCAACGGTGGTGCGCACGGGGCGTTTCTTCGCGCGGGCAAGCCTCCCCGGGGGCCCCCCACCCCGCTGACTCGTTGTTCGGGAGCAAAAAAAACGGAAATAAAAAAGTCGGACGCGCTAAAATCGTCCTTTGTTTTTCCCGCTTGCCCCTCCCCGGCACGTGCCGAGCAAGGGGCATAAATGGGTACAACACGAGGACTTCCCGGGAGGTCACCCAGCCCAGTACTGCTCTCGCCCACCGGCGCTTAGCTTCGGAGTTCTGATGGGATCCGGCGTAGTAGCCGAGGTATGATCGTACCACGACAATCCCGTGCCCCGACCGGTACACACCCCTTGCCCGGGTCCCCCCTTCATAGTCACACCCCCTGCCCCCTCATGCCATCCGCTCCCCCCGCCCCTACCCTCCGCGTGCCCGCTCCCTCGCCGCCTCTTTTGACCCTCCCTGCCCCCCTCGCCGTTACCCACCGCTCGCCATTCGCTCCTCCCCGCCCGTGCCCTCCCCTCGTTTACCTTCGCCTCCCCCCTCCCCTCCTCTGCTGCACGCCTCTTCCTTCCCCTCGCTAACCCACTCCACTCCCTGCCCCTCCTCAATCCGCACCCTGCCCCTCGTTTCTCGCCCCCCTATGCTTGGTTTCTCCCCCCCTGCCCTTTGCTTTCCCCTCGTTACGCTCCCTTCTCCCCATCCCTGCTGCCCTCTTACCACCATCAGCCCGTCCCCACCACCAGCCCCCCTCCCACCCTTCTCCCCCCCCCCCTCTCCCTCTCTCTCTCTCTCTCTCTATCTCTCTCACTCTCTCTCTCTCTCTCTCTTTCTCTCGCACACACACACACACACACACTCCCCTCCCCCACCCCCCACCCACATCCTCCCGTTCTGCCCCTCCCTGCCCCTGTTCCACCCCCTCGCACGCCCCTCACCTCTCACCTCCGTTCAACTGGATTCCCCCCCTCTGGTGCATCCCTTGCATCGCTCGCCCCTCTGCTCACCCTCTGCCCGCCCCTTTTCCTTGCCCTCAGCTGGCCCAGCCCCTGCCCGTTGCTGCCCCTCCCCTTGCCCCCTCAACTCCCCTGCCCCCCGTACACCCCACTCCCGTCCAACCGCCCCCACCCTCCCCCCGGCTGCCCGTTTCCGCTCTCCACCCCCGCGACCGTGTGCGGCTTCCAACCGCCCAACGGTGGTGCGCACGGGGCGTTTCTTCGCGCGGGCAAGCCTCCCCGGGGGCCCCCCACCCCGCTGACTCGTTGTTCGGGCAAAAAAACGGAAATAAAAAAGTCGGACGCGCTAAAATCGTCCTTTGTTTTTCCCGCTTGCCCCTCCCCGGCACGTGCCGAGCAAGGGGCATAAATGGGTACAACACGAGGACTTCCCGGGAGGTCACCCAGCCCAGTACTGCTCTCGCCCACCGGCGCTTAGCTTCGGAGTTCTGATGGGATCCGGCGTAGTAGCCGAGGTATGATCGTACCACGACAATCCCGTGCCCCGACCGGTACACACCCCTTGCCCGGGTCCCCCCTTCATAGTCACACCCCCTGCCCCCTCATGCCATCCGCTCCCCCCGCCCCTACCCTCCGCGTGCCCGCTCCCTCGCCGCCTCTTTTGACCCTCCCTGCCCCCCTCGCCGTTACCCACCGCTCGCCATTCGCTCCTCCCCGCCCGTGCCCTCCCCTCGTTTACCTTCGCCTCCCCCCTCCCCTCCTCTGCTGCACGCCTCTTCCTTCCCCTCGCTAACCCACTCCACTCCCTGCCCCTCCTCAATCCGCACCCTGCCCCTCGTTTCTCGCCCCCCTACGCTTGGTTTCTCCCCTCCCTGCCCCTCGCCGCCTTTCTCCGCTCCCCACCTCCCCCCTCTCCCTGCCCCCCCACTCTCCTCCACTTGCCCTTGGCTTCCCACCTCCCTGCCCCACCTTTCCCCCTCCGTGTGCTCAGCTTCTCCCCTCCCTGCCTCTCCCTCCTCCCCGCCCTGCCCCTCATTTTCCGCCCCCCCACGCCCGGTTTCTCCCCTCCCTGCACCTCCCTTTCTTTCTCCGTGCCTCTCCTTTGCTCCCTCCCTGCCCCCGCCTGCCCATGCCCCTGTCTTTGGTTTCTCCCCTCCCTGCCCCACGTTTCTTCCCTCCCTGAGATCACCTTGTACCCCCTCTGCCCCTCCCTTGTTCTCCCCGCACCCATTGCTTCTCCCCTCCCTGCCCTTGATTTCCCGCACCCCTGCCCTTGTTTCCTACCATCCATGCCCCTCGTTTCCCCTCTTTGTACGTTCACCCTCTTCCCTCCCTGCCCCTCCCTTCCTCCCCCCCTGCCCTTTGCTTTCCCCTCGTTACGCTCCCTTCTCCCCATCCCTGCTGCCCTCTTACCACCATCAGCCCGTCCCCACCACCAGCCCCCCTCCCACCCTTCTCCCCCCCCCCCTCTCCCTCTCTCTCTCTCTCTCTCTCTCTTTCTCTCGCACACACACACACACACACACTCCCCTCCCCCACCCCCCACCCACATCCTCCCGTTCTGCCCCTCCCTGCCCCTGTTCCACCCCCTCGCACGCCCCTCACCTCTCACCTCCGTTCAACTGGATTCCCCCCCTCTGGTGCATCCCTTGCATCGCTCGCCCCTCTGCTCACCCTCTGCCCGCCCCTTTTCCTTGCCCTCAGCTGGCCCAGCCCCTGCCCGTTGCTGCCCCTCCCCTTGCCCCCTCAACTCCCCTGCCCCCCGTACACCCCACTCCCGTCCAACCGCCCCCACCCTCCCCCGGCTGCCCGTTTCCGCTCTCCACCCCCGCGACCGTGTGCGGCTTCCAACCGCCCAACGGTGGTGCGCACGGGGCGTTTCTTCGCGCGGGCAAGCCTCCCCGGGGGCCCCCCACCCCGCTGACTCGTTGTTCGGGGCAAAAAAAACGGAAATAAAAAAGTCGGACGCGCTAAAATCGTCCTTTGTTTTTCCCGCTTGCCCCTCCCCGGCACGTGCCGAGCAAGGGGCATAAATGGGTACAACACGAGGACTTCCCGGGAGGTCACCCAGCCCAGTACTGCTCTCGCCCACCGGCGCTTAGCTTCGGAGTTCTGATGGGATCCGGCGTAGTAGCCGAGGTATGATCGTACCACGACAATCCCGTGCCCCGACCGGTACACACCCCTTGCCCGGGTCCCCCCTTCATAGTCACACCCCCTGCCCCCTCATGCCATCCGCTCCCCCCCGCCCCTACCCTCCGCGTGCCCGCTCCCTCGCCGCCTCTTTTGACCCTCCCTGCCCCCCTCGCCGTTACCCACCGCTCGCCATTCGCTCCTCCCCGCCCGTGCCCTCCCCTCGTTTACCTTCGCCTCCCCCCTCCCCTCCTCTGCTGCACGCCTCTTCCTTCCCCTCGCTAACCCACTCCACTCCCTGCCCCTCCTCAATCCGCACCCTGCCCCTCGTTTCTCGCCCCCCTACGCTTGGTTTCTCCCCTCCCTGCCCCTCGCCGCCTTTCTCCGCTCCCCACCTCCCCCCTCTCCCTGCCCCCCCACTCTCCTCCACTTGCCCTTGGCTTCCCACCTCCCTGCCCCACCTTTCCCCCCTCCGTGTGCTCAGCTTCTCCCCTCCCTGCCTCTCCCTCCTCCCCGCCCTGCCCCTCATTTTCCGCCCCCCCACGCCCGGTTTCTCCCCTCCCTGCACCTCCCTTTCTTTCTCCGTGCCTCTCCTTTGCTCCCTCCCTGCCCCCGCCTGCCCATGCCCCTGTCTTTGGTTTCTCCCCTCCCTGCCCCACGTTTCTTCCCTCCCTGAGATCACCTTGTACCCCCTCTGCCCCTCCCTTGTTCTCCCCGCACCCATTGCTTCTCCCCTCCCTGCCCTTGATTTCCCGCACCCCTGCCCTTGTTTCCTACCATCCATGCCCCTCGTTTCCCCTCTTTGTACGTTCACCCTCTTCCCTCCCTGCCCCTCCCTTCCTCCCCCCCTGCCCTTTGCTTTCCCCTCGTTACGCTCCCTTCTCCCCATCCCTGCTGCCCTCTTACCACCATCAGCCCGTCCCCACCACCAGCCCCCCTCCCACCCTTCTCCCCCCCCCCCTCTCCCTCTCTCTCTCTCTCTCTCTCTTTCTCTCGCACACACACACACACACACACTCCCCTCCCCCACCCCCCACCCACATCCTCCCGTTCTGCCCCTCCCTGCCCCTGTTCCACCCCCTCGCACGCCCCTCACCTCTCACCTCCGTTCAACTGGATTCCCCCCCTCTGGTGCATCCCTTGCATCGCTCGCCCCTCTGCTCACCCTCTGCCCGCCCCTTTTCCTTGCCCTCAGCTGGCCCAGCCCCTGCCCGTTGCTGCCCCTCCCCTTGCCCCCTCAACTCCCCTGCCCCCCGTACACCCCACTCCCGTCCAACCGCCCCCACCCTCCCCCGGCTGCCCGTTTCCGCTCTCCACCCCCGCGACCGTGTGCGGCTTCCAACCGCCCAACGGTGGTGCGCACGGGGCGTTTCTTCGCGCGGGCAAGCCTCCCCGGGGGCCCCCCACCCCGCTGACTCGTTGTTCGGGCAAAAAAAACGGAAATAAAAAAGTCGGACGCGCTAAAATCGTCCTTTGTTTTTCCCGCTTGCCCCTCCCCGGCACGTGCCGAGCAAGGGGCATAAATGGGTACAACACGAGGACTTCCCGGGAGGTCACCCAGCCCAGTACTGCTCTCGCCCACCGGCGCTTAGCTTCGGAGTTCTGATGGGATCCGGCGTAGTAGCCGAGGTATGATCGTACCACGACAATCCCGTGCCCCGACCGGTACACACCCCTTGCCCGGGTCCCCCCTTCATAGTCACACCCCCTGCCCCCTCATGCCATCCGCTCCCCCCGCCCCTACCCTCCGCGTGCCCGCTCCCTCGCCGCCTCTTTTGACCCTCCCTGCCCCCCTCGCCGTTACCCACCGCTCGCCATTTCGCTCCTCCCCGCCCGTGCCCTCCCCTCGTTTACCTTCGCCTCCCCCCTCCCCTCCTCTGCTGCACGCCTCTTCCTTCCCCTCGCTAACCCACTCCACTCCCTGCCCCTCCTCAATCCGCACCCTGCCCCTCGTTTCTCGCCCCCCTACGCTTGGTTTCTCCCCTCCCTGCCCCTCGCCGCCTTTCTCCGCTCCCCACCTCCCCCCTCTCCCTGCCCCCCCACTCTCCTCCACTTGCCCTTGGCTTCCCACCTCCCTGCCCCACCTTTCCCCCCTCCGTGTGCTCAGCTTCTCCCCTCCCTGCCTCTCCCTCCTCCCCGCCCTGCCCCTCATTTTCCGCCCCCCCACGCCCGGTTTCTCCCCTCCCTGCACCTCCCTTTCTTTCTCCGTGCCTCTCCTTTGCTCCCTCCCTGCCCCCGCCTGCCCATGCCCCTGTCTTTGGTTTCTCCCCTCCCTGCCCCACGTTTCTTCCCTCCCTGAGATCACCTTGTACCCCCTCTGCCCCTCCCTTGTTCTCCCCGCACCCATTGCTTCTCCCCTCCCTGCCCTTGATTTCCCGCACCCCTGCCCTTGTTTCCTACCATCCATGCCCCTCGTTTCCCCTCTTTGTACGTTCACCCTCTTCCCTCCCTGCCCCTCCCTTCCTCCCCCCCTGCCCTTTGCTTTCCCCTCGTTACGCTCCCTTCTCCCCATCCCTGCTGCCCTCTTACCACCATCAGCCCGTCCCCACCACCAGCCCCCCTCCCACCCTTCTCCCCCCCCCCCTCTCCCTCTCTCTCTCTCTCTCTCTCTCTTTCTCTCGCACACACACACACACACACACTCCCCTCCCCCACCCCCCACCCACATCCTCCCGTTCTGCCCCTCCCTGCCCCTGTTCCACCCCCTCGCACGCCCCTCACCTCTCACCTCCGTTCAACTGGATTCCCCCCCTCTGGTGCATCCCTTGCATCGCTCGCCCCTCTGCTCACCCTCTGCCCGCCCCTTTTCCTTGCCCTCAGCTGGCCCAGCCCCTGCCCGTTGCTGCCCCTCCCCTTGCCCCCTCAACTCCCCTGCCCCCCGTACACCCCACTCCCGTCCAACCGCCCCCACCCTCCCCCGGCTGCCCGTTTCCGCTCTCCACCCCCGCGACCGTGTGCGGCTTCCAACCGCCCAACGGTGGTGCGCACGGGGCGTTTCTTCGCGCGGGCAAGCCTCCCCGGGGGCCCCCCACCCCGCTGACTCGTTGTTCGGGCAAAAAAAACGGAAATAAAAAAGTCGGACGCGCTAAAATCGTCCTTTGTTTTTCCCGCTTGCCCCTCCCCGGCACGTGCCGAGCAAGGGGCATAAATGGGTACAACACGAGGACTTCCCGGGAGGTCACCCAGCCCAGTACTGCTCTCGCCCACCGGCGCTTAGCTTCGGAGTTCTGATGGGATCCGGCGTAGTAGCCGAGGTATGATCGTACCACGACAATCCCGTGCCCCGACCGGTACACACCCCTTGCCCGGGTCCCCCCTTCATAGTCACACCCCCTGCCCCCTCATGCCATCCGCTCCCCCCGCCCCTACCCTCCGCGTGCCCGCTCCCTCGCCGCCTCTTTTGACCCTCCCTGCCCCCCTCGCCGTTACCCACCGCTCGCCATTCGCTCCTCCCCGCCCGTGCCCTCCCCTCGTTTACCTTCGCCTCCCCCCTCCCCTCCTCTGCTGCACGCCTCTTCCTTCCCCTCGCTAACCCACTCCACTCCCTGCCCCTCCTCAATCCGCACCCTGCCCCTCGTTTCTCGCCCCCCTATGCTTGGTTTCTCCCCCCCTGCCCTTTGCTTTCCCCTCGTTACGCTCCCTTCTCCCCATCCCTGCTGCCCTCTTACCACCATCAGCCCGTCCCCACCACCAGCCCCCCTCCCACCCTTCTCCCCCCCCCCTCTCCCTCTCTCTCTCTCTCTCTATCTCTCTCACTCTCTCTCTCTCTCTCTCTCTTTCTCTCGCACACACACACACACACACACTCCCCTCCCCCACCCCCCACCCACATCCTCCCGTTCTGCCCCTCCCTGCCCCTGTTCCACCCCCTCGCACGCCCCTCACCTCTCACCTCCGTTCAACTGGATTCCCCCCCTCTGGTGCATCCCTTGCATCGCTCGCCCCTCTGCTCACCCTCTGCCCGCCCCTTTTCCTTGCCCTCAGCTGGCCCAGCCCCTGCCCGTTGCTGCCCCTCCCCTTGCCCCCTCAACTCCCCTGCCCCCCGTACACCCCACTCCCGTCCAACCGCCCCCACCCTCCCCCGGCTGCCCGTTTCCGCTCTCCACCCCCGCGACCGTGTGCGGCTTCCAACCGCCCAACGGTGGTGCGCACGGGGCGTTTCTTCGCGCGGGCAAGCCTCCCCGGGGGCCCCCCACCCCGCTGACTCGTTGTTCGGGGCAAAAAAACGGAAATAAAAAAGTCGGACGCGCTAAAATCGTCCTTTCTTTTTCCCGCTTGCCCCTCCCCGGCACGTGCCGAGCAAGGGGCATAAATGGGTACAACACGAGGACTTCCCGGGAGGTCACCCAGCCCAGTACTGCTCTCGCCCACCGGCGATTAGCTTCGGAGTTCTGATGGGATCCGGCGTAGTAGCCGAGGTATGATCGTACCACGACAATCCCGTGCCCCGACCGGTACACACCCCTTGCCCGGGTCCCCCCTTCATAGTCACACCCCCTGCCCCCTCATGCCATCCGCTCCCCCCGCCCCTACCCTCCGCGTGCCCGCTCCCTCGCCGCCTCTTTTGACCCTCCCTGCCCCCCTCGCCGTTACCCACCGCTCGCCATTCGCTCCTCCCCGCCCGTGCCCTCCCCTCGTTTACCTTCGCCTCCCCCCTCCCCTCCTCTGCTGCACGCCTCTTCCTTCCCCTCGCTAACCCACTCCACTCCCTGCCCCTCCTCAATCCGCACCCTGCCCCTCGTTTCTCGCCCCCCTACGCTTGGTTTCTCCCCTCCCTGCCCCTCGCCGCCTTTCTCCGCTCCCCACCTCCCCCCTCTCCCTGCCCCCCCACTCTCCTCCACTTGCCCTTGGCTTCCCACCTCCCTGCCCCACCTTTCCCCCCTCCGTGTGCTCAGCTTCTCCCCTCCCTGCCTCTCCCTCCTCCCCGCCCTGCCCCTCATTTTCCGCCCCCCCACGCCCGGTTTCTCCCCTCCCTGCACCTCCCTTTCTTTCTCCGTGCCTCTCCTTTGCTCCCTCCCTGCCCCCGCCTGCCCATGCCCCTGTCTTTGGTTTCTCCCCTCCCTGCCCCACGTTTCTTCCCTCCCTGAGATCACCTTGTACCCCCTCTGCCCCTCCCTTGTTCTCCCCGCACCCATTGCTTCTCCCCTCCCTGCCCTTGATTTCCCGCACCCCTGCCCTTGTTTCCTACCATCCATGCCCCTCGTTTCCCCTCTTTGTACGTTCACCCTCTTCCCTCCCTGCCCCTCCCTTCCTCCCCCCCTGCCCTTTGCTTTCCCCTCGTTACGCTCCCTTCTCCCCATCCCTGCTGCCCTCTTACCACCATCAGCCCGTCCCCACCACCAGCCCCCCTCCCACCCTTCTCCCCCCCCCCCCTCTCCCTCTCTCTCTCTCTCTCTCTCTCTTTCTCTCGCACACACACACACACACACACTCCCCTCCCCCACCCCCCACCCACATCCTCCCGTTCTGCCCCTCCCTGCCCCTGTTCCACCCCCTCGCACGCCCCTCACCTCTCACCTCCGTTCAACTGGATTCCCCCCCTCTGGTGCATCCCTTGCATCGCTCGCCCCTCTGCTCACCCTCTGCCCGCCCCTTTTCCTTGCCCTCAGCTGGCCCAGCCCCTGCCCGTTGCTGCCCCTCCCCTTGCCCCCTCAACTCCCCTGCCCCCCGTACACCCCACTCCCGTCCAACCGCCCCCACCCTCCCCCGGCTGCCCGTTTCCGCTCTCCACCCCCGCGACCGTGTGCGGCTTCCAACCGCCCAACGGTGGTGCGCACGGGGCGTTTCTTCGCGCGGGCAAGCCTCCCCGGGGGCCCCCCACCCCGCTGACTCGTTGTTCGGGCAAAAAAAACGGAAATAAAAAAGTCGGACGCGCTAAAATCGTCCTTTGTTTTTCCCGCTTGCCCCTCCCCGGCACGTGCCGAGCAAGGGGCATAAATGGGTACAACACGAGGACTTCCCGGGAGGTCACCCAGCCCAGTACTGCTCTCGCCCACCGGCGCTTAGCTTCGGAGTTCTGATGGGATCCGGCGTAGTAGCCGAGGTATGATCGTACCACGACAATCCCGTGCCCCGACCGGTACACACCCCTTGCCCGGGTCCCCCCTTCATAGTCACACCCCCTGCCCCCTCATGCCATCCGCTCCCCCCGCCCCTACCCTCCGCGTGCCCGCTCCCTCGCCGCCTCTTTTGACCCTCCCTGCCCCCCTCGCCGTTACCCACCGCTCGCCATTCGCTCCTCCCCGCCCGTGCCCTCCCCTCGTTTACCTTCGCCTCCCCCCTCCCCTCCTCTGCTGCACGCCTCTTCCTTCCCCTCGCTAACCCACTCCACTCCCTGCCCCTCCTCAATCCGCACCCTGCCCCTCGTTTCTCGCCCCCCTATGCTTGGTTTCTCCCCCCCTGCCCTTTGCTTTCCCCTCGTTACGCTCCCTTCTCCCCATCCCTGCTGCCCTCTTACCACCATCAGCCCGTCCCCACCACCAGCCCCCCTCCCACCCTTCTCCCCCCCCCCCTCTCCCTCTCTCTCTCTCTCTCTCTATCTCTCTCACTCTCTCTCTCTCTCTCTCTCTTTCTCTCGCACACACACACACACACACACTCCCCTCCCCCACCCCCCACCCACATCCTCCCGTTCTGCCCCTCCCTGCCCCTGTTCCACCCCCTCGCACGCCCCTCACCTCTCACCTCCGTTCAACTGGATTCCCCCCCTCTGGTGCATCCCTTGCATCGCTCGCCCCTCTGCTCACCCTCTGCCCGCCCCTTTTCCTTGCCCTCAGCTGGCCCAGCCCCTGCCCGTTGCTGCCCCTCCCCTTGCCCCCTCAACTCCCCTGCCCCCCGTACACCCCACTCCCGTCCAACCGCCCCCACCCTCCCCCGGCTGCCCGTTTCCGCTCTCCACCCCCGCGACCGTGTGCGGCTTCCAACCGCCCAACGGTGGTGCGCACGGGGCGTTTCTTCGCGCGGGCAAGCCTCCCCGGGGGCCCCCCACCCCGCTGACTCGTTGTTCGGAGCAAAAAAACGGAAATAAAAAAGTCGGACGCGCTAAAATCGTCCTTTGTTTTTCCCGCTTGCCCCTCCCCGGCACGTGCCGAGCAAGGGGCATAAATGGGTACAACACGAGGACTTCCCGGGAGGTCACCCAGCCCAGTACTGCTCTCGCCCACCGGCGATTAGCTTCGGAGTTCTGATGGGATCCGGCGTAGTAGCCGAGGTATGATCGTACCACGACAATCCCGTGCCCCGACCGGTACACACCCCTTGCTCGGGTCCCCCCTTCATAGTCACACCCCCTGCCCCCTCATGCCATCCGCTCCCCCCGCCCCTACCCTCCGCGTGCCCGCTCCCTCGCCGCCTCTTTTGACCCTCCCTGCCCCCCTCGCCGTTACCCACCGCTCGCCATTCGCTCCTCCCCGCCCGTGCCCTCCCCTCGTTTACCTTCGCCTCCCCCCTCCCCTCCTCTGCTGCACGCCTCTTCCTTCCCCTCGCTAACCCACTCCACTCCCTGCCCCTCCTCAATCCGCACCCTGCCCCTCGTTTCTCGCCCCCCTACGCTTGGTTTCTCCCCTCCCTGCCCCTCGCCGCCTTTCTCCGCTCCCCACCTCCCCCCTCTCCCTGCCCCCCCACTCTCCTCCACTTGCCCTTGGCTTCCCACCTCCCTGCCCCACCTTTCCCCCCTCCGTGTGCTCAGCTTCTCCCCTCCCTGCCTCTCCCTCCTCCCCGCCCTGCCCCTCATTTTCCGCCCCCCCACGCCCGGTTTCTCCCCTCCCTGCACCTCCCTTTCTTTCTCCGTGCCTCTCCTTTGCTCCCTCCCTGCCCCCGCCTGCCCATGCCCCTGTCTTTGGTTTCTCCCCTCCCTGCCCCACGTTTCTTCCCTCCCTGAGATCACCTTGTACCCCCTCTGCCCCTCCCTTGTTCTCCCCGCACCCATTGCTTCTCCCCTCCCTGCCCTTGATTTCCCGCACCCCTGCCCTTGTTTCCTACCATCCATGCCCCTCGTTTCCCCTCTTTGTACGTTCACCCTCTTCCCTCCCTGCCCCTCCCTTCCTCCCCCCCTGCCCTTTGCTTTCCCCTCGTTACGCTCCCTTCTCCCCATCCCTGCTGCCCTCTTACCACCATCAGCCCGTCCCCACCACCAGCCCCCCTCCCACCCTTCTCCCCCCCCCCCTCTCCCTCTCTCTCTCTCTCTCTCTCTCTTTCTCTCGCACACACACACACACACACACACTCCCCTCCCCCACCCCCCACCCACATCCTCCCGTTCTGCCCCTCCCTGCCCCTGTTCCACCCCCTCGCACGCCCCTCACCTCTCACCTCCGTTCAACTGGATTCCCCCCCTCTGGTGCATCCCTTGCATCGCTCGCCCCTCTGCTCACCCTCTGCCCGCCCCTTTTCCTTGCCCTCAGCTGGCCCAGCCCCTGCCCGTTGCTGCCCCTCCCCTTGCCCCCTCAACTCCCCTGCCCCCCGTACACCCCACTCCCGTCCAACCGCCCCCACCCTCCCCCGGCTGCCCGTTTCCGCTCTCCACCCCCCGCGACCGTGTGCGGCTTCCAACCGCCCAACGGTGGTGCGCACGGGGCGTTTCTTCGCGCGGGCAAGCCTCCCCGGGGGCCCCCCACCCCGCTGACTCGTTGTTCGGGGCAAAAAAAACGGAAATAAAAAAGTCGGACGCGCTAAAATCGTCCTTTGTTTTTCCCGCTTGCCCCTCCCCGGCACGTGCCGAGCAAGGGGCATAAATGGGTACAACACGAGGACTTCCCGGGAGGTCACCCAGCCCAGTACTGCTCTCGCCCACCGGCGCTTAGCTTCGGAGTTCTGATGGGATCCGGCGTAGTAGCCGAGGTATGATCGTACCACGACAATCCCGTGCCCCGACCGGTACACACCCCTTGCCCGGGTCCCCCCTTCATAGTCACACCCCCTGCCCCCTCATGCCATCCGCTCCCCCCGCCCCTACCCTCCGCGTGCCCGCTCCCTCGCCGCCTCTTTTGACCCTCCCTGCCCCCCTCGCCGTTACCCACCGCTCGCCATTCGCTCCTCCCCGCCCGTGCCCTCCCCTCGTTTACCTTCGCCTCCCCCCTCCCCTCCTCTGCTGCACGCCTCTTCCTTCCCCTCGCTAACCCACTCCACTCCCTGCCCCTCCTCAATCCGCACCCTGCCCCTCGTTTCTCGCCCCCCTACGCTTGGTTTCTCCCCTCCCTGCCCCTCGCCGCCTTTCTCCGCTCCCCACCTCCCCCCTCTCCCTGCCCCCCCACTCTCCTCCACTTGCCCTTGGCTTCCCACCTCCCTGCCCCACCTTTCCCCCCTCCGTGTGCTCAGCTTCTCCCCTCCCTGCCTCTCCCTCCTCCCCGCCCTGCCCCTCATTTTCCGCCCCCCCACGCCCGGTTTCTCCCCTCCCTGCACCTCCCTTTCTTTCTCCGTGCCTCTCCTTTGCTCCCTCCCTGCCCCCGCCTGCCCATGCCCCTGTCTTTGGTTTCTCCCCTCCCTGCCCCACGTTTCTTCCCTCCCTGAGATCACCTTGTACCCCCTCTGCCCCTCCCTTGTTCTCCCCGCACCCATTGCTTCTCCCCTCCCTGCCCTTGATTTCCCGCACCCCTGCCCTTGTTTCCTACCATCCATGCCCCTCGTTTCCCCTCTTTGTACGTTCACCCTCTTCCCTCCCTGCCCCTCCCTTCCTCCCCCCCTGCCCTTTGCTTTCCCCTCGTTACGCTCCCTTCTCCCCATCCCTGCTGCCCTCTTACCACCATCAGCCCGTCCCCACCACCAGCCCCCCTCCCACCCTTCTCCCCCCCCCCCCTCTCCCTCTCTCTCTCTCTCTCTCTCTCTTTCTCTCGCACACACACACACACACACACTCCCCTCCCCCACCCCCCACCCACATCCTCCCGTTCTGCCCCTCCCTGCCCCTGTTCCACCCCCTCGCACGCCCCTCACCTCTCACCTCCGTTCAACTGGATTCCCCCCCTCTGGTGCATCCCTTGCATCGCTCGCCCCTCTGCTCACCCTCTGCCCGCCCCTTTTCCTTGCCCTCAGCTGGCCCAGCCCCTGCCCGTTGCTGCCCCTCCCCTTGCCCCCTCAACTCCCCTGCCCCCCGTACACCCCACTCCCGTCCAACCGCCCCCACCCTCCCCCGGCTGCCCGTTTCCGCTCTCCACCCCCGCGACCGTGTGCGGCTTCCAACCGCCCAACGGTGGTGCGCACGGGGCGTTTCTTCGCGCGGGCAAGCCTCCCCGGGGGCCCCCCACCCCGCTGACTCGTTGTTCGGGCAAAAAAAACGGAAATAAAAAAGTCGGACGCGCTAAAATCGTCCTTTGTTTTTCCCGCTTGCCCCTCCCCGGCACGTGCCGAGCAAGGGGCATAAATGGGTACAACACGAGGACTTCCCGGGAGGTCACCCAGCCCAGTACTGCTCTCGCCCACCGGCGCTTAGCTTCGGAGTTCTGATGGGATCCGGCGTAGTAGCCGAGGTATGATCGTACCACGACAATCCCGTGCCCCGACCGGTACACACCCCTTGCCCGGGTCCCCCCTTCATAGTCACACCCCCTGCCCCCTCATGCCATCCGCTCCCCCCGCCCCTACCCTCCGCGTGCCCGCTCCCTCGCCGCCTCTTTTGACCCTCCCTGCCCCCCTCGCCGTTACCCACCGCTCGCCATTCGCTCCTCCCCGCCCGTGCCCTCCCCTCGTTTACCTTCGCCTCCCCCCTCCCCTCCTCTGCTGCACGCCTCTTCCTTCCCCTCGCTAACCCACTCCACTCCCTGCCCCTCCTCAATCCGCACCCTGCCCCTCGTTTCTCGCCCCCCTATGCTTGGTTTCTCCCCCCCTGCCCTTTGCTTTCCCCTCGTTACGCTCCCTTCTCCCCATCCCTGCTGCCCTCTTACCACCATCAGCCCGTCCCCACCACCAGCCCCCCTCCCACCCTTCTCCCCCCCCCCCTCTCCCTCTCTCTCTCTCTCTCTCTATCTCTCTCACTCTCTCTCTCTCTCTCTCTCTTTCTCTCGCACACACACACACACACACACTCCCCTCCCCCACCCCCCACCCACATCCTCCCGTTCTGCCCCTCCCTGCCCCTGTTCCACCCCCTCGCACGCCCCTCACCTCTCACCTCCGTTCAACTGGATTCCCCCCCTCTGGTGCATCCCTTGCATCGCTCGCCCCTCTGCTCACCCTCTGCCCGCCCCTTTTCCTTGCCCTCAGCTGGCCCAGCCCCTGCCCGTTGCTGCCCCTCCCCTTGCCCCCTCAACTCCCCTGCCCCCCGTACACCCCACTCCCGTCCAACCGCCCCCACCCTCCCCCGGCTGCCCGTTTCCGCTCTCCACCCCCGCGACCGTGTGCGGCTTCCAACCGCCCAACGGTGGTGCGCACGGGGCGTTTCTTCGCGCGGGCAAGCCTCCCCGGGGGCCCCCCACCCCGCTGACTCGTTGTTCGGGCAAAAAAAACGGAAATAAAAAAGTCGGACGCGCTAAAATCGTCCTTTGTTTTTCCCGCTTGCCCCTCCCCGGCACGTGCCGAGCAAGGGGCATAAATGGGTACAACACGAGGACTTCCCGGGAGGTCACCCAGCCCAGTACTGCTCTCGCCCACCGGCGCTTAGCTTCGGAGTTCTGATGGGATCCGGCGTAGTAGCCGAGGTATGATCGTACCACGACAATCCCGTGCCCCGACCGGTACACACCCCTTGCCCGGGTCCCCCCTTCATAGTCACACCCCCTGCCCCCTCATGCCATCCGCTCCCCCCGCCCCTACCCTCCGCGTGCCCGCTCCCTCGCCGCCTCTTTTGACCCTCCCTGCCCCCCTCGCCGTTACCCACCGCTCGCCATTCGCTCCTCCCCGCCCGTGCCCTCCCCTCGTTTACCTTCGCCTCCCCCCTCCCCTCCTCTGCTGCACGCCTCTTCCTTCCCCTCGCTAACCCACTCCACTCCCTGCCCCTCCTCAATCCGCACCCTGCCCCTCGTTTCTCGCCCCCCTATGCTTGGTTTCTCCCCCCCTGCCCTTTGCTTTCCCCTCGTTACGCTCCCTTCTCCCCATCCCTGCTGCCCTCTTACCACCATCAGCCCGTCCCCACCACCAGCCCCCCTCCCACCCTTCTCCCCCCCCTCTCCCTCTCTCTCTCTCTCTCTCTATCTCTCTCACTCTCTCTCTCTCTCTCTCTCTTTCTCTCGCACACACACACACACACACACTCCCCTCCCCCACCCCCCACCCACATCCTCCCGTTCTGCCCCTCCCTGCCCCTGTTCCACCCCCTCGCACGCCCCTCACCTCTCACCTCCGTTCAACTGGATTCCCCCCCTCTGGTGCATCCCTTGCATCGCTCGCCCCTCTGCTCACCCTCTGCCCGCCCCTTTTCCTTGCCCTCAGCTGGCCCAGCCCCTGCCCGTTGCTGCCCCTCCCCTTGCCCCCTCAACTCCCCTGCCCCCCGTACACCCCACTCCCGTCCAACCGCCCCCACCCTCCCCCGGCTGCCCGTTTCCGCTCTCCACCCCCGCGACCGTGTGCGGCTTCCAACCGCCCAACGGTGGTGCGCACGGGGCGTTTCTTCGCGCGGGCAAGCCTCCCCGGGGGCCCCCCACCCCGCTGACTCGTTGTTCGGGGCAAAAAAAACGGAAATAAAAAAGTCGGACGCGCTAAAATCGTCCTTTGTTTTTCCCGCTTGCCCCTCCCCGGCACGTGCCGAGCAAGGGGCATAAATGGGTACAACACGAGGACTTCCCGGGAGGTCACCCAGCCCAGTACTGCTCTCGCCCACCGGCGCTTAGCTTCGGAGTTCTGATGGGATCCGGCGTAGTAGCCGAGGTATGATCGTACCACGACAATCCCGTGCCCCGACCGGTACACACCCCTTGCCCGGGTCCCCCCTTCATAGTCACACCCCCTGCCCCCTCATGCCATCCGCTCCCCCCGCCCCTACCCTCCGCGTGCCCGCTCCCTCGCCGCCTCTTTTGACCCTCCCTGCCCCCCTCGCCGTTACCCACCGCTCGCCATTCGCTCCTCCCCGCCCGTGCCCTCCCCTCGTTTACCTTCGCCTCCCCCCTCCCCTCCTCTGCTGCACGCCTCTTCCTTCCCCTCGCTAACCCACTCCACTCCCTGCCCCTCCTCAATCCGCACCCTGCCCCTCGTTTCTCGCCCCCCTACGCTTGGTTTCTCCCCTCCCTGCCCCTCGCCGCCTTTCTCCGCTCCCCACCTCCCCCCTCTCCCTGCCCCCCCACTCTCCTCCACTTGCCCTTGGCTTCCCACCTCCCTGCCCCACCTTTCCCCCCTCCGTGTGCTCAGCTTCTCCCCTCCCTGCCTCTCCCTCCTCCCCGCCCTGCCCCTCATTTTCCGCCCCCCCACGCCCGGTTTCTCCCCTCCCTGCACCTCCCTTTCTTTCTCCGTGCCTCTCCTTTGCTCCCTCCCTGCCCCCGCCTGCCCATGCCCCTGTCTTTGGTTTCTCCCCTCCCTGCCCCACGTTTCTTCCCTCCCTGAGATCACCTTGTACCCCCTCTGCCCCTCCCTTGTTCTCCCCGCACCCATTGCTTCTCCCCTCCCTGCCCTTGATTTCCCGCACCCCTGCCCTTGTTTCCTACCATCCATGCCCCTCGTTTCCCCTCTTTGTACGTTCACCCTCTTCCCTCCCTGCCCCTCCCTTCCTCCCCCCCTGCCCTTTGCTTTCCCCTCGTTACGCTCCCTTCTCCCCATCCCTGCTGCCCTCTTACCACCATCAGCCCGTCCCCACCACCAGCCCCCCTCCCACCCTTCTCCCCCCCCCCCTCTCCCTCTCTCTCTCTCTCTCTCTCTCTTTCTCTCGCACACACACACACACACACACTCCCCTCCCCCACCCCCCACCCACATCCTCCCGTTCTGCCCCTCCCTGCCCCTGTTCCACCCCCTCGCACGCCCCTCACCTCTCACCTCCGTTCAACTGGATTCCCCCCCTCTGGTGCATCCCTTGCATCGCTCGCCCCTCTGCTCACCCTCTGCCCGCCCCTTTTCCTTGCCCTCAGCTGGCCCAGCCCCTGCCCGTTGCTGCCCCTCCCCTTGCCCCCTCAACTCCCCTGCCCCCCGTACACCCCACTCCCGTCCAACCGCCCCCACCCTCCCCCGGCTGCCCGTTTCCGCTCTCCACCCCCGCGACCGTGTGCGGCTTCCAACCGCCCAACGGTGGTGCGCACGGGGCGTTTCTTCGCGCGGGCAAGCCTCCCCGGGGGCCCCCCACCCCGCTGACTCGTTGTTCGGGCAAAAAAAACGGAAATAAAAAAGTCGGACGCGCTAAAATCGTCCTTTGTTTTTCCCGCTTGCCCCTCCCCGGCACGTGCCGAGCAAGGGGCATAAATGGGTACAACACGAGGACTTCCCGGGAGGTCACCCAGCCCAGTACTGCTCTCGCCCACCGGCGCTTAGCTTCGGAGTTCTGATGGGATCCGGCGTAGTAGCCGAGGTATGATCGTACCACGACAATCCCGTGCCCCGACCGGTACACACCCCTTGCCCGGGTCCCCCCTTCATAGTCACACCCCCTGCCCCCTCATGCCATCCGCTCCCCCCGCCCCTACCCTCCGCGTGCCCGCTCCCTCGCCGCCTCTTTTGACCCTCCCTGCCCCCCTCGCCGTTACCCACCGCTCGCCATTCGCTCCTCCCCGCCCGTGCCCTCCCCTCGTTTACCTTCGCCTCCCCCCTCCCCTCCTCTGCTGCACGCCTCTTCCTTCCCCTCGCTAACCCACTCCACTCCCTGCCCCTCCTCAATCCGCACCCTGCCCCTCGTTTCTCGCCCCCCTATGCTTGGTTTCTCCCCCCCTGCCCTTTGCTTTCCCCTCGTTACGCTCCCTTCTCCCCATCCCTGCTGCCCTCTTACCACCATCAGCCCGTCCCCACCACCAGCCCCCCTCCCACCCTTCTCCCCCCCCCCTCTCCCTCTCTCTCTCTCTCTCTATCTCTCTCACTCTCTCTCTCTCTCTCTCTCTTTCTCTCGCACACACACACACACACACACTCCCCTCCCCCACCCCCCACCCACATCCTCCCGTTCTGCCCCTCCCTGCCCCTGTTCCACCCCCTCGCACGCCCCTCACCTCTCACCTCCGTTCAACTGGATTCCCCCCCTCTGGTGCATCCCTTGCATCGCTCGCCCCTCTGCTCACCCTCTGCCCGCCCCTTTTCCTTGCCCTCAGCTGGCCCAGCCCCTGCCCGTTGCTGCCCCTCCCCTTGCCCCCTCAACTCCCCTGCCCCCCGTACACCCCACTCCCGTCCAACCGCCCCCACCCTCCCCCGGCTGCCCGTTTCCGCTCTCCACCCCCGCGACCGTGTGCGGCTTCCAACCGCCCAACGGTGGTGCGCACGGGGCGTTTCTTCGCGCGGGCAAGCCTCCCCGGGGGCCCCCCACCCCGCTGACTCGTTGTTCGGGCAAAAAAAACGGAAATAAAAAAGTCGGACGCGCTAAAATCGTCCTTTGCTTTTTCCCGCTTGCCCCTCCCCGGCACGTGCCGAGCAAGGGGCATAAATGGGTACAACACGAGGACTTCCCGGGAGGTCACCCAGCCCAGTACTGCTCTCGCCCACCGGCGATTAGCTTCGGAGTTCTGATGGGATCCGGCGTAGTAGCCGAGGTATGATCGTACCACGACAATCCCGTGCCCCGACCGGTACACACCCCTTGCCTCGGGTCCCCCCTTCATAGTCACACCCCCTGCCCCCTCATGCCATCCGCTCCCCCCGCCCCTACCCTCCGCGTGCCCGCTCCCTCGCCGCCTCTTTTGACCCTCCCTGCCCCCCTCGCCGTTACCCACCGCTCGCCATTCGCTCCTCCCCGCCCGTGCCCTCCCCTCGTTTACCTTCGCCTCCCCCCTCCCCTCCTCTGCTGCACGCCTCTTCCTTCCCCTCGCTAACCCACTCCACTCCCTGCCCCTCCTCAATCCGCACCCTGCCCCTCGTTTCTCGCCCCCCTACGCTTGGTTTCTCCCCTCCCTGCCCCTCGCCGCCTTTCTCCGCTCCCCACCTCCCCCCTCTCCCTGCCCCCCCACTCTCCTCCACTTGCCCTTGGCTTCCCACCTCCCTGCCCCACCTTTCCCCCCTCCGTGTGCTCAGCTTCTCCCCTCCCTGCCTCTCCCTCCTCCCCGCCCTGCCCCTCATTTTCCGCCCCCCCACGCCCGGTTTCTCCCCTCCCTGCACCTCCCTTTCTTTCTCCGTGCCTCTCCTTTGCTCCCTCCCTGCCCCCGCCTGCCCATGCCCCTGTCTTTGGTTTCTCCCCTCCCTGCCCCACGTTTCTTCCCTCCCTGAGATCACCTTGTACCCCCTCTGCCCCTCCCTTGTTCTCCCCGCACCCATTGCTTCTCCCCTCCCTGCCCTTGATTTCCCGCACCCCTGCCCTTGTTTCCTACCATCCATGCCCCTCGTTTCCCCTCTTTGTACGTTCACCCTCTTCCCTCCCTGCCCCTCCCTTCCTCCCCCCCTGCCCTTTGCTTTCCCCTCGTTACGCTCCCTTCTCCCCATCCCTGCTGCCCTCTTACCACCATCAGCCCGTCCCCACCACCAGCCCCCCTCCCACCCTTCTCCCCCCCCCCCCTCTCCCTCTCTCTCTCTCTCTCTCTCTCTCTCTCTTTCTCTCGCACACACACACACACACACACTCCCCTCCCCCACCCCCCACCCACATCCTCCCGTTCTGCCCCTCCCTGCCCCTGTTCCACCCCCTCGCACGCCCCTCACCTCTCACCTCCGTTCAACTGGATTCCCCCCCTCTGGTGCATCCCTTGCATCGCTCGCCCCTCTGCTCACCCTCTGCCCGCCCCTTTTCCTTGCCCTCAGCTGGCCCAGCCCCTGCCCGTTGCTGCCCCTCCCCTTGCCCCCTCAACTCCCCTGCCCCCCGTACACCCCACTCCCGTCCAACCGCCCCCACCCTCCCCCGGCTGCCCGTTTCCGCTCTCCACCCCCGCGACCGTGTGCGGCTTCCAACCGCCCAACGGTGGTGCGCACGGGGCGTTTCTTCGCGCGGGCAAGCCTCCCCGGGGGCCCCCCACCCCGCTGACTCGTTGTTCGGGCAAAAAAAAACGGAAATAAAAAAGTCGGACGCGCTAAAATCGTCCTTTGTTTTTCCCGCTTGCCCCTCCCCGGCACGTGCCGAGCAAGGGGCATAAATGGGTACAACACGAGGACTTCCCGGGAGGTCACCCAGCCCAGTACTGCTCTCGCCCACCGGCGCTTAGCTTCGGAGTTCTGATGGGATCCGGCGTAGTAGCCGAGGTATGATCGTACCACGACAATCCCGTGCCCCGACCGGTACACACCCCTTGCCCGGGTCCCCCCTTCATAGTCACACCCCCTGCCCCCTCATGCCATCCGCTCCCCCCGCCCCTACCCTCCGCGTGCCCGCTCCCTCGCCGCCTCTTTTGACCCTCCCTGCCCCCCTCGCCGTTACCCACCGCTCGCCATTCGCTCCTCCCCGCCCGTGCCCTCCCCTCGTTTACCTTCGCCTCCCCCCTCCCCTCCTCTGCTGCACGCCTCTTCCTTCCCCTCGCTAACCCACTCCACTCCCTGCCCCTCCTCAATCCGCACCCTGCCCCTCGTTTCTCGCCCCCCTACGCTTGGTTTCTCCCCTCCCTGCCCCTCGCCGCCTTTCTCCGCTCCCCACCTCCCCCCTCTCCCTGCCCCCCCACTCTCCTCCACTTGCCCTTGGCTTCCCACCTCCCTGCCCCACCTTTCCCCCCTCCGTGTGCTCAGCTTCTCCCCTCCCTGCCTCTCCCTCCTCCCCGCCCTGCCCCTCATTTTCCGCCCCCCCACGCCCGGTTTCTCCCCTCCCTGCACCTCCCTTTCTTTCTCCGTGCCTCTCCTTTGCTCCCTCCCTGCCCCCGCCTGCCCATGCCCCTGTCTTTGGTTTCTCCCCTCCCTGCCCCACGTTTCTTCCCTCCCTGAGATCACCTTGTACCCCCTCTGCCCCTCCCTTGTTCTCCCCGCACCCATTGCTTCTCCCCTCCCTGCCCTTGATTTCCCGCACCCCTGCCCTTGTTTCCTACCATCCATGCCCCTCGTTTCCCCTCTTTGTACGTTCACCCTCTTCCCTCCCTGCCCCTCCCTTCCTCCCCCCCTGCCCTTTGCTTTCCCCTCGTTACGCTCCCTTCTCCCCATCCCTGCTGCCCTCTTACCACCATCAGCCCGTCCCCACCACCAGCCCCCCTCCCACCCTTCTCCCCCCCCCCCTCTCCCTCTCTCTCTCTCTCTCTCTCTCTTTCTCTCGCACACACACACACACACACACTCCCCTCCCCCACCCCCCACCCACATCCTCCCGTTCTGCCCCTCCCTGCCCCTGTTCCACCCCCTCGCACGCCCCTCACCTCTCACCTCCGTTCAACTGGATTCCCCCCCTCTGGTGCATCCCTTGCATCGCTCGCCCCTCTGCTCACCCTCTGCCCGCCCCTTTTCCTTGCCCTCAGCTGGCCCAGCCCCTGCCCGTTGCTGCCCCTCCCCTTGCCCCCTCAACTCCCCTGCCCCCCGTACACCCCACTCCCGTCCAACCGCCCCCACCCTCCCCCGGCTGCCCGTTTCCGCTCTCCACCCCCGCGACCGTGTGCGGCTTCCAACCGCCCAACGGTGGTGCGCACGGGGCGTTTCTTCGCGCGGGCAAGCCTCCCCGGGGGCCCCCCACCCCGCTGACTCGTTGTTCGGAGCAAAAAAACGGAAATAAAAAAGTCGGACGCGCTAAAATCGTCCTTTGTTTTTCCCGCTTGCCCCTCCCCGGCACGTGCCGAGCAAGGGGCATAAATGGGTACAACACGAGGACTTCCCGGGAGGTCACCCAGCCCAGTACTGCTCTCGCCCACCGGCGCTTAGCTTCGGAGTTCTGATGGGATCCGGCGTAGTAGCCGAGGTATGATCGTACCACGACAATCCCGTGCCCCGACCGGTACACACCCCTTGCCCGGGTCCCCCCTTCATAGTCACACCCCCTGCCCCCTCATGCCATCCGCTCCCCCCGCCCCTACCCTCCGCGTGCCCGCTCCCTCGCCGCCTCTTTTGACCCTCCCTGCCCCCCTCGCCGTTACCCACCGCTCGCCATTCGCTCCTCCCCGCCCGTGCCCTCCCCTCGTTTACCTTCGCCTCCCCCCTCCCCTCCTCTGCTGCACGCCTCTTCCTTCCCCTCGCTAACCCACTCCACTCCCTGCCCCTCCTCAATCCGCACCCTGCCCCTCGTTTCTCGCCCCCCTATGCTTGGTTTCTCCCCCCCTGCCCTTTGCTTTCCCCTCGTTACGCTCCCTTCTCCCCATCCCTGCTGCCCTCTTACCACCATCAGCCCGTCCCCACCACCAGCCCCCCTCCCACCCTTCTCCCCCCCCCCCTCTCCCTCTCTCTCTCTCTCTCTATCTCTCTCACTCTCTCTCTCTCTCTCTCTCTTTCTCTCGCACACACACACACACACACACTCCCCTCCCCCACCCCCCACCCACATCCTCCCGTTCTGCCCCTCCCTGCCCCTGTTCCACCCCCTCGCACGCCCCTCACCTCTCACCTCCGTTCAACTGGATTCCCCCCCTCTGGTGCATCCCTTGCATCGCTCGCCCCTCTGCTCACCCTCTGCCGCCCCTTTTCCTTGCCCTCAGCTGGCCCAGCCCCTGCCCGTTGCTGCCCCTCCCCTTGCCCCCTCAACTCCCCTGCCCCCCGTACACCCCACTCCCGTCCAACCGCCCCCACCCTCCCCCGGCTGCCCGTTTCCGCTCTCCACCCCCGCGACCGTGTGCGGCTTCCAACCGCCCAACGGTGGTGCGCACGGGGCGTTTCTTCGCGCGGGCAAGCCTCCCCGGGGGCCCCCCACCCCGCTGACTCGTTGTTCGGGCAAAAAAAACGGAAATAAAAAAGTCGGACGCGCTAAAATCGTCCTTTGTTTTTCCCGCTTGCCCCTCCCCGGCACGTGCCGAGCAAGGGGCATAAATGGGTACAACACGAGGACTTCCCGGGAGGTCACCCAGCCCAGTACTGCTCTCGCCCACCGGCGCTTAGCTTCGGAGTTCTGATGGGATCCGGCGTAGTAGCCGAGGTATGATCGTACCACGACAATCCCGTGCCCCGACCGGTACACACCCCTTGCCCGGGTCCCCCCTTCATAGTCACACCCCCTGCCCCCTCATGCCATCCGCTCCCCCCGCCCCTACCCTCCGCGTGCCCGCTCCCTCGCCGCCTCTTTTGACCCTCCCTGCCCCCCTCGCCGTTACCCACCGCTCGCCATTCGCTCCTCCCCGCCCGTGCCCTCCCCTCGTTTACCTTCGCCTCCCCCCTCCCCTCCTCTGCTGCACGCCTCTTCCTTCCCCTCGCTAACCCACTCCACTCCCTGCCCCTCCTCAATCCGCACCCTGCCCCTCGTTTCTCGCCCCCCTATGCTTGGTTTCTCCCCCCCTGCCCTTTGCTTTCCCCTCGTTACGCTCCCTTCTCCCCATCCCTGCTGCCCTCTTACCACCATCAGCCCGTCCCCACCACCAGCCCCCCTCCCACCCTTCTCCCCCCCCCCCTCTCCCTCTCTCTCTCTCTCTCTCTATCTCTCTCACTCTCTCTCTCTCTCTCTCTCTTTCTCTCGCACACACACACACACACACTCCCCTCCCCCACCCCCCACCCACATCCTCCCGTTCTGCCCCTCCCTGCCCCTGTTCCACCCCCTCGCACGCCCCTCACCTCTCACCTCCGTTCAACTGGATTCCCCCCCTCTGGTGCATCCCTTGCATCGCTCGCCCCTCTGCTCACCCTCTGCCCGCCCCTTTTCCTTGCCCTCAGCTGGCCCAGCCCCTGCCCGTTGCTGCCCCTCCCCTTGCCCCCTCAACTCCCCTGCCCCCCGTACACCCCACTCCCGTCCAACCGCCCCCACCCTCCCCCGGCTGCCCGTTTCCGCTCTCCACCCCCGCGACCGTGTGCGGCTTCCAACCGCCCAACGGTGGTGCGCACGGGGCGTTTCTTCGCGCGGGCAAGCCTCCCCGGGGGCCCCCCACCCCGCTGACTCGTTGTTCGGGCAAAAAAACGGAAATAAAAAAGTCGGACGCGCTAAAATCGTCCTTTGTTTTTCCCGCTTGCCCCTCCCCGGCACGTGCCGAGCAAGGGGCATAAATGGGTACAACACGAGGACTTCCCGGGAGGTCACCCAGCCCAGTACTGCTCTCGCCCACCGGCGCTTAGCTTCGGAGTTCTGATGGGATCCGGCGTAGTAGCCGAGGTATGATCGTACCACGACAATCCCGTGCCCCGACCGGTACACACCCCTTGCCCGGGTCCCCCCTTCATAGTCACACCCCCTGCCCCCTCATGCCATCCGCTCCCCCCGCCCCTACCCTCCGCGTGCCCGCTCCCTCGCCGCCTCTTTTGACCCTCCCTGCCCCCCTCGCCGTTACCCACCGCTCGCCATTCGCTCCTCCCCGCCCGTGCCCTCCCCTCGTTTACCTTCGCCTCCCCCCTCCCCTCCTCTGCTGCACGCCTCTTCCTTCCCCTCGCTAACCCACTCCACTCCCTGCCCCTCCTCAATCCGCACCCTGCCCCTCGTTTCTCGCCCCCCTACGCTTGGTTTCTCCCCTCCCTGCCCCTCGCCGCCTTTCTCCGCTCCCCACCTCCCCCCTCTCCCTGCCCCCCCACTCTCCTCCACTTGCCCTTGGCTTCCCACCTCCCTGCCCCACCTTTCCCCCCTCCGTGTGCTCAGCTTCTCCCCTCCCTGCCTCTCCCTCCTCCCCGCCCTGCCCCTCATTTTCCGCCCCCCCACGCCCGGTTTCTCCCCTCCCTGCACCTCCCTTTCTTTCTCCGTGCCTCTCCTTTGCTCCCTCCCTGCCCCCGCCTGCCCATGCCCCTGTCTTTGGTTTCTCCCCTCCCTGCCCCACGTTTCTTCCCTCCCTGAGATCACCTTGTACCCCCTCTGCCCCTCCCTTGTTCTCCCCGCACCCATTGCTTCTCCCCTCCCTGCCCTTGATTTCCCGCACCCCTGCCCTTGTTTCCTACCATCCATGCCCCTCGTTTCCCCTCTTTGTACGTTCACCCTCTTCCCTCCCTGCCCCTCCCTTCCTCCCCCCCTGCCCTTTGCTTTCCCCTCGTTACGCTCCCTTCTCCCCATCCCTGCTGCCCTCTTACCACCATCAGCCCGTCCCCACCACCAGCCCCCCTCCCACCCTTCTCCCCCCCCCCCTCTCCCTCTCTCTCTCTCTCTCTCTCTCTTTCTCTCGCACACACACACACACACACACTCCCCTCCCCCACCCCCCACCCACATCCTCCCGTTCTGCCCCTCCCTGCCCCTGTTCCACCCCCTCGCACGCCCCTCACCTCTCACCTCCGTTCAACTGGATTCCCCCCCTCTGGTGCATCCCTTGCATCGCTCGCCCCTCTGCTCACCCTCTGCCCGCCCCTTTTCCTTGCCCTCAGCTGGCCCAGCCCCTGCCCGTTGCTGCCCCTCCCCTTGCCCCCTCAACTCCCCTGCCCCCCGTACACCCCACTCCCGTCCAACCGCCCCCACCCTCCCCCGGCTGCCCGTTTCCGCTCTCCACCCCCGCGACCGTGTGCGGCTTCCAACCGCCCAACGGTGGTGCGCACGGGGCGTTTCTTCGCGCGGGCAAGCCTCCCCGGGGGCCCCCCACCCCGCTGACTCGTTGTTCGGAGCAAAAAAAACGGAAATAAAAAAGTCGGACGCGCTAAAATCGTCCTTTGTTTTTCCCGCTTGCCCCTCCCCGGCACGTGCCGAGCAAGGGGCATAAATGGGTACAACACGAGGACTTCCCGGGAGGTCACCCAGCCCAGTACTGCTCTCGCCCACCGGCGCTTAGCTTCGGAGTTCTGATGGGATCCGGCGTAGTAGCCGAGGTATGATCGTACCACGACAATCCCGTGCCCCGACCGGTACACACCCCTTGCCCGGGTCCCCCCTTCATAGTCACACCCCCTGCCCCCTCATGCCATCCGCTCCCCCCGCCCCTACCCTCCGCGTGCCCGCTCCCTCGCCGCCTCTTTTGACCCTCCCTGCCCCCCTCGCCGTTACCCACCGCTCGCCATTCGCTCCTCCCCGCCCGTGCCCTCCCCTCGTTTACCTTCGCCTCCCCCCTCCCCTCCTCTGCTGCACGCCTCTTCCTTCCCCTCGCTAACCCACTCCACTCCCTGCCCCTCCTCAATCCGCACCCTGCCCCTCGTTTCTCGCCCCCCTATGCTTGGTTTCTCCCCCCCTGCCCTTTGCTTTCCCCTCGTTACGCTCCCTTCTCCCCATCCCTGCTGCCCTCTTACCACCATCAGCCCGTCCCCACCACCAGCCCCCCTCCCACCCTTCTCCCCCCCCCCCTCTCCCTCTCTCTCTCTCTCTCTCTATCTCTCTCACTCTCTCTCTCTCTCTCTCTCTTTCTCTCGCACACACACACACACACACACACTCCCCTCCCCCACCCCCCACCCACATCCTCCCGTTCTGCCCCTCCCTGCCCCTGTTCCACCCCCTCGCACGCCCCTCACCTCTCACCTCCGTTCAACTGGATTCCCCCCCTCTGGTGCATCCCTTGCATCGCTCGCCCCTCTGCTCACCCTCTGCCCGCCCCTTTTCCTTGCCCTCAGCTGGCCCAGCCCCTGCCCGTTGCTGCCCCTCCCCTTGCCCCCTCAACTCCCCTGCCCCCCGTACACCCCACTCCCGTCCAACCGCCCCCACCCTCCCCCGGCTGCCCGTTTCCGCTCTCCACCCCCGCGACCGTGTGCGGCTTCCAACCGCCCAACGGTGGTGCGCACGGGGCGTTTCTTCGCGCGGGCAAGCCTCCCCGGGGGCCCCCCACCCCGCTGACTCGTTGTTCGGGCAAAAAAACGGAAATAAAAAAGTCGGACGCGCTAAAATCGTCCTTTGTTTTTCCCGCTTGCCCCTCCCCGGCACGTGCCGAGCAAGGGGCATAAATGGGTACAACACGAGGACTTCCCGGGAGGTCACCCAGCCCAGTACTGCTCTCGCCCACCGGCGCTTAGCTTCGGAGTTCTGATGGGATCCGGCGTAGTAGCCGAGGTATGATCGTACCACGACAATCCCGTGCCCCGACCGGTACACACCCCTTGCCCGGGTCCCCCCTTCATAGTCACACCCCCTGCCCCCTCATGCCATCCGCTCCCCCCGCCCCTACCCTCCGCGTGCCCGCTCCCTCGCCGCCTCTTTTGACCCTCCCTGCCCCCCTCGCCGTTACCCACCGCTCGCCATTCGCTCCTCCCCGCCCGTGCCCTCCCCTCGTTTACCTTCGCCTCCCCCCTCCCCTCCTCTGCTGCACGCCTCTTCCTTCCCCTCGCTAACCCACTCCACTCCCTGCCCCTCCTCAATCCGCACCCTGCCCCTCGTTTCTCGCCCCCCTACGCTTGGTTTCTCCCCTCCCTGCCCCTCGCCGCCTTTCTCCGCTCCCCACCTCCCCCCTCTCCCTGCCCCCCCACTCTCCTCCACTTGCCCTTGGCTTCCCACCTCCCTGCCCCACCTTTCCCCCCTCCGTGTGCTCAGCTTCTCCCCTCCCTGCCTCTCCCTCCTCCCCGCCCTGCCCCTCATTTTCCGCCCCCCCACGCCCGGTTTCTCCCCTCCCTGCACCTCCCTTTCTTTCTCCGTGCCTCTCCTTTGCTCCCTCCCTGCCCCCGCCTGCCCATGCCCCTGTCTTTGGTTTCTCCCCTCCCTGCCCCACGTTTCTTCCCTCCCTGAGATCACCTTGTACCCCCTCTGCCCCTCCCTTGTTCTCCCCGCACCCATTGCTTCTCCCCTCCCTGCCCTTGATTTCCCGCACCCCTGCCCTTGTTTCCTACCATCCATGCCCCTCGTTTCCCCTCTTTGTACGTTCACCCTCTTCCCTCCCTGCCCCTCCCTTCCTCCCCCCCTGCCCTTTGCTTTCCCCTCGTTACGCTCCCTTCTCCCCATCCCTGCTGCCCTCTTACCACCATCAGCCCGTCCCCACCACCAGCCCCCCTCCCACCCTTCTCCCCCCCCCCCTCTCCCTCTCTCTCTCTCTCTCTCTCTCTCTTTCTCTCGCACACACACACACACACACACTCCCCTCCCCCACCCCCCACCCACATCCTCCCGTTCTGCCCCTCCCTGCCCCTGTTCCACCCCCTCGCACGCCCCTCACCTCTCACCTCCGTTCAACTGGATTCCCCCCCTCTGGTGCATCCCTTGCATCGCTCGCCCCTCTGCTCACCCTCTGCCCGCCCCTTTTCCTTGCCCTCAGCTGGCCCAGCCCCTGCCCGTTGCTGCCCCTCCCCTTGCCCCCTCAACTCCCCTGCCCCCCGTACACCCCACTCCCGTCCAACCGCCCCCACCCTCCCCCGGCTGCCCGTTTCCGCTCTCCACCCCCGCGACCGTGTGCGGCTTCCAACCGCCCAACGGTGGTGCGCACGGGGCGTTTCTTCGCGCGGGCAAGCCTCCCCGGGGGCCCCCCACCCCGCTGACTCGTTGTTCGGGCAAAAAAACGGAAATAAAAAAGTCGGACGCGCTAAAATCGTCCTTTGTTTTTCCCGCTTGCCCCTCCCCGGCACGTGCCGAGCAAGGGGCATAAATGGGTACAACACGAGGACTTCCCGGGAGGTCACCCAGCCCAGTACTGCTCTCGCCCACCGGCGCTTAGCTTCGGAGTTCTGATGGGATCCGGCGTAGTAGCCGAGGTATGATCGTACCACGACAATCCCGTGCCCCGACCGGTACACACCCCTTGCCCGGGTCCCCCCTTCATAGTCACACCCCCTGCCCCCTCATGCCATCCGCTCCCCCCGCCCCTACCCTCCGCGTGCCCGCTCCCTCGCCGCCTCTTTTGACCCTCCCTGCCCCCCTCGCCGTTACCCACCGCTCGCCATTCGCTCCTCCCCGCCCGTGCCCTCCCCTCGTTTACCTTCGCCTCCCCCCTCCCCTCCTCTGCTGCACGCCTCTTCCTTCCCCTCGCTAACCCACTCCACTCCCTGCCCCTCCTCAATCCGCACCCTGCCCCTCGTTTCTCGCCCCCCTACGCTTGGTTTCTCCCCTCCCTGCCCCTCGCCGCCTTTCTCCGCTCCCCACCTCCCCCCTCTCCCTGCCCCCCCACTCTCCTCCACTTGCCCTTGGCTTCCCACCTCCCTGCCCCACCTTTCCCCCCTCCGTGTGCTCAGCTTCTCCCCTCCCTGCCTCTCCCTCCTCCCCGCCCTGCCCCTCATTTTCCGCCCCCCCACGCCCGGTTTCTCCCCTCCCTGCACCTCCCTTTCTTTCTCCGTGCCTCTCCTTTGCTCCCTCCCTGCCCCCGCCTGCCCATGCCCCTGTCTTTGGTTTCTCCCCTCCCTGCCCCACGTTTCTTCCCTCCCTGAGATCACCTTGTACCCCCTCTGCCCCTCCCTTGTTCTCCCCGCACCCATTGCTTCTCCCCTCCCTGCCCTTGATTTCCCGCACCCCTGCCCTTGTTTCCTACCATCCATGCCCCTCGTTTCCCCTCTTTGTACGTTCACCCTCTTCCCTCCCTGCCCCTCCCTTCCTCCCCCCCTGCCCTTTGCTTTCCCCTCGTTACGCTCCCTTCTCCCCATCCCTGCTGCCCTCTTACCACCATCAGCCCGTCCCCACCACCAGCCCCCCTCCCACCCTTCTCCCCCCCCCCCTCTCCCTCTCTCTCTCTCTCTCTCTCTCTTTCTCTCGCACACACACACACACACACACTCCCCTCCCCCACCCCCCACCCACATCCTCCCGTTCTGCCCCTCCCTGCCCCTGTTCCACCCCCTCGCACGCCCCTCACCTCTCACCTCCGTTCAACTGGATTCCCCCCCTCTGGTGCATCCCTTGCATCGCTCGCCCCTCTGCTCACCCTCTGCCCGCCCCTTTTCCTTGCCCTCAGCTGGCCCAGCCCCTGCCCGTTGCTGCCCCTCCCCTTGCCCCCTCAACTCCCCTGCCCCCCGTACACCCCACTCCCGTCCAACCGCCCCCACCCTCCCCCGGCTGCCCGTTTCCGCTCTCCACCCCCGCGACCGTGTGCGGCTTCCAACCGCCCAACGGTGGTGCGCACGGGGCGTTTCTTCGCGCGGGCAAGCCTCCCCGGGGGCCCCCCACCCCGCTGACTCGTTGTTCGGGCAAAAAAAACGGAAATAAAAAAGTCGGACGCGCTAAAATCGTCCTTTGTTTTTCCCGCTTGCCCCTCCCCGGCACGTGCCGAGCAAGGGGCATAAATGGGTACAACACGAGGACTTCCCGGGAGGTCACCCAGCCCAGTACTGCTCTCGCCCACCGGCGCTTAGCTTCGGAGTTCTGATGGGATCCGGCGTAGTAGCCGAGGTATGATCGTACCACGACAATCCCGTGCCCCGACCGGTACACACCCCTTGCCCGGGTCCCCCCTTCATAGTCACACCCCCTGCCCCCTCATGCCATCCGCTCCCCCCGCCCCTACCCTCCGCGTGCCCGCTCCCTCGCCGCCTCTTTTGACCCTCCCTGCCCCCCTCGCCGTTACCCACCGCTCGCCATTCGCTCCTCCCCGCCCGTGCCCTCCCCTCGTTTACCTTCGCCTCCCCCCTCCCCTCCTCTGCTGCACGCCTCTTCCTTCCCCTCGCTAACCCACTCCACTCCCTGCCCCTCCTCAATCCGCACCCTGCCCCTCGTTTCTCGCCCCCCTATGCTTGGTTTCTCCCCCCCTGCCCTTTGCTTTCCCCTCGTTACGCTCCCTTCTCCCCATCCCTGCTGCCCTCTTACCACCATCAGCCCGTCCCCACCACCAGCCCCCCTCCCACCCTTCTCCCCCCCCCCCTCTCCCTCTCTCTCTCTCTCTCTCTATCTCTCTCACTCTCTCTCTCTCTCTCTCTCTCTTTCTCTCGCACACACACACACACACACACTCCCCTCCCCCACCCCCCACCCACATCCTCCCGTTCTGCCCCTCCCTGCCCCTGTTCCACCCCCTCGCACGCCCCTCACCTCTCACCTCCGTTCAACTGGATTCCCCCCCTCTGGTGCATCCCTTGCATCGCTCGCCCCTCTGCTCACCCTCTGCCCGCCCCTTTTCCTTGCCCTCAGCTGGCCCAGCCCCTGCCCGTTGCTGCCCCTCCCCTTGCCCCCTCAACTCCCCTGCCCCCCGTACACCCCACTCCCGTCCAACCGCCCCCACCCTCCCCCGGCTGCCCGTTTCCGCTCTCCACCCCCGCGACCGTGTGCGGCTTCCAACCGCCCAACGGTGGTGCGCACGGGGCGTTTCTTCGCGCGGGCAAGCCTCCCCGGGGGCCCCCCACCCCGCTGACTCGTTGTTCGGGCAAAAAAACGGAAATAAAAAAGTCGGACGCGCTAAAATCGTCCTTTGTTTTTCCCGCTTGCCCCTCCCCGGCACGTGCCGAGCAAGGGGCATAAATGGGTACAACACGAGGACTTCCCGGGAGGTCACCCAGCCCAGTACTGCTCTCGCCCACCGGCGCTTAGCTTCGGAGTTCTGATGGGATCCGGCGTAGTAGCCGAGGTATGATCGTACCACGACAATCCCGTGCCCCGACCGGTACACACCCCTTGCCCGGGTCCCCCCTTCATAGTCACACCCCCTGCCCCCTCATGCCATCCGCTCCCCCCGCCCCTACCCTCCGCGTGCCCGCTCCCTCGCCGCCTCTTTTGACCCTCCCTGCCCCCCTCGCCGTTACCCACCGCTCGCCATTCGCTCCTCCCCGCCCGTGCCCTCCCCTCGTTTACCTTCGCCTCCCCCCTCCCCTCCTCTGCTGCACGCCTCTTCCTTCCCCTCGCTAACCCACTCCACTCCCTGCCCCTCCTCAATCCGCACCCTGCCCCTCGTTTCTCGCCCCCCTACGCTTGGTTTCTCCCCTCCCTGCCCCTCGCCGCCTTTCTCCGCTCCCCACCTCCCCCCTCTCCCTGCCCCCCCACTCTCCTCCACTTGCCCTTGGCTTCCCACCTCCCTGCCCCACCTTTCCCCCCTCCGTGTGCTCAGCTTCTCCCCTCCCTGCCTCTCCCTCCTCCCCGCCCTGCCCCTCATTTTCCGCCCCCCCACGCCCGGTTTCTCCCCTCCCTGCACCTCCCTTTCTTTCTCCGTGCCTCTCCTTTGCTCCCTCCCTGCCCCCGCCTGCCCATGCCCCTGTCTTTGGTTTCTCCCCTCCCTGCCCCACGTTTCTTCCCTCCCTGAGATCACCTTGTACCCCCTCTGCCCCTCCCTTGTTCTCCCCGCACCCATTGCTTCTCCCCTCCCTGCCCTTGATTTCCCGCACCCCTGCCCTTGTTTCCTACCATCCATGCCCCTCGTTTCCCCTCTTTGTACGTTCACCCTCTTCCCTCCCTGCCCCTCCCTTCCTCCCCCCCTGCCCTTTGCTTTCCCCTCGTTACGCTCCCTTCTCCCCATCCCTGCTGCCCTCTTACCACCATCAGCCCGTCCCCACCACCAGCCCCCCTCCCACCCTTCTCCCCCCCCCCCTCTCCCTCTCTCTCTCTCTCTCTCTCTCTTTCTCTCGCACACACACACACACACACACTCCCCTCCCCCACCCCCCACCCACATCCTCCCGTTCTGCCCCTCCCTGCCCCTGTTCCACCCCCTCGCACGCCCCTCACCTCTCACCTCCGTTCAACTGGATTCCCCCCCTCTGGTGCATCCCTTGCATCGCTCGCCCCTCTGCTCACCCTCTGCCCGCCCCTTTTCCTTGCCCTCAGCTGGCCCAGCCCCTGCCCGTTGCTGCCCCTCCCCTTGCCCCCTCAACTCCCCTGCCCCCCGTACACCCCACTCCCGTCCAACCGCCCCCACCCTCCCCCGGCTGCCCGTTTCCGCTCTCCACCCCCGCGACCGTGTGCGGCTTCCAACCGCCCAACGGTGGTGCGCACGGGGCGTTTCTTCGCGCGGGCAAGCCTCCCCGGGGGCCCCCCACCCCGCTGACTCGTTGTTCGGGCAAAAAAAACGGAAATAAAAAAGTCGGACGCGCTAAAATCGTCCTTTGTTTTTCCCGCTTGCCCCTCCCCGGCACGTGCCGAGCAAGGGGCATAAATGGGTACAACACGAGGACTTCCCGGGAGGTCACCCAGCCCAGTACTGCTCTCGCCCACCGGCGCTTAGCTTCGGAGTTCTGATGGGATCCGGCGTAGTAGCCGAGGTATGATCGTACCACGACAATCCCGTGCCCCGACCGGTACACACCCCTTGCCCGGGTCCCCCCTTCATAGTCACACCCCCTGCCCCCTCATGCCATCCGCTCCCCCCGCCCCTACCCTCCGCGTGCCCGCTCCCTCGCCGCCTCTTTTGACCCTCCCTGCCCCCCTCGCCGTTACCCACCGCTCGCCATTCGCTCCTCCCCGCCCGTGCCCTCCCCTCGTTTACCTTCGCCTCCCCCCTCCCCTCCTCTGCTGCACGCCTCTTCCTTCCCCTCGCTAACCCACTCCACTCCCTGCCCCTCCTCAATCCGCACCCTGCCCCTCGTTTCTCGCCCCCCTACGCTTGGTTTCTCCCCTCCCTGCCCCTCGCCGCCTTTCTCCGCTCCCCACCTCCCCCCTCTCCCTGCCCCCCCACTCTCCTCCACTTGCCCTTGGCTTCCCACCTCCCTGCCCCACCTTTCCCCCCTCCGTGTGCTCAGCTTCTCCCCTCCCTGCCTCTCCCTCCTCCCCGCCCTGCCCCTCATTTTCCGCCCCCCCACGCCCGGTTTCTCCCCTCCCTGCACCTCCCTTTCTTTCTCCGTGCCTCTCCTTTGCTCCCTCCCTGCCCCCGCCTGCCCATGCCCCTGTCTTTGGTTTCTCCCCTCCCTGCCCCACGTTTCTTCCCTCCCTGAGATCACCTTGTACCCCCTCTGCCCCTCCCTTGTTCTCCCCGCACCCATTGCTTCTCCCCTCCCTGCCCTTGATTTCCCGCACCCCTGCCCTTGTTTCCTACCATCCATGCCCCTCGTTTCCCCTCTTTGTACGTTCACCCTCTTCCCTCCCTGCCCCTCCCTTCCTCCCCCCCTGCCCTTTGCTTTCCCCTCGTTACGCTCCCTTCTCCCCATCCCTGCTGCCCTCTTACCACCATCAGCCCGTCCCCACCACCAGCCCCCCTCCCACCCTTCTCCCCCCCCCCCTCTCCCTCTCTCTCTCTCTCTCTCTCTCTTTCTCTCGCACACACACACACACACACACTCCCCTCCCCCACCCCCCACCCACATCCTCCCGTTCTGCCCCTCCCTGCCCCTGTTCCACCCCCTCGCACGCCCCTCACCTCTCACCTCCGTTCAACTGGATTCCCCCCCTCTGGTGCATCCCTTGCATCGCTCGCCCCTCTGCTCACCCTCTGCCCGCCCCTTTTCCTTGCCCTCAGCTGGCCCAGCCCCTGCCCGTTGCTGCCCCTCCCCTTGCCCCCTCAACTCCCCTGCCCCCCGTACACCCCACTCCCGTCCAACCGCCCCCACCCTCCCCCGGCTGCCCGTTTCCGCTCTCCACCCCCGCGACCGTGTGCGGCTTCCAACCGCCCAACGGTGGTGCGCACGGGGCGTTTCTTCGCGCGGGCAAGCCTCCCCGGGGGCCCCCCACCCCGCTGACTCGTTGTTCGGGCAAAAAAACGGAAATAAAAAAGTCGGACGCGCTAAAATCGTCCTTTGTTTTTCCCGCTTGCCCCTCCCCGGCACGTGCCGAGCAAGGGGCATAAATGGGTACAACACGAGGACTTCCCGGGAGGTCACCCAGCCCAGTACTGCTCTCGCCCACCGGCGCTTAGCTTCGGAGTTCTGATGGGATCCGGCGTAGTAGCCGAGGTATGATCGTACCACGACAATCCCGTGCCCCGACCGGTACACACCCCTTGCCCGGGTCCCCCCTTCATAGTCACACCCCCTGCCCCCTCATGCCATCCGCTCCCCCCGCCCCTACCCTCCGCGTGCCCGCTCCCTCGCCGCCTCTTTTGACCCTCCCTGCCCCCCTCGCCGTTACCCACCGCTCGCCATTCGCTCCTCCCCGCCCGTGCCCTCCCCTCGTTTACCTTCGCCTCCCCCCTCCCCTCCTCTGCTGCACGCCTCTTCCTTCCCCTCGCTAACCCACTCCACTCCCTGCCCCTCCTCAATCCGCACCCTGCCCCTCGTTTCTCGCCCCCCTATGCTTGGTTTCTCCCCCCCTGCCCTTTGCTTTCCCCTCGTTACGCTCCCTTCTCCCCATCCCTGCTGCCCTCTTACCACCATCAGCCCGTCCCCACCACCAGCCCCCCTCCCACCCTTCTCCCCCCCCCCCTCTCCCTCTCTCTCTCTCTCTCTATCTCTCTCACTCTCTCTCTCTCTCTCTCTCTTTCTCTCGCACACACACACACACACACACTCCCCTCCCCCACCCCCCACCCACATCCTCCCGTTCTGCCCCTCCCTGCCCCTGTTCCACCCCCTCGCACGCCCCTCACCTCTCACCTCCGTTCAACTGGATTCCCCCCCTCTGGTGCATCCCTTGCATCGCTCGCCCCTCTGCTCACCCTCTGCCCGCCCCTTTTCCTTGCCCTCAGCTGGCCCAGCCCCTGCCCGTTGCTGCCCCTCCCCTTGCCCCCTCAACTCCCCTGCCCCCCGTACACCCCACTCCCGTCCAACCGCCCCCACCCTCCCCCGGCTGCCCGTTTCCGCTCTCCACCCCCGCGACCGTGTGCGGCTTCCAACCGCCCAACGGTGGTGCGCACGGGGCGTTTCTTCGCGCGGGCAAGCCTCCCCGGGGGCCCCCCACCCCGCTGACTCGTTGTTCGGGCAAAAAAAACGGAAATAAAAAAGTCGGACGCGCTAAAATCGTCCTTTGTTTTTCCCGCTTGCCCCTCCCCGGCACGTGCCGAGCAAGGGGCATAAATGGGTACAACACGAGGACTTCCCGGGAGGTCACCCAGCCCAGTACTGCTCTCGCCCACCGGCGCTTAGCTTCGGAGTTCTGATGGGATCCGGCGTAGTAGCCGAGGTATGATCGTACCACGACAATCCCGTGCCCCGACCGGTACACACCCCTTGCCCGGGTCCCCCCTTCATAGTCACACCCCCTGCCCCCTCATGCCATCCGCTCCCCCCGCCCCTACCCTCCGCGTGCCCGCTCCCTCGCCGCCTCTTTTGACCCTCCCTGCCCCCCTCGCCGTTACCCACCGCTCGCCATTCGCTCCTCCCCGCCCGTGCCCTCCCCTCGTTTACCTTCGCCTCCCCCCTCCCCTCCTCTGCTGCACGCCTCTTCCTTCCCCTCGCTAACCCACTCCACTCCCTGCCCCTCCTCAATCCGCACCCTGCCCCTCGTTTCTCGCCCCCCTACGCTTGGTTTCTCCCCTCCCTGCCCCTCGCCGCCTTTCTCCGCTCCCCACCTCCCCCCTCTCCCTGCCCCCCCACTCTCCTCCACTTGCCCTTGGCTTCCCACCTCCCTGCCCCACCTTTCCCCCCTCCGTGTGCTCAGCTTCTCCCCTCCCTGCCTCTCCCTCCTCCCCGCCCTGCCCCTCATTTTCCGCCCCCCCACGCCCGGTTTCTCCCCTCCCTGCACCTCCCTTTCTTTCTCCGTGCCTCTCCTTTGCTCCCTCCCTGCCCCCGCCTGCCCATGCCCCTGTCTTTGGTTTCTCCCCTCCCTGCCCCACGTTTCTTCCCTCCCTGAGATCACCTTGTACCCCCTCTGCCCCTCCCTTGTTCTCCCCGCACCCATTGCTTCTCCCCTCCCTGCCCTTGATTTCCCGCACCCCTGCCCTTGTTTCCTACCATCCATGCCCCTCGTTTCCCCTCTTTGTACGTTCACCCTCTTCCCTCCCTGCCCCTCCCTTCCTCCCCCCCTGCCCTTTGCTTTCCCCTCGTTACGCTCCCTTCTCCCCATCCCTGCTGCCCTCTTACCACCATCAGCCCGTCCCCACCACCAGCCCCCCTCCCACCCTTCTCCCCCCCCCCCTCTCCCTCTCTCTCTCTCTCTCTCTCTCTCTTTCTCTCGCACACACACACACACACACACTCCCCTCCCCCACCCCCCACCCACATCCTCCCGTTCTGCCCCTCCCTGCCCCTGTTCCACCCCCTCGCACGCCCCTCACCTCTCACCTCCGTTCAACTGGATTCCCCCCCTCTGGTGCATCCCTTGCATCGCTCGCCCCTCTGCTCACCCTCTGCCCGCCCCTTTTCCTTGCCCTCAGCTGGCCCAGCCCCTGCCCGTTGCTGCCCCTCCCCTTGCCCCCTCAACTCCCCTGCCCCCCGTACACCCCACTCCCGTCCAACCGCCCCCACCCTCCCCCGGCTGCCCGTTTCCGCTCTCCACCCCCGCGACCGTGTGCGGCTTCCAACCGCCCAACGGTGGTGCGCACGGGGCGTTTCTTCGCGCGGGCAAGCCTCCCCGGGGGCCCCCCACCCCGCTGACTCGTTGTTCGGGCAAAAAAACGGAAATAAAAAAGTCGGACGCGCTAAAATCGTCCTTTGTTTTTCCCGCTTGCCCCTCCCCGGCACGTGCCGAGCAAGGGGCATAAATGGGTACAACACGAGGACTTCCCGGGAGGTCACCCAGCCCAGTACTGCTCTCGCCCACCGGCGCTTAGCTTCGGAGTTCTGATGGGATCCGGCGTAGTAGCCGAGGTATGATCGTACCACGACAATCCCGTGCCCCGACCGGTACACACCCCTTGCCCGGGTCCCCCCTTCATAGTCACACCCCCTGCCCCCTCATGCCATCCGCTCCCCCCGCCCCTACCCTCCGCGTGCCCGCTCCCTCGCCGCCTCTTTTGACCCTCCCTGCCCCCCTCGCCGTTACCCACCGCTCGCCATTCGCTCCTCCCCGCCCGTGCCCTCCCCTCGTTTACCTTCGCCTCCCCCCTCCCCTCCTCTGCTGCACGCCTCTTCCTTCCCCTCGCTAACCCACTCCACTCCCTGCCCCTCCTCAATCCGCACCCTGCCCCTCGTTTCTCGCCCCCCTATGCTTGGTTTCTCCCCCCCTGCCCTTTGCTTTCCCCTCGTTACGCTCCCTTCTCCCCATCCCTGCTGCCCTCTTACCACCATCAGCCCGTCCCCACCACCAGCCCCCCTCCCACCCTTCTCCCCCCCCCCCTCTCCCTCTCTCTCTCTCTCTCTCTATCTCTCTCACTCTCTCTCTCTCTCTCTCTCTTTCTCTCGCACACACACACACACACACACTCCCCTCCCCCACCCCCCACCCACATCCTCCCGTTCTGCCCCTCCCTGCCCCTGTTCCACCCCCTCGCACGCCCCTCACCTCTCACCTCCGTTCAACTGGATTCCCCCCCTCTGGTGCATCCCTTGCATCGCTCGCCCCTCTGCTCACCCTCTGCCCGCCCCTTTTCCTTGCCCTCAGCTGGCCCAGCCCCTGCCCGTTGCTGCCCCTCCCCTTGCCCCCTCAACTCCCCTGCCCCCCGTACACCCCACTCCCGTCCAACCGCCCCCACCCTCCCCCGGCTGCCCGTTTCCGCTCTCCACCCCCGCGACCGTGTGCGGCTTCCAACCGCCCAACGGTGGTGCGCACGGGGCGTTTCTTCGCGCGGGCAAGCCTCCCCGGGGGCCCCCCACCCCGCTGACTCGTTGTTCGGGCAAAAAAACGGAAATAAAAAAGTCGGACGCGCTAAAATCGTCCTTTGTTTTTCCCGCTTGCCCCTCCCCGGCACGTGCCGAGCAAGGGGCATAAATGGGTACAACACGAGGACTTCCCGGGAGGTCACCCAGCCCAGTACTGCTCTCGCCCACCGGCGCTTAGCTTCGGAGTTCTGATGGGATCCGGCGTAGTAGCCGAGGTATGATCGTACCACGACAATCCCGTGCCCCGACCGGTACACACCCCTTGCCCGGGTCCCCCCTTCATAGTCACACCCCCTGCCCCCTCATGCCATCCGCTCCCCCCGCCCCTACCCTCCGCGTGCCCGCTCCCTCGCCGCCTCTTTTGACCCTCCCTGCCCCCCTCGCCGTTACCCACCGCTCGCCATTCGCTCCTCCCCGCCCGTGCCCTCCCCTCGTTTACCTTCGCCTCCCCCCTCCCCTCCTCTGCTGCACGCCTCTTCCTTCCCCTCGCTAACCCACTCCACTCCCTGCCCCTCCTCAATCCGCACCCTGCCCCTCGTTTCTCGCCCCCCTACGCTTGGTTTCTCCCCTCCCTGCCCCTCGCCGCCTTTCTCCGCTCCCCACCTCCCCCCTCTCCCTGCCCCCCCACTCTCCTCCACTTGCCCTTGGCTTCCCACCTCCCTGCCCCACCTTTCCCCCCTCCGTGTGCTCAGCTTCTCCCCTCCCTGCCTCTCCCTCCTCCCCGCCCTGCCCCTCATTTTCCGCCCCCCCACGCCCGGTTTCTCCCCTCCCTGCACCTCCCTTTCTTTCTCCGTGCCTCTCCTTTGCTCCCTCCCTGCCCCCGCCTGCCCATGCCCCTGTCTTTGGTTTCTCCCCTCCCTGCCCCACGTTTCTTCCCTCCCTGAGATCACCTTGTACCCCCTCTGCCCCTCCCTTGTTCTCCCCGCACCCATTGCTTCTCCCCTCCCTGCCCTTGATTTCCCGCACCCCTGCCCTTGTTTCCTACCATCCATGCCCCTCGTTTCCCCTCTTTGTACGTTCACCCTCTTCCCTCCCTGCCCCTCCCTTCCTCCCCCCCTGCCCTTTGCTTTCCCCTCGTTACGCTCCCTTCTCCCCATCCCTGCTGCCCTCTTACCACCATCAGCCCGTCCCCACCACCAGCCCCCCTCCCACCCTTCTCCCCCCCCCCCTCTCCCTCTCTCTCTCTCTCTCTCTCTCTCTTTCTCTCGCACACACACACACACACACACTCCCCTCCCCCACCCCCCACCCACATCCTCCCGTTCTGCCCCTCCCTGCCCCTGTTCCACCCCCTCGCACGCCCCTCACCTCTCACCTCCGTTCAACTGGATTCCCCCCCTCTGGTGCATCCCTTGCATCGCTCGCCCCTCTGCTCACCCTCTGCCCGCCCCTTTTCCTTGCCCTCAGCTGGCCCAGCCCCTGCCCGTTGCTGCCCCTCCCCTTGCCCCCTCAACTCCCCTGCCCCCCGTACACCCCACTCCCGTCCAACCGCCCCCACCCTCCCCCGGCTGCCCGTTTCCGCTCTCCACCCCCGCGACCGTGTGCGGCTTCCAACCGCCCAACGGTGGTGCGCACGGGGCGTTTCTTCGCGCGGGCAAGCCTCCCCGGGGGCCCCCCACCCCGCTGACTCGTTGTTCGGGCAAAAAAACGGAAATAAAAAAGTCGGACGCGCTAAAATCGTCCTTTGTTTTTCCCGCTTGCCCCTCCCCGGCACGTGCCGAGCAAGGGGCATAAATGGGTACAACACGAGGACTTCCCGGGAGGTCACCCAGCCCAGTACTGCTCTCGCCCACCGGCGCTTAGCTTCGGAGTTCTGATGGGATCCGGCGTAGTAGCCGAGGTATGATCGTACCACGACAATCCCGTGCCCCGACCGGTACACACCCCTTGCCCGGGTCCCCCCTTCATAGTCACACCCCCTGCCCCCTCATGCCATCCGCTCCCCCCGCCCCTACCCTCCGCGTGCCCGCTCCCTCGCCGCCTCTTTTGACCCTCCCTGCCCCCCTCGCCGTTACCCACCGCTCGCCATTCGCTCCTCCCCGCCCGTGCCCTCCCCTCGTTTACCTTCGCCTCCCCCCTCCCCTCCTCTGCTGCACGCCTCTTCCTTCCCCTCGCTAACCCACTCCACTCCCTGCCCCTCCTCAATCCGCACCCTGCCCCTCGTTTCTCGCCCCCCTACGCTTGGTTTCTCCCCTCCCTGCCCCTCGCCGCCTTTCTCCGCTCCCCACCTCCCCCCTCTCCCTGCCCCCCCACTCTCCTCCACTTGCCCTTGGCTTCCCACCTCCCTGCCCCACCTTTCCCCCCTCCGTGTGCTCAGCTTCTCCCCTCCCTGCCTCTCCCTCCTCCCCGCCCTGCCCCTCATTTTCCGCCCCCCCACGCCCGGTTTCTCCCCTCCCTGCACCTCCCTTTCTTTCTCCGTGCCTCTCCTTTGCTCCCTCCCTGCCCCCGCCTGCCCATGCCCCTGTCTTTGGTTTCTCCCCTCCCTGCCCCACGTTTCTTCCCTCCCTGAGATCACCTTGTACCCCCTCTGCCCCTCCCTTGTTCTCCCCGCACCCATTGCTTCTCCCCTCCCTGCCCTTGATTTCCCGCACCCCTGCCCTTGTTTCCTACCATCCATGCCCCTCGTTTCCCCTCTTTGTACGTTCACCCTCTTCCCTCCCTGCCCCTCCCTTCCTCCCCCCCTGCCCTTTGCTTTCCCCTCGTTACGCTCCCTTCTCCCCATCCCTGCTGCCCTCTTACCACCATCAGCCCGTCCCCACCACCAGCCCCCCTCCCACCCTTCTCCCCCCCCCCCCTCTCCCTCTCTCTCTCTCTCTCTCTCTCTTTCTCTCGCACACACACACACACACACACTCCCCTCCCCCACCCCCCACCCACATCCTCCCGTTCTGCCCCTCCCTGCCCCTGTTCCACCCCCTCGCACGCCCCTCACCTCTCACCTCCGTTCAACTGGATTCCCCCCCTCTGGTGCATCCCTTGCATCGCTCGCCCCTCTGCTCACCCTCTGCCCGCCCCTTTTCCTTGCCCTCAGCTGGCCCAGCCCCTGCCCGTTGCTGCCCCTCCCCTTGCCCCCTCAACTCCCCTGCCCCCCGTACACCCCACTCCCGTCCAACCGCCCCCACCCTCCCCCGGCTGCCCGTTTCCGCTCTCCACCCCCGCGACCGTGTGCGGCTTCCAACCGCCCAACGGTGGTGCGCACGGGGCGTTTCTTCGCGCGGGCAAGCCTCCCCGGGGGCCCCCCACCCCGCTGACTCGTTGTTCGGGCAAAAAAAACGGAAATAAAAAAGTCGGACGCGCTAAAATCGTCCTTTGTTTTTCCCGCTTGCCCCTCCCCGGCACGTGCCGAGCAAGGGGCATAAATGGGTACAACACGAGGACTTCCCGGGAGGTCACCCAGCCCAGTACTGCTCTCGCCCACCGGCGCTTAGCTTCGGAGTTCTGATGGGATCCGGCGTAGTAGCCGAGGTATGATCGTACCACGACAATCCCGTGCCCCGACCGGTACACACCCCTTGCCCGGGTCCCCCCTTCATAGTCACACCCCCTGCCCCCTCATGCCATCCGCTCCCCCCGCCCCTACCCTCCGCGTGCCCGCTCCCTCGCCGCCTCTTTTGACCCTCCCTGCCCCCCTCGCCGTTACCCACCGCTCGCCATTCGCTCCTCCCCGCCCGTGCCCTCCCCTCGTTTACCTTCGCCTCCCCCCTCCCCTCCTCTGCTGCACGCCTCTTCCTTCCCCTCGCTAACCCACTCCACTCCCTGCCCCTCCTCAATCCGCACCCTGCCCCTCGTTTCTCGCCCCCCTATGCTTGGTTTCTCCCCCCCTGCCCTTTGCTTTCCCCTCGTTACGCTCCCTTCTCCCCATCCCTGCTGCCCTCTTACCACCATCAGCCCGTCCCCACCACCAGCCCCCCTCCCACCCTTCTCCCCCCCCCCCTCTCCCTCTCTCTCTCTCTCTCTCTATCTCTCTCACTCTCTCTCTCTCTCTCTCTCTTTCTCTCGCACACACACACACACACACACTCCCCTCCCCCACCCCCCACCCACATCCTCCCGTTCTGCCCCTCCCTGCCCCTGTTCCACCCCCTCGCACGCCCCTCACCTCTCACCTCCGTTCAACTGGATTCCCCCCCTCTGGTGCATCCCTTGCATCGCTCGCCCCTCTGCTCACCCTCTGCCCGCCCCTTTTCCTTGCCCTCAGCTGGCCCAGCCCCTGCCCGTTGCTGCCCCTCCCCTTGCCCCCTCAACTCCCCTGCCCCCCGTACACCCCACTCCCGTCCAACCGCCCCCACCCTCCCCCGGCTGCCCGTTTCCGCTCTCCACCCCCGCGACCGTGTGCGGCTTCCAACCGCCCAACGGTGGTGCGCACGGGGCGTTTCTTCGCGCGGGCAAGCCTCCCCGGGGGCCCCCCACCCCGCTGACTCGTTGTTCGGGCAAAAAAAACGGAAATAAAAAAGTCGGACGCGCTAAAATCGTCCTTTGTTTTTCCCGCTTGCCCCTCCCCGGCACGTGCCGAGCAAGGGGCATAAATGGGTACAACACGAGGACTTCCCGGGAGGTCACCCAGCCCAGTACTGCTCTCGCCCACCGGCGCTTAGCTTCGGAGTTCTGATGGGATCCGGCGTAGTAGCCGAGGTATGATCGTACCACGACAATCCCGTGCCCCGACCGGTACACACCCCTTGCCCGGGTCCCCCCTTCATAGTCACACCCCCTGCCCCCTCATGCCATCCGCTCCCCCCGCCCCTACCCTCCGCGTGCCCGCTCCCTCGCCGCCTCTTTTGACCCTCCCTGCCCCCCTCGCCGTTACCCACCGCTCGCCATTCGCTCCTCCCCGCCCGTGCCCTCCCCTCGTTTACCTTCGCCTCCCCCCTCCCCTCCTCTGCTGCACGCCTCTTCCTTCCCCTCGCTAACCCACTCCACTCCCTGCCCCTCCTCAATCCGCACCCTGCCCCTCGTTTCTCGCCCCCCTACGCTTGGTTTCTCCCCTCCCTGCCCCTCGCCGCCTTTCTCCGCTCCCCACCTCCCCCCTCTCCCTGCCCCCCCACTCTCCTCCACTTGCCCTTGGCTTCCCACCTCCCTGCCCCACCTTTCCCCCCTCCGTGTGCTCAGCTTCTCCCCTCCCTGCCTCTCCCTCCTCCCCGCCCTGCCCCTCATTTTCCGCCCCCCCACGCCCGGTTTCTCCCCTCCCTGCACCTCCCTTTCTTTCTCCGTGCCTCTCCTTTGCTCCCTCCCTGCCCCCGCCTGCCCATGCCCCTGTCTTTGGTTTCTCCCCTCCCTGCCCCACGTTTCTTCCCTCCCTGAGATCACCTTGTACCCCCTCTGCCCCTCCCTTGTTCTCCCCGCACCCATTGCTTCTCCCCTCCCTGCCCTTGATTTCCCGCACCCCTGCCCTTGTTTCCTACCATCCATGCCCCTCGTTTCCCCTCTTTGTACGTTCACCCTCTTCCCTCCCTGCCCCTCCCTTCCTCCCCCCCTGCCCTTTGCTTTCCCCTCGTTACGCTCCCTTCTCCCCATCCCTGCTGCCCTCTTACCACCATCAGCCCGTCCCCACCACCAGCCCCCCTCCCACCCTTCTCCCCCCCCCCCCTCTCCCTCTCTCTCTCTCTCTCTCTCTCTTTCTCTCGCACACACACACACACACACACTCCCCTCCCCCACCCCCCACCCACATCCTCCCGTTCTGCCCCTCCCTGCCCCTGTTCCACCCCCTCGCACGCCCCTCACCTCTCACCTCCGTTCAACTGGATTCCCCCCCTCTGGTGCATCCCTTGCATCGCTCGCCCCTCTGCTCACCCTCTGCCCGCCCCTTTTCCTTGCCCTCAGCTGGCCCAGCCCCTGCCCGTTGCTGCCCCTCCCCTTGCCCCCTCAACTCCCCTGCCCCCCGTACACCCCACTCCCGTCCAACCGCCCCCACCCTCCCCCGGCTGCCCGTTTCCGCTCTCCACCCCCGCGACCGTGTGCGGCTTCCAACCGCCCAACGGTGGTGCGCACGGGGCGTTTCTTCGCGCGGGCAAGCCTCCCCGGGGGCCCCCCACCCCGCTGACTCGTTGTTCGGGCAAAAAAACGGAAATAAAAAAGTCGGACGCGCTAAAATCGTCCTTTGTTTTTCCCGCTTGCCCCTCCCCGGCACGTGCCGAGCAAGGGGCATAAATGGGTACAACACGAGGACTTCCCGGGAGGTCACCCAGCCCAGTACTGCTCTCGCCCACCGGCGCTTAGCTTCGGAGTTCTGATGGGATCCGGCGTAGTAGCCGAGGTATGATCGTACCACGACAATCCCGTGCCCCGACCGGTACACACCCCTTGCCCGGGTCCCCCCTTCATAGTCACACCCCCTGCCCCCTCATGCCATCCGCTCCCCCCGCCCCTACCCTCCGCGTGCCCGCTCCCTCGCCGCCTCTTTTGACCCTCCCTGCCCCCCTCGCCGTTACCCACCGCTCGCCATTCGCTCCTCCCCGCCCGTGCCCTCCCCTCGTTTACCTTCGCCTCCCCCCTCCCCTCCTCTGCTGCACGCCTCTTCCTTCCCCTCGCTAACCCACTCCACTCCCTGCCCCTCCTCAATCCGCACCCTGCCCCTCGTTTCTCGCCCCCCTACGCTTGGTTTCTCCCCTCCCTGCCCCTCGCCGCCTTTCTCCGCTCCCCACCTCCCCCCTCTCCCTGCCCCCCCACTCTCCTCCACTTGCCCTTGGCTTCCCACCTCCCTGCCCCACCTTTCCCCCCTCCGTGTGCTCAGCTTCTCCCCTCCCTGCCTCTCCCTCCTCCCCGCCCTGCCCCTCATTTTCCGCCCCCCCACGCCCGGTTTCTCCCCTCCCTGCACCTCCCTTTCTTTCTCCGTGCCTCTCCTTTGCTCCCTCCCTGCCCCCGCCTGCCCATGCCCCTGTCTTTGGTTTCTCCCCTCCCTGCCCCACGTTTCTTCCCTCCCTGAGATCACCTTGTACCCCCTCTGCCCCTCCCTTGTTCTCCCCGCACCCATTGCTTCTCCCCTCCCTGCCCTTGATTTCCCGCACCCCTGCCCTTGTTTCCTACCATCCATGCCCCTCGTTTCCCCTCTTTGTACGTTCACCCTCTTCCCTCCCTGCCCCTCCCTTCCTCCCCCCCTGCCCTTTGCTTTCCCCTCGTTACGCTCCCTTCTCCCCATCCCTGCTGCCCTCTTACCACCATCAGCCCGTCCCCACCACCAGCCCCCCTCCCACCCTTCTCCCCCCCCCCCCCTCTCCCTCTCTCTCTCTCTCTCTCTCTCTCTTTCTCTCGCACACACACACACACACACACTCCCCTCCCCCACCCCCCACCCACATCCTCCCGTTCTGCCCCTCCCTGCCCCTGTTCCACCCCCTCGCACGCCCCTCACCTCTCACCTCCGTTCAACTGGATTCCCCCCCTCTGGTGCATCCCTTGCATCGCTCGCCCCTCTGCTCACCCTCTGCCCGCCCCTTTTCCTTGCCCTCAGCTGGCCCAGCCCCTGCCCGTTGCTGCCCCTCCCCTTGCCCCCTCAACTCCCCTGCCCCCCGTACACCCCACTCCCGTCCAACCGCCCCCACCCTCCCCCGGCTGCCCGTTTCCGCTCTCCACCCCCGCGACCGTGTGCGGCTTCCAACCGCCCAACGGTGGTGCGCACGGGGCGTTTCTTCGCGCGGGCAAGCCTCCCCGGGGGCCCCCCACCCCGCTGACTCGTTGTTCGGGCAAAAAAAACGGAAATAAAAAAGTCGGACGCGCTAAAATCGTCCTTTGTTTTTCCCGCTTGCCCCTCCCCGGCACGTGCCGAGCAAGGGGCATAAATGGGTACAACACGAGGACTTCCCGGGAGGTCACCCAGCCCAGTACTGCTCTCGCCCACCGGCGCTTAGCTTCGGAGTTCTGATGGGATCCGGCGTAGTAGCCGAGGTATGATCGTACCACGACAATCCCGTGCCCCGACCGGTACACACCCCTTGCCCGGGTCCCCCCTTCATAGTCACACCCCCTGCCCCCTCATGCCATCCGCTCCCCCCGCCCCTACCCTCCGCGTGCCCGCTCCCTCGCCGCCTCTTTTGACCCTCCCTGCCCCCCTCGCCGTTACCCACCGCTCGCCATTCGCTCCTCCCCGCCCGTGCCCTCCCCTCGTTTACCTTCGCCTCCCCCCTCCCCTCCTCTGCTGCACGCCTCTTCCTTCCCCTCGCTAACCCACTCCACTCCCTGCCCCTCCTCAATCCGCACCCTGCCCCTCGTTTCTCGCCCCCCTACGCTTGGTTTCTCCCCTCCCTGCCCCTCGCCGCCTTTCTCCGCTCCCCACCTCCCCCCTCTCCCTGCCCCCCCACTCTCCTCCACTTGCCCTTGGCTTCCCACCTCCCTGCCCCACCTTTCCCCCCTCCGTGTGCTCAGCTTCTCCCCTCCCTGCCTCTCCCTCCTCCCCGCCCTGCCCCTCATTTTCCGCCCCCCCACGCCCGGTTTCTCCCCTCCCTGCACCTCCCTTTCTTTCTCCGTGCCTCTCCTTTGCTCCCTCCCTGCCCCCGCCTGCCCATGCCCCTGTCTTTGGTTTCTCCCCTCCCTGCCCCACGTTTCTTCCCTCCCTGAGATCACCTTGTACCCCCTCTGCCCCTCCCTTGTTCTCCCCGCACCCATTGCTTCTCCCCTCCCTGCCCTTGATTTCCCGCACCCCTGCCCTTGTTTCCTACCATCCATGCCCCTCGTTTCCCCTCTTTGTACGTTCACCCTCTTCCCTCCCTGCCCCTCCCTTCCTCCCCCCCTGCCCTTTGCTTTCCCCTCGTTACGCTCCCTTCTCCCCATCCCTGCTGCCCTCTTACCACCATCAGCCCGTCCCCACCACCAGCCCCCCTCCCACCCTTCTCCCCCCCCCCCTCTCCCTCTCTCTCTCTCTCTCTCTCTCTTTCTCTCGCACACACACACACACACACACTCCCCTCCCCCACCCCCCACCCACATCCTCCCGTTCTGCCCCTCCCTGCCCCTGTTCCACCCCCTCGCACGCCCCTCACCTCTCACCTCCGTTCAACTGGATTCCCCCCCTCTGGTGCATCCCTTGCATCGCTCGCCCCTCTGCTCACCCTCTGCCCGCCCCTTTTCCTTGCCCTCAGCTGGCCCAGCCCCTGCCCGTTGCTGCCCCTCCCCTTGCCCCCTCAACTCCCCTGCCCCCCGTACACCCCACTCCCGTCCAACCGCCCCCACCCTCCCCCGGCTGCCCGTTTCCGCTCTCCACCCCCGCGACCGTGTGCGGCTTCCAACCGCCCAACGGTGGTGCGCACGGGGCGTTTCTTCGCGCGGGCAAGCCTCCCCGGGGGCCCCCCACCCCGCTGACTCGTTGTTCGGGCAAAAAAACGGAAATAAAAAAGTCGGACGCGCTAAAATCGTCCTTTGTTTTTCCCGCTTGCCCCTCCCCGGCACGTGCCGAGCAAGGGGCATAAATGGGTACAACACGAGGACTTCCCGGGAGGTCACCCAGCCCAGTACTGCTCTCGCCCACCGGCGCTTAGCTTCGGAGTTCTGATGGGATCCGGCGTAGTAGCCGAGGTATGATCGTACCACGACAATCCCGTGCCCCGACCGGTACACACCCCTTGCCCGGGTCCCCCCTTCATAGTCACACCCCCTGCCCCCTCATGCCATCCGCTCCCCCCGCCCCTACCCTCCGCGTGCCCGCTCCCTCGCCGCCTCTTTTGACCCTCCCTGCCCCCCTCGCCGTTACCCACCGCTCGCCATTCGCTCCTCCCCGCCCGTGCCCTCCCCTCGTTTACCTTCGCCTCCCCCCTCCCCTCCTCTGCTGCACGCCTCTTCCTTCCCCTCGCTAACCCACTCCACTCCCTGCCCCTCCTCAATCCGCACCCTGCCCCTCGTTTCTCGCCCCCCTACGCTTGGTTTCTCCCCTCCCTGCCCCTCGCCGCCTTTCTCCGCTCCCCACCTCCCCCCTCTCCCTGCCCCCCCACTCTCCTCCACTTGCCCTTGGCTTCCCACCTCCCTGCCCCACCTTTCCCCCCTCCGTGTGCTCAGCTTCTCCCCTCCCTGCCTCTCCCTCCTCCCCGCCCTGCCCCTCATTTTCCGCCCCCCCACGCCCGGTTTCTCCCCTCCCTGCACCTCCCTTTCTTTCTCCGTGCCTCTCCTTTGCTCCCTCCCTGCCCCCGCCTGCCCATGCCCCTGTCTTTGGTTTCTCCCCTCCCTGCCCCACGTTTCTTCCCTCCCTGAGATCACCTTGTACCCCCTCTGCCCCTCCCTTGTTCTCCCCGCACCCATTGCTTCTCCCCTCCCTGCCCTTGATTTCCCGCACCCCTGCCCTTGTTTCCTACCATCCATGCCCCTCGTTTCCCCTCTTTGTACGTTCACCCTCTTCCCTCCCTGCCCCTCCCTTCCTCCCCCCCTGCCCTTTGCTTTCCCCTCGTTACGCTCCCTTCTCCCCATCCCTGCTGCCCTCTTACCACCATCAGCCCGTCCCCACCACCAGCCCCCCTCCCACCCTTCTCCCCCCCCCCCTCTCCCTCTCTCTCTCTCTCTCTCTCTCTTTCTCTCGCACACACACACACACACACACTCCCCTCCCCCACCCCCCACCCACATCCTCCCGTTCTGCCCCTCCCTGCCCCTGTTCCACCCCCTCGCACGCCCCTCACCTCTCACCTCCGTTCAACTGGATTCCCCCCCTCTGGTGCATCCCTTGCATCGCTCGCCCCTCTGCTCACCCTCTGCCCGCCCCTTTTCCTTGCCCTCAGCTGGCCCAGCCCCTGCCCGTTGCTGCCCCTCCCCTTGCCCCCTCAACTCCCCTGCCCCCCGTACACCCCACTCCCGTCCAACCGCCCCCACCCTCCCCCGGCTGCCCGTTTCCGCTCTCCACCCCCGCGACCGTGTGCGGCTTCCAACCGCCCAACGGTGGTGCGCACGGGGCGTTTCTTCGCGCGGGCAAGCCTCCCCGGGGGCCCCCCACCCCGCTGACTCGTTGTTCGGGCAAAAAAACGGAAATAAAAAAGTCGGACGCGCTAAAATCGTCCTTTGTTTTTCCCGCTTGCCCCTCCCCGGCACGTGCCGAGCAAGGGGCATAAATGGGTACAACACGAGGACTTCCCGGGAGGTCACCCAGCCCAGTACTGCTCTCGCCCACCGGCGCTTAGCTTCGGAGTTCTGATGGGATCCGGCGTAGTAGCCGAGGTATGATCGTACCACGACAATCCCGTGCCCCGACCGGTACACACCCCTTGCCCGGGTCCCCCCTTCATAGTCACACCCCCTGCCCCCTCATGCCATCCGCTCCCCCCGCCCCTACCCTCCGCGTGCCCGCTCCCTCGCCGCCTCTTTTGACCCTCCCTGCCCCCCTCGCCGTTACCCACCGCTCGCCATTCGCTCCTCCCCGCCCGTGCCCTCCCCTCGTTTACCTTCGCCTCCCCCCTCCCCTCCTCTGCTGCACGCCTCTTCCTTCCCCTCGCTAACCCACTCCACTCCCTGCCCCTCCTCAATCCGCACCCTGCCCCTCGTTTCTCGCCCCCCTACGCTTGGTTTCTCCCCTCCCTGCCCCTCGCCGCCTTTCTCCGCTCCCCACCTCCCCCCTCTCCCTGCCCCCCCACTCTCCTCCACTTGCCCTTGGCTTCCCACCTCCCTGCCCCACCTTTCCCCCCTCCGTGTGCTCAGCTTCTCCCCTCCCTGCCTCTCCCTCCTCCCCGCCCTGCCCCTCATTTTCCGCCCCCCCACGCCCGGTTTCTCCCCTCCCTGCACCTCCCTTTCTTTCTCCGTGCCTCTCCTTTGCTCCCTCCCTGCCCCCGCCTGCCCATGCCCCTGTCTTTGGTTTCTCCCCTCCCTGCCCCACGTTTCTTCCCTCCCTGAGATCACCTTGTACCCCCTCTGCCCCTCCCTTGTTCTCCCCGCACCCATTGCTTCTCCCCTCCCTGCCCTTGATTTCCCGCACCCCTGCCCTTGTTTCCTACCATCCATGCCCCTCGTTTCCCCTCTTTGTACGTTCACCCTCTTCCCTCCCTGCCCCTCCCTTCCTCCCCCCCTGCCCTTTGCTTTCCCCTCGTTACGCTCCCTTCTCCCCATCCCTGCTGCCCTCTTACCACCATCAGCCCGTCCCCACCACCAGCCCCCCTCCCACCCTTCTCCCCCCCCCCCCTCTCCCTCTCTCTCTCTCTCTCTCTCTCTCTCTCTCTCTCTCCCTGACCCGTGCTCGGTCTCTCGCACACACACACACACACACACTCCCCTCCCCCACCCCCCACCCACATCCTCCCGTTCTGCCCCTCCCTGCCCCTGTTCCACCCCCTCGCACGCCCCTCACCTCTCACCTCCGTTCAACTGGATTCCCCCCCTCTGGTGCATCCCTTGCATCGCTCGCCCCTCTGCTCACCCTCTGCCCGCCCCTTTTCCTTGCCCTCAGCTGGCCCAGCCCCTGCCCGTTGCTGCCCCTCCCCTTGCCCCCTCAACTCCCCTGCCCCCCGTACACCCCACTCCCGTCCAACCGCCCCCACCCTCCCCCGGCTGCCCGTTTCCGCTCTCCACCCCCGCGACCGTGTGCGGCTTCCAACCGCCCAACGGTGGTGCGCACGGGGCGTTTCTTCGCGCGGGCAAGCCTCCCCGGGGGCCCCCCACCCCGCTGACTCGTTGTTCGGGCAAAAAAAACGGAAATAAAAAAGTCGGACGCGCTAAAATCGTCCTTTGTTTTTCCCGCTTGCCCCTCCCCGGCACGTGCCGAGCAAGGGGCATAAATGGGTACAACACGAGGACTTCCCGGGAGGTCACCCAGCCCAGTACTGCTCTCGCCCACCGGCGCTTAGCTTCGGAGTTCTGATGGGATCCGGCGTAGTAGCCGAGGTATGATCGTACCACGACAATCCCGTGCCCCGACCGGTACACACCCCTTGCCCGGGTCCCCCCTTCATAGTCACACCCCCTGCCCCCTCATGCCATCCGCTCCCCCCGCCCCTACCCTCCGCGTGCCCGCTCCCTCGCCGCCTCTTTTGACCCTCCCTGCCCCCCTCGCCGTTACCCACCGCTCGCCATTCGCTCCTCCCCGCCCGTGCCCTCCCCTCGTTTACCTTCGCCTCCCCCCTCCCCTCCTCTGCTGCACGCCTCTTCCTTCCCCTCGCTAACCCACTCCACTCCCTGCCCCTCCTCAATCCGCACCCTGCCCCTCGTTTCTCGCCCCCCTACGCTTGGTTTCTCCCCTCCCTGCCCCTCGCCGCCTTTCTCCGCTCCCCACCTCCCCCCTCTCCCTGCCCCCCCACTCTCCTCCACTTGCCCTTGGCTTCCCACCTCCCTGCCCCACCTTTCCCCCCTCCGTGTGCTCAGCTTCTCCCCTCCCTGCCTCTCCCTCCTCCCCGCCCTGCCCCTCATTTTCCGCCCCCCCACGCCCGGTTTCTCCCCTCCCTGCACCTCCCTTTCTTTCTCCGTGCCTCTCCTTTGCTCCCTCCCTGCCCCCGCCTGCCCATGCCCCTGTCTTTGGTTTCTCCCCTCCCTGCCCCACGTTTCTTCCCTCCCTGAGATCACCTTGTACCCCCTCTGCCCCTCCCTTGTTCTCCCCGCACCCATTGCTTCTCCCCTCCCTGCCCTTGATTTCCCGCACCCCTGCCCTTGTTTCCTACCATCCATGCCCCTCGTTTCCCCTCTTTGTACGTTCACCCTCTTCCCTCCCTGCCCCTCCCTTCCTCCCCCCCTGCCCTTTGCTTTCCCCTCGTTACGCTCCCTTCTCCCCATCCCTGCTGCCCTCTTACCACCATCAGCCCGTCCCCACCACCAGCCCCCCTCCCACCCTTCTCCCCCCCCCCCTCTCCCTCTCTCTCTCTCTCTCTCTCTCTTTCTCTCGCACACACACACACACACACACTCCCCTCCCCCACCCCCCACCCACATCCTCCCGTTCTGCCCCTCCCTGCCCCTGTTCCACCCCCTCGCACGCCCCTCACCTCTCACCTCCGTTCAACTGGATTCCCCCCCTCTGGTGCATCCCTTGCATCGCTCGCCCCTCTGCTCACCCTCTGCCCGCCCCTTTTCCTTGCCCTCAGCTGGCCCAGCCCCTGCCCGTTGCTGCCCCTCCCCTTGCCCCCTCAACTCCCCTGCCCCCCGTACACCCCACTCCCGTCCAACCGCCCCCACCCTCCCCCGGCTGCCCGTTTCCGCTCTCCACCCCCGCGACCGTGTGCGGCTTCCAACCGCCCAACGGTGGTGCGCACGGGGCGTTTCTTCGCGCGGGCAAGCCTCCCCGGGGGCCCCCCACCCCGCTGACTCGTTGTTCGGGCAAAAAAAACGGAAATAAAAAAGTCGGACGCGCTAAAATCGTCCTTTGTTTTTCCCGCTTGCCCCTCCCCGGCACGTGCCGAGCAAGGGGCATAAATGGGTACAACACGAGGACTTCCCGGGAGGTCACCCAGCCCAGTACTGCTCTCGCCCACCGGCGCTTAGCTTCGGAGTTCTGATGGGATCCGGCGTAGTAGCCGAGGTATGATCGTACCACGACAATCCCGTGCCCCGACCGGTACACACCCCTTGCCCGGGTCCCCCCTTCATAGTCACACCCCCTGCCCCCTCATGCCATCCGCTCCCCCCGCCCCTACCCTCCGCGTGCCCGCTCCCTCGCCGCCTCTTTTGACCCTCCCTGCCCCCCTCGCCGTTACCCACCGCTCGCCATTCGCTCCTCCCCGCCCGTGCCCTCCCCTCGTTTACCTTCGCCTCCCCCCTCCCCTCCTCTGCTGCACGCCTCTTCCTTCCCCTCGCTAACCCACTCCACTCCCTGCCCCTCCTCAATCCGCACCCTGCCCCTCGTTTCTCGCCCCCCTATGCTTGGTTTCTCCCCCCCTGCCCTTTGCTTTCCCCTCGTTACGCTCCCTTCTCCCCATCCCTGCTGCCCTCTTACCACCATCAGCCCGTCCCCACCACCAGCCCCCCTCCCACCCTTCTCCCCCCCCCCCTCTCCCTCTCTCTCTCTCTCTCTCTATCTCTCTCACTCTCTCTCTCTCTCTCTCTCTTTCTCTCGCACACACACACACACACACACTCCCCTCCCCCACCCCCCACCCACATCCTCCCGTTCTGCCCCTCCCTGCCCCTGTTCCACCCCCTCGCACGCCCCTCACCTCTCACCTCCGTTCAACTGGATTCCCCCCCTCTGGTGCATCCCTTGCATCGCTCGCCCCTCTGCTCACCCTCTGCCCGCCCCTTTTCCTTGCCCTCAGCTGGCCCAGCCCCTGCCCGTTGCTGCCCCTCCCCTTGCCCCCTCAACTCCCCTGCCCCCCGTACACCCCACTCCCGTCCAACCGCCCCCACCCTCCCCCGGCTGCCCGTTTCCGCTCTCCACCCCCGCGACCGTGTGCGGCTTCCAACCGCCCAACGGTGGTGCGCACGGGGCGTTTCTTCGCGCGGGCAAGCCTCCCCGGGGGCCCCCCACCCCGCTGACTCGTTGTTCGGGCAAAAAAAACGGAAATAAAAAAGTCGGACGCGCTAAAATCGTCCTTTGTTTTTCCCGCTTGCCCCTCCCCGGCACGTGCCGAGCAAGGGGCATAAATGGGTACAACACGAGGACTTCCCGGGAGGTCACCCAGCCCAGTACTGCTCTCGCCCACCGGCGCTTAGCTTCGGAGTTCTGATGGGATCCGGCGTAGTAGCCGAGGTATGATCGTACCACGACAATCCCGTGCCCCGACCGGTACACACCCCTTGCCCGGGTCCCCCCTTCATAGTCACACCCCCTGCCCCCTCATGCCATCCGCTCCCCCCGCCCCTACCCTCCGCGTGCCCGCTCCCTCGCCGCCTCTTTTGACCCTCCCTGCCCCCCTCGCCGTTACCCACCGCTCGCCATTCGCTCCTCCCCGCCCGTGCCCTCCCCTCGTTTACCTTCGCCTCCCCCCTCCCCTCCTCTGCTGCACGCCTCTTCCTTCCCCTCGCTAACCCACTCCACTCCCTGCCCCTCCTCAATCCGCACCCTGCCCCTCGTTTCTCGCCCCCCTACGCTTGGTTTCTCCCCTCCCTGCCCCTCGCCGCCTTTCTCCGCTCCCCACCTCCCCCCTCTCCCTGCCCCCCCACTCTCCTCCACTTGCCCTTGGCTTCCCACCTCCCTGCCCCACCTTTCCCCCCTCCGTGTGCTCAGCTTCTCCCCTCCCTGCCTCTCCCTCCTCCCCGCCCTGCCCCTCATTTTCCGCCCCCCCACGCCCGGTTTCTCCCCTCCCTGCACCTCCCTTTCTTTCTCCGTGCCTCTCCTTTGCTCCCTCCCTGCCCCCGCCTGCCCATGCCCCTGTCTTTGGTTTCTCCCCTCCCTGCCCCACGTTTCTTCCCTCCCTGAGATCACCTTGTACCCCCTCTGCCCCTCCCTTGTTCTCCCCGCACCCATTGCTTCTCCCCTCCCTGCCCTTGATTTCCCGCACCCCTGCCCTTGTTTCCTACCATCCATGCCCCTCGTTTCCCCTCTTTGTACGTTCACCCTCTTCCCTCCCTGCCCCTCCCTTCCTCCCCCCCTGCCCTTTGCTTTCCCCTCGTTACGCTCCCTTCTCCCCATCCCTGCTGCCCTCTTACCACCATCAGCCCGTCCCCACCACCAGCCCCCCTCCCACCCTTCTCCCCCCCCCCCTCTCCCTCTCTCTCTCTCTCTCTCTCTCTTTCTCTCGCACACACACACACACACACACTCCCCTCCCCCACCCCCCACCCACATCCTCCCGTTCTGCCCCTCCCTGCCCCTGTTCCACCCCCTCGCACGCCCCTCACCTCTCACCTCCGTTCAACTGGATTCCCCCCCTCTGGTGCATCCCTTGCATCGCTCGCCCCTCTGCTCACCCTCTGCCCGCCCCTTTTCCTTGCCCTCAGCTGGCCCAGCCCCTGCCCGTTGCTGCCCCTCCCCTTGCCCCCTCAACTCCCCTGCCCCCCGTACACCCCACTCCCGTCCAACCGCCCCCACCCTCCCCCGGCTGCCCGTTTCCGCTCTCCACCCCCGCGACCGTGTGCGGCTTCCAACCGCCCAACGGTGGTGCGCACGGGGCGTTTCTTCGCGCGGGCAAGCCTCCCCGGGGGCCCCCCACCCCGCTGACTCGTTGTTCGGGCAAAAAAAACGGAAATAAAAAAGTCGGACGCGCTAAAATCGTCCTTTGTTTTTCCCGCTTGCCCCTCCCCGGCACGTGCCGAGCAAGGGGCATAAATGGGTACAACACGAGGACTTCCCGGGAGGTCACCCAGCCCAGTACTGCTCTCGCCCACCGGCGCTTAGCTTCGGAGTTCTGATGGGATCCGGCGTAGTAGCCGAGGTATGATCGTACCACGACAATCCCGTGCCCCGACCGGTACACACCCCTTGCCCGGGTCCCCCCTTCATAGTCACACCCCCTGCCCCCTCATGCCATCCGCTCCCCCCGCCCCTACCCTCCGCGTGCCCGCTCCCTCGCCGCCTCTTTTGACCCTCCCTGCCCCCCTCGCCGTTACCCACCGCTCGCCATTCGCTCCTCCCCGCCCGTGCCCTCCCCTCGTTTACCTTCGCCTCCCCCCTCCCCTCCTCTGCTGCACGCCTCTTCCTTCCCCTCGCTAACCCACTCCACTCCCTGCCCCTCCTCAATCCGCACCCTGCCCCTCGTTTCTCGCCCCCCTACGCTTGGTTTCTCCCCTCCCTGCCCCTCGCCGCCTTTCTCCGCTCCCCACCTCCCCCCTCTCCCTGCCCCCCCACTCTCCTCCACTTGCCCTTGGCTTCCCACCTCCCTGCCCCACCTTTCCCCCCTCCGTGTGCTCAGCTTCTCCCCTCCCTGCCTCTCCCTCCTCCCCGCCCTGCCCCTCATTTTCCGCCCCCCCACGCCCGGTTTCTCCCCTCCCTGCACCTCCCTTTCTTTCTCCGTGCCTCTCCTTTGCTCCCTCCCTGCCCCCGCCTGCCCATGCCCCTGTCTTTGGTTTCTCCCCTCCCTGCCCCACGTTTCTTCCCTCCCTGAGATCACCTTGTACCCCCTCTGCCCCTCCCTTGTTCTCCCCGCACCCATTGCTTCTCCCCTCCCTGCCCTTGATTTCCCGCACCCCTGCCCTTGTTTCCTACCATCCATGCCCCTCGTTTCCCCTCTTTGTACGTTCACCCTCTTCCCTCCCTGCCCCTCCCTTCCTCCCCCCCTGCCCTTTGCTTTCCCCTCGTTACGCTCCCTTCTCCCCATCCCTGCTGCCCTCTTACCACCATCAGCCCGTCCCCACCACCAGCCCCCCTCCCACCCTTCTCCCCCCCCCCCCTCTCCCTCTCTCTCTCTCTCTCTCTCTCTTTCTCTCGCACACACACACACACACACACTCCCCTCCCCCACCCCCCACCCACATCCTCCCGTTCTGCCCCTCCCTGCCCCTGTTCCACCCCCTCGCACGCCCCTCACCTCTCACCTCCGTTCAACTGGATTCCCCCCCTCTGGTGCATCCCTTGCATCGCTCGCCCCTCTGCTCACCCTCTGCCCGCCCCTTTTCCTTGCCCTCAGCTGGCCCAGCCCCTGCCCGTTGCTGCCCCTCCCCTTGCCCCCTCAACTCCCCTGCCCCCCGTACACCCCACTCCCGTCCAACCGCCCCCACCCTCCCCCGGCTGCCCGTTTCCGCTCTCCACCCCCGCGACCGTGTGCGGCTTCCAACCGCCCAACGGTGGTGCGCACGGGGCGTTTCTTCGCGCGGGCAAGCCTCCCCGGGGGCCCCCCACCCCGCTGACTCGTTGTTCGGGCAAAAAAAACGGAAATAAAAAAGTCGGACGCGCTAAAATCGTCCTTTGTTTTTCCCGCTTGCCCCTCCCCGGCACGTGCCGAGCAAGGGGCATAAATGGGTACAACACGAGGACTTCCCGGGAGGTCACCCAGCCCAGTACTGCTCTCGCCCACCGGCGCTTAGCTTCGGAGTTCTGATGGGATCCGGCGTAGTAGCCGAGGTATGATCGTACCACGACAATCCCGTGCCCCGACCGGTACACACCCCTTGCCCGGGTCCCCCCTTCATAGTCACACCCCCTGCCCCCTCATGCCATCCGCTCCCCCCGCCCCTACCCTCCGCGTGCCCGCTCCCTCGCCGCCTCTTTTGACCCTCCCTGCCCCCCTCGCCGTTACCCACCGCTCGCCATTCGCTCCTCCCCGCCCGTGCCCTCCCCTCGTTTACCTTCGCCTCCCCCCTCCCCTCCTCTGCTGCACGCCTCTTCCTTCCCCTCGCTAACCCACTCCACTCCCTGCCCCTCCTCAATCCGCACCCTGCCCCTCGTTTCTCGCCCCCCTATGCTTGGTTTCTCCCCCCCTGCCCTTTGCTTTCCCCTCGTTACGCTCCCTTCTCCCCATCCCTGCTGCCCTCTTACCACCATCAGCCCGTCCCCACCACCAGCCCCCCTCCCACCCTTCTCCCCCCCCCCCTCTCCCTCTCTCTCTCTCTCTCTATCTCTCTCACTCTCTCTCTCTCTCTCTCTTTCTCTCGCACACACACACACACACACACTCCCCTCCCCCACCCCCCACCCACATCCTCCCGTTCTGCCCCTCCCTGCCCCTGTTCCACCCCCTCGCACGCCCCTCACCTCTCACCTCCGTTCAACTGGATTCCCCCCCTCTGGTGCATCCCTTGCATCGCTCGCCCCTCTGCTCACCCTCTGCCCGCCCCTTTTCCTTGCCCTCAGCTGGCCCAGCCCCTGCCCGTTGCTGCCCCTCCCCTTGCCCCCTCAACTCCCCTGCCCCCCGTACACCCCACTCCCGTCCAACCGCCCCCACCCTCCCCCGGCTGCCCGTTTCCGCTCTCCACCCCCGCGACCGTGTGCGGCTTCCAACCGCCCAACGGTGGTGCGCACGGGGCGTTTCTTCGCGCGGGCAAGCCTCCCCGGGGGCCCCCCACCCCGCTGACTCGTTGTTCGGGCAAAAAAAACGGAAATAAAAAAGTCGGACGCGCTAAAATCGTCCTTTGTTTTTCCCGCTTGCCCCTCCCCGGCACGTGCCGAGCAAGGGGCATAAATGGGTACAACACGAGGACTTCCCGGGAGGTCACCCAGCCCAGTACTGCTCTCGCCCACCGGCGCTTAGCTTCGGAGTTCTGATGGGATCCGGCGTAGTAGCCGAGGTATGATCGTACCACGACAATCCCGTGCCCCGACCGGTACACACCCCTTGCCCGGGTCCCCCCTTCATAGTCACACCCCCTGCCCCCTCATGCCATCCGCTCCCCCCGCCCCTACCCTCCGCGTGCCCGCTCCCTCGCCGCCTCTTTTGACCCTCCCTGCCCCCCTCGCCGTTACCCACCGCTCGCCATTCGCTCCTCCCCGCCCGTGCCCTCCCCTCGTTTACCTTCGCCTCCCCCCTCCCCTCCTCTGCTGCACGCCTCTTCCTTCCCCTCGCTAACCCACTCCACTCCCTGCCCCTCCTCAATCCGCACCCTGCCCCTCGTTTCTCGCCCCCCTATGCTTGGTTTCTCCCCCCCTGCCCTTTGCTTTCCCCTCGTTACGCTCCCTTCTCCCCATCCCTGCTGCCCTCTTACCACCATCAGCCCGTCCCCACCACCAGCCCCCCTCCCACCCTTCTCCCCCCCCCCCTCTCCCTCTCTCTCTCTCTCTCTCTATCTCTCTCACTCTCTCTCTCTCTCTCTCTTTCTCTCGCACACACACACACACACACACTCCCCTCCCCCACCCCCCACCCACATCCTCCCGTTCTGCCCCTCCCTGCCCCTGTTCCACCCCCTCGCACGCCCCTCACCTCTCACCTCCGTTCAACTGGATTCCCCCCCTCTGGTGCATCCCTTGCATCGCTCGCCCCTCTGCTCACCCTCTGCCCGCCCCTTTTCCTTGCCCTCAGCTGGCCCAGCCCCTGCCCGTTGCTGCCCCTCCCCTTGCCCCCTCAACTCCCCTGCCCCCCGTACACCCCACTCCCGTCCAACCGCCCCCACCCTCCCCCGGCTGCCCGTTTCCGCTCTCCACCCCCGCGACCGTGTGCGGCTTCCAACCGCCCAACGGTGGTGCGCACGGGGCGTTTCTTCGCGCGGGCAAGCCTCCCCGGGGGCCCCCCACCCCGCTGACTCGTTGTTCGGGCAAAAAAACGGAAATAAAAAAGTCGGACGCGCTAAAATCGTCCTTTGTTTTTCCCGCTTGCCCCTCCCCGGCACGTGCCGAGCAAGGGGCATAAATGGGTACAACACGAGGACTTCCCGGGAGGTCACCCAGCCCAGTACTGCTCTCGCCCACCGGCGCTTAGCTTCGGAGTTCTGATGGGATCCGGCGTAGTAGCCGAGGTATGATCGTACCACGACAATCCCGTGCCCCGACCGGTACACACCCCTTGCCCGGGTCCCCCCTTCATAGTCACACCCCCTGCCCCCTCATGCCATCCGCTCCCCCCGCCCCTACCCTCCGCGTGCCCGCTCCCTCGCCGCCTCTTTTGACCCTCCCTGCCCCCCTCGCCGTTACCCACCGCTCGCCATTCGCTCCTCCCCGCCCGTGCCCTCCCCTCGTTTACCTTCGCCTCCCCCCTCCCCTCCTCTGCTGCACGCCTCTTCCTTCCCCTCGCTAACCCACTCCACTCCCTGCCCCTCCTCAATCCGCACCCTGCCCCTCGTTTCTCGCCCCCCTATGCTTGGTTTCTCCCCCCCTGCCCTTTGCTTTCCCCTCGTTACGCTCCCTTCTCCCCATCCCTGCTGCCCTCTTACCACCATCAGCCCGTCCCCACCACCAGCCCCCCTCCCACCCTTCTCCCCCCCCCCCTCTCCCTCTCTCTCTCTCTCTCTCTATCTCTCTCACTCTCTCTCTCTCTCTCTCTCTTTCTCTCGCACACACACACACACACACACTCCCCTCCCCCACCCCCCACCCACATCCTCCCGTTCTGCCCCTCCCTGCCCCTGTTCCACCCCCTCGCACGCCCCTCACCTCTCACCTCCGTTCAACTGGATTCCCCCCCTCTGGTGCATCCCTTGCATCGCTCGCCCCTCTGCTCACCCTCTGCCCGCCCCTTTTCCTTGCCCTCAGCTGGCCCAGCCCCTGCCCGTTGCTGCCCCTCCCCTTGCCCCCTCAACTCCCCTGCCCCCCGTACACCCCACTCCCGTCCAACCGCCCCCACCCTCCCCCGGCTGCCCGTTTCCGCTCTCCACCCCCGCGACCGTGTGCGGCTTCCAACCGCCCAACGGTGGTGCGCACGGGGCGTTTCTTCGCGCGGGCAAGCCTCCCCGGGGGCCCCCCACCCCGCTGACTCGTTGTTCGGGCAAAAAAACGGAAATAAAAAAGTCGGACGCGCTAAAATCGTCCTTTGTTTTTCCCGCTTGCCCCTCCCCGGCACGTGCCGAGCAAGGGGCATAAATGGGTACAACACGAGGACTTCCCGGGAGGTCACCCAGCCCAGTACTGCTCTCGCCCACCGGCGCTTAGCTTCGGAGTTCTGATGGGATCCGGCGTAGTAGCCGAGGTATGATCGTACCACGACAATCCCGTGCCCCGACCGGTACACACCCCTTGCCCGGGTCCCCCCTTCATAGTCACACCCCCTGCCCCCTCATGCCATCCGCTCCCCCCGCCCCTACCCTCCGCGTGCCCGCTCCCTCGCCGCCTCTTTTGACCCTCCCTGCCCCCCTCGCCGTTACCCACCGCTCGCCATTCGCTCCTCCCCGCCCGTGCCCTCCCCTCGTTTACCTTCGCCTCCCCCCTCCCCTCCTCTGCTGCACGCCTCTTCCTTCCCCTCGCTAACCCACTCCACTCCCTGCCCCTCCTCAATCCGCACCCTGCCCCTCGTTTCTCGCCCCCCTATGCTTGGTTTCTCCCCCCCTGCCCTTTGCTTTCCCCTCGTTACGCTCCCTTCTCCCCATCCCTGCTGCCCTCTTACCACCATCAGCCCGTCCCCACCACCAGCCCCCCTCCCACCCTTCTCCCCCCCCCCTCTCCCTCTCTCTCTCTCTCTCTATCTCTCTCACTCTCTCTCTCTCTCTCTCTTTCTCTCGCACACACACACACACACACACTCCCCTCCCCCACCCCCCACCCACATCCTCCCGTTCTGCCCCTCCCTGCCCCTGTTCCACCCCCTCGCACGCCCCTCACCTCTCACCTCCGTTCAACTGGATTCCCCCCCTCTGGTGCATCCCTTGCATCGCTCGCCCCTCTGCTCACCCTCTGCCCGCCCCTTTTCCTTGCCCTCAGCTGGCCCAGCCCCTGCCCGTTGCTGCCCCTCCCCTTGCCCCCTCAACTCCCCTGCCCCCCGTACACCCCACTCCCGTCCAACCGCCCCCACCCTCCCCCGGCTGCCCGTTTCCGCTCTCCACCCCCGCGACCGTGTGCGGCTTCCAACCGCCCAACGGTGGTGCGCACGGGGCGTTTCTTCGCGCGGGCAAGCCTCCCCGGGGGCCCCCCACCCCGCTGACTCGTTGTTCGGGCAAAAAAACGGAAATAAAAAAGTCGGACGCGCTAAAATCGTCCTTTGTTTTTCCCGCTTGCCCCTCCCCGGCACGTGCCGAGCAAGGGGCATAAATGGGTACAACACGAGGACTTCCCGGGAGGTCACCCAGCCCAGTACTGCTCTCGCCCACCGGCGCTTAGCTTCGGAGTTCTGATGGGATCCGGCGTAGTAGCCGAGGTATGATCGTACCACGACAATCCCGTGCCCCGACCGGTACACACCCCTTGCCCGGGTCCCCCCTTCATAGTCACACCCCCTGCCCCCTCATGCCATCCGCTCCCCCCGCCCCTACCCTCCGCGTGCCCGCTCCCTCGCCGCCTCTTTTGACCCTCCCTGCCCCCCTCGCCGTTACCCACCGCTCGCCATTCGCTCCTCCCCGCCCGTGCCCTCCCCTCGTTTACCTTCGCCTCCCCCCTCCCCTCCTCTGCTGCACGCCTCTTCCTTCCCCTCGCTAACCCACTCCACTCCCTGCCCCTCCTCAATCCGCACCCTGCCCCTCGTTTCTCGCCCCCCTACGCTTGGTTTCTCCCCTCCCTGCCCCTCGCCGCCTTTCTCCGCTCCCCACCTCCCCCCTCTCCCTGCCCCCCCACTCTCCTCCACTTGCCCTTGGCTTCCCACCTCCCTGCCCCACCTTTCCCCCCTCCGTGTGCTCAGCTTCTCCCCTCCCTGCCTCTCCCTCCTCCCCGCCCTGCCCCTCATTTTCCGCCCCCCCACGCCCGGTTTCTCCCCTCCCTGCACCTCCCTTTCTTTCTCCGTGCCTCTCCTTTGCTCCCTCCCTGCCCCCGCCTGCCCATGCCCCTGTCTTTGGTTTCTCCCCTCCCTGCCCCACGTTTCTTCCCTCCCTGAGATCACCTTGTACCCCCTCTGCCCCTCCCTTGTTCTCCCCGCACCCATTGCTTCTCCCCTCCCTGCCCTTGATTTCCCGCACCCCTGCCCTTGTTTCCTACCATCCATGCCCCTCGTTTCCCCTCTTTGTACGTTCACCCTCTTCCCTCCCTGCCCCTCCCTTCCTCCCCCCCTGCCCTTTGCTTTCCCCTCGTTACGCTCCCTTCTCCCCATCCCTGCTGCCCTCTTACCACCATCAGCCCGTCCCCACCACCAGCCCCCCTCCCACCCTTCTCCCCCCCCCCCTCTCCCTCTCTCTCTCTCTCTCTCTCTCTTTCTCTCGCACACACACACACACACACACTCCCCTCCCCCACCCCCCACCCACATCCTCCCGTTCTGCCCCTCCCTGCCCCTGTTCCACCCCCTCGCACGCCCCTCACCTCTCACCTCCGTTCAACTGGATTCCCCCCCTCTGGTGCATCCCTTGCATCGCTCGCCCCTCTGCTCACCCTCTGCCCGCCCCTTTTCCTTGCCCTCAGCTGGCCCAGCCCCTGCCCGTTGCTGCCCCTCCCCTTGCCCCCTCAACTCCCCTGCCCCCCGTACACCCCACTCCCGTCCAACCGCCCCCACCCTCCCCCGGCTGCCCGTTTCCGCTCTCCACCCCCGCGACCGTGTGCGGCTTCCAACCGCCCAACGGTGGTGCGCACGGGGCGTTTCTTCGCGCGGGCAAGCCTCCCCGGGGGCCCCCCACCCCGCTGACTCGTTGTTCGGGCAAAAAAACGGAAATAAAAAAGTCGGACGCGCTAAAATCGTCCTTTGTTTTTCCCGCTTGCCCCTCCCCGGCACGTGCCGAGCAAGGGGCATAAATGGGTACAACACGAGGACTTCCCGGGAGGTCACCCAGCCCAGTACTGCTCTCGCCCACCGGCGCTTAGCTTCGGAGTTCTGATGGGATCCGGCGTAGTAGCCGAGGTATGATCGTACCACGACAATCCCGTGCCCCGACCGGTACACACCCCTTGCCCGGGTCCCCCCTTCATAGTCACACCCCCTGCCCCCTCATGCCATCCGCTCCCCCCGCCCCTACCCTCCGCGTGCCCGCTCCCTCGCCGCCTCTTTTGACCCTCCCTGCCCCCCTCGCCGTTACCCACCGCTCGCCATTCGCTCCTCCCCGCCCGTGCCCTCCCCTCGTTTACCTTCGCCTCCCCCCTCCCCTCCTCTGCTGCACGCCTCTTCCTTCCCCTCGCTAACCCACTCCACTCCCTGCCCCTCCTCAATCCGCAC